ATGATTACAGCAGTGCATTCGGACTATGGTGGTACCTGCTATGATTACAGCAGTGCATACTGACTGTGGTGGTTCCTGCTTTCACTACAGCAGGGCATACTGACTGTGATGGTTCCTGCTTTCACTACAGCAGTGCATACTGACTTTGGTGGTACCTGCTATGATTACAGCAGTGCATACTGACTGTGGTGGTACCTGCTATGATTACAGCAGTACATTCTGACTGCGGTGGTACCTGCTACGATTACAGCAGTGCATACTGACTGTGGTGGTTCCTGCTTTCACTACAGCAGGGCATACTGACTGTGATGGTTCCTGCTTTCACTACAGCAGGGCATACTGACTGTGATGGTTCCTGCTTTCACTACAGCAGTGCATACTGACTTTGGTGGTACCTGCTATGACTACAGCAGTACATACTGACTGTGGTGGTTCCTGCTTTCACTACAGCAGTGCATAATGACTGTGGTGGTACCTGCTATGATTACAACAGTGCATACTGACTGTGGTCGTTCCTGCTATGATTACAGCAGTGCATACTGACTGTGGTGGTACCTGCTATGATTACAACAGTACATACTGACTTTGGTGGTACCTGCTATGATTACAGCATTAAATACTGACTGTGCTGGTACCTGATATGAGAATAGCTGTGCATACTGACTGCGGTGGTACCTGCAATGATTACAGCAGTGCATACTGACCGTGGTGGTACCTGCTTTCACTACAGCAGTGCATAATGAGTGGTGGTACCTACTATGATTACAGCAGTGCATACTGACTGTGGTGGTTCCTGCTTTCACTACAGCAGGGCATACTGACTGTGATGGTTCCTTTCACTACAGCAGTGCATACTGACTTTGGTGGTACCTGCTATGACTACAGCAGTGCATACTGACCGTGGTGGTTCTTGCTTTCACTACAGCAGTGCATACTGACTTTGGTGGTACCTATGACTACAGCAGTGCATACTGACTGTGGTGGTACCTGCTATGATTACAACAGTGCATACTGACTTTAGTGGTACCTGCTATGATTACAGCATTAAATACTGACTGTGCTGGTACCTGATATGAGAATAGCTGTGCATACTGACTGTGGTGGTACCTGCAATGATTACAGCAGTGCATACTGACCGTGGTGGTACCTGCTTTCACTACAGCAGTGCATAATGACAGTGGTGGTACCTACTATGATTACAGCAGTGCATACTGACTGGTGGTACCTGGTTGAATTACAGAAGTGCATACTGACTGTGGTGGTTCCTGCTATGATTACAGCAGTGCATGCTGACTGTGGTGGTATCCTGCTTTGACTACAGTAGTGCATACTGACTGGTGGTATCCTGCTATGACTACAGCATTGCATGTGAACTGTGGTGGTATCCTATGACTACAGCATTGCATGCTGACAGTGGTGGTATCCTTCTTTCACTACAGCATTGCATGCTGACTGGTGGTATCCTGCTATGACTACGACATTGCATGCTGACTGTGGTCGTATCCTGCTATGACAACAGCAATGCATGCTGCCTGTGGTGGTATCCTGCTTTCACTAAAGCATTGCAAGCTGTGGTTGTATCCGCCATGGACTTCAAGGGGCCCCCAAGCGAGTTGCGGTGCACCAGATACTCGGCCCTCGGTTCCACCTCACCTATCTCATGTTCGTCTAGTTTCATCAGGCGACAGCAAGATTTGTGGCTGTTGCCAGATTTGTGGCTGTCGCCTGATGAAGCTAGTTGTAATTACTGGTGAAACGATGTACTCAGATTGTGAATGTTGTGGCTTGGCTGTCCAACACACCGGTGTGCTGTATTAGTGACGAATTGACATGTTCTGTTTACATGACAACCCTTACTAGTTGGCTGTGTCGGGTGGTGGTGGGTTTTAACGAACATTTATATATTTACGCGATTTAACCCAAAAAAACCCTCTATTATGGATACATACATTTTTACATTTTCTGCACCAGTAGAGATGAAAATCAAACCGTCATTACACAGGCCTAACAAGAGGTCTACTTTAATTTTTTTTATATATTGGCACACGTGACCTGTATCTCAATGGGACCATCACGGTACGGGTTATTTTCCCACTGACTGCCACGCCAAGTCAAAACGCGTTTCTTTCAGTGTTGTTTCCTCGTACTGCTCAAACGGACTTCCCTTCCCACTGTATATTTTTTCCGAAGCTCCAATAATCATCCCACTCATTGAAGTTGTGGATGAATATGCCAACCTCTACAGTGCTGAATGAGCCAATGAGGCGAGTAACGCATTTCTTAATTACAGCACAGAGCTGGAAAGGGACGCCACGGGACAGAGGACACAGGCGCGCTTTTGTGCAGTTGCTTTCACCACGGCATCACCGTTTTTTTACATTCTATTTGTATATTCCATTTACTTTCCTAGTTCAGTTATCTTGTATGTGTAGGTTTTTATTTATTTAAATATACCACCAGCCTCCCTCCTGTGTATTTGGTTGCCATCTGTGTCTTAGGTTGAGTTCGCATTAGTGTTAGAGGTTAGGCGAGTGGTCACGACAGTTAGGGTTATGTTAGGGTTGAGTTAGGGTTGGATTAAAGGTGAGGGTTAGGATTGGGGATTAGGTTATGGATTAGGGTTACGTTAGGGGATAGCATTATGGTAGTGGTTAGGTATTGATTAAAACTACCAAGTCTGGTGCATGTACAGCCCTTTCTGTCAATCCACTGCTGGATGAAGGCTTCCCCATAGATGTGCAGGTTGTGGTTTGACCATACTTCCCCACGCTGGTGTGGGTTGGGTAAAGAAAAAGGAGAGCATGGATGTGGGTGGAATCATATGGTATGACAAAATGATGTTTCTATGCTGCCTTCAGCAGCCTATAGCACCAGCTTTATTCACGGTTGGTTGCCCATACAACTCATCCAACAGCCACGGACCCAGGCTCCAGCCTGATGAGCTTCAGAGAAAGAAACGTAATTAAATAATAGAATACGTTTCAATTGCAACACAAGCAACCATCATCAGGTACAAATGAATGAGAAAACAAACATAGTAAACTTGGAAATATAATGCAATACAACAGAGAGTCGGCCAACAAAACAGTCAACACCCCACCTGGTTGATCACATTCTTCCAAAGATTGCTAAATTTGAGAGACAAAACATCGACACGGAGACACACAGACACAAGCAGAGAGATACTCACACAGAGACAAACAGAGAGAGACACACATAGGCACACAGAAAGACGTCTGTGTCGAGGCCTTAAATAGAGGGGGGGGGCAGAGGGGAAGTTGTGTGGAATTCCTGCCCATAGGGGACGGACGAGCTGGACACTGGACTTCTACAAAAACAAGCACGGAGCGTTGTGTGGACTTACTGCCCATAGCGGCCAGGAGAGAATGGACTTATAAACAAGCACGGTAGAATGTTTTGTCTCGCTCTCAAATTTAGCAATCTTTGTAAGAACGTAATCAACCAGGTGGGGTGTTGACTGTTGTGTTGGCCGACTGTGTTGTATTGCATTATATTTCCAAGTTTACTATGTTTGTTTTCTCATTCATTTGTACCTGATGGTTGCTTGTTTTGCAATCGAAATGTCATATTCCATTATTATTTAATTTCTTTCTACGTGACTTAACCGAAAGAACCAAAGAGTAATTCCTGCAGTCACGAAGCTTCAAATCTAGTTTGAGCTTCAGAGACCTGACTAGGTCGATCGGGCACAAATGGCCTGCGATCCAGTGCTGTGAAAACAGCCGAGGGTTGGTGGAACACGCACATTGTAAAACTCCCTTCCCAGTCGGCGTCGGGGGAGGAGCCCGTACCCTGGATCGCAAGAAGAAGGTGGCACAACAAAGTGTGGCTTAATCTCTATCTGTCCCAACTCCCATTCCCATGGGTGTCGATGAGCTGTCTTAGCACGTCGAAAGGCAGCATAGGTAAGCGTGGACTCTACCACCTGTTCCCTATGTATGGGACAACGTTTTGCCACCTCACACACACGAGTCATTTTTTCTTCGGATGTTCCGGTTTCCTCCCACAAGCAGATATTGGGGGGGGGTAGCAATTGTTGGTAGCACCGGATAATCACCGCGTGGCTGCTGCTGCTGCCTTGCCGCTCATCTGTGGTTCCTCTCCTCCTGGTGCATCTCAATGAACACCGGGGTGGTGATGCAGCGTTATAAGCTGACATCATTATTTCCAAACAAGACCTGCACGGCATGTTAAGAAGGACACTGCACATGCTATAGCCAGACTCCAGGTATATACGTTTTATTGGTTGTGCCAAGGACAATAACAAATCACAGGGGTAAAGATGCTGATACAGTCTCTCCACCCCCTAAGAGGGAGAGAGAGAAAGCTTTAACACAAACAGCACTCGAGAGTAATTAACACGGGTTAGAAGATCCCTACTCCTACACTAATGAAAAGCCACCACCACCTTAATGAGTATCACCGTCATCATTATTATCAGTTATTCATGGCATTCACAAGGTGAATTATATAATGGTGTGCATTGTCGATCTCGTTTGTATTGTTCTGCGTAAACCCATGTGCATGTGTGCCAGTGTGTGTGCCTGTATGTATGTGGAGAGCGGTGGCGTCGTGGTTAGAGCGCTGTACTATAAACCCGACGACCCGAATTCGATTCCCGCTCATGGCCAACACCAATGATAATTATCTTAACTGGTCCTGGGCCTCCCCTAGGTCGACTCAGCCTCAAATAAGTATCTGGTGGTACAGGGTGTAAATATTGTCGCTGGGAGACACGAACAGCACTTGCCTTAACAGTCTGTTCAGGATATTTTGTCTTTTGCATGTATGCCTGTGTGTGTGCCTGTGTGTGTGCCTGTGTGTGTGCCTGTGTGGGTGCCTGTGTGTGTGTGCCTGTGTGTGTGCCTGTGTGTGTGCCTGTGTGTGTGCCTGTGTGGGTGCCTGTGTGTGTGTGCCTGTGTGTGTGCCTGTGTGTGTGCCTGTGTGTGTGTGCGCCTGTGTGTGTGTGCGCCTGTGTGTGTGCGCCTGTGTGGTGCATTCTTGGATGCATGCATGTGAACCAATATGCCCGATGTGTTAGCGGAACTGCAGGGGGCTGATCCTCAGCCCAATCACGTCTTTCCCAATCTCTGTCACCTATAAAACACACACACACACAATGATCCCCCATGCAGTCTTTCACAGACTGTTGGAGGCAAGTGCTGTTACGAGCAAGCACCTATGAAGGCCGGCATAGCACGCCAATGAGGGGGGTTGGGTGGCCAGCACTGCGCTTGGCCACCTTTGCTCAAATGGAAAGTGACCCAAAGAAAACAAGAGGGACCACAATGCAGTTTTCCAAGAACAGCACAATGCACATGCTTCTTGTCATGTGTCTGTCATGTGAATCTGTGCTTACGCCAATGCCTATTCCATCCGTAATAGGATAAAGTGGATTTGAGGAACCAATGTTCACGCCAATGCCCATTTGTCAGTCGGGCAATGGATAGGAGGACCCTGTGTATTGCTGTGAATAGGAATGGTGCTCACCTTGGTTATGCGGCAGGTTTCACCCTTAAACTCCGGGCTGTAGCAGGCGCCACTCAGGGGACACTTCTCCACTGGCTTCCCTCTGTGTGGGGGGGGGGGGGGCATAGGGAACGAGATGGATGCAAGAAAAGAGACATGGGAGCAATGGGAGGAGACATGGGAGACACGGGGGGGGGGGGAATTATAAACATTGAGAGTTGCAGAGAGACGCAGTCACAGGGAGAGACATGGGACACAGGGAAGAGGGGGTAAGGAGGAGGGGGTGGGAGGCACAGGCAGCGGTGGGCACAGGAGACATGTCACACGGTGGCAATCGGCAGTGGGAGAGAATCAAAGACAAAGGTCCCCCGTGTAGCCTTTAACAGGCTGTCGGGACAAGTGCTGTTCGTGAGTGGCACCTATAAAGCCACACGACGGCATGGGTGTGGCCAGGACCACGCCCGGCCACCTTTGTCTCACCAGTGGTGATGAATTTCGATTTAAAGCTTTCGTGATTGCAAGGATTCATCTTCTTTGGTTCTTTCGGTAAAGTCACATAGAATGAGAATAAAATAATAAATTTATAAAATAAAATAACACAATAATATTCTCACGACGTTTCGGCCACAATACAAGCGGCCTTCATCAGGTGAAGGGACGAGACTGTCTGGTAGGACAGCGCTGGAGTGAAAAAGCCACGCTCAGATCACGACCTTTAAGCTGTGTGAGAAGCTGTGTGAGAAGAGCAGACTTGAAACACGGTAGAACGAACTCCTCTGCCATGGCAGATCACTGTTATAATTCAGTGGGCTCACATGACATTGACTTCTCCAAGACGGAGGTTCTTTGCAAACCAACCGGCTACCATGAGAGATTCGTTCATGAGGCCATTCACATATATAAGCACAGAGACAATTTCAACCGAGAAGATGGATTCTGGCTTAGTAGCCATTGGAAAGATGTTTTAAACCATTTCCGTTCTTAATTAATTGTATTTTACGATGACCTTCAGACCGCAGCTCTTTCGCCAGCATTGACTCGTAATACCTCTCACACCACGGTTAATGGTATGGTTTACAACATGGAGTATAATAGCGCCTCGCAGCTGTCTCTCTCCCCCTCCTCTGTTCCGACCATGGATGAACTCGTCCGTCTGAACGGGGCCCGTAGCTATCCGTGTTGCTAAAGTTGAGGGTAAGAATCCACCCATTTTTTCACCATATAGCATTGTGATATATAACGACTTATTGTTGGTAGCTTAGCTGATTGGAGAATATAGAGTTTATTGATAACATTAAGGTAATTTATATTTTAGTTTTTTATTGGTTCACTATATAGTATTCATTATATATTGTATACCCAGTTACTGTGAATAGCTCAGATGTGTAGGCCTTGACTTCAACATAGCCATTTCTGTTACCAGTCACTAGCTAATCACTCAGTTATTTCAATGCTAAATTCGCCTAGTTATTTCAATGCTAAATTCTCCTGTTTGATTTGTACTAGGTGCCTCGGTGAATGTGTATGCTCTGACTTTAACATAGCTATTTCTGTGACCAGTTACAAGCTAATCACTCAGCTATTTCAATGCTAAATTCTATGCTAATTCCTTTGTCAAGGGGTGCCTCTGCGGATGTGTATGCTTTAACTTAGCTATTTCAATGCTAAATTCTATGCTAATTCCTTTGTCCAGGGGTGCCTCTGCGGATGTGTATGCTTTAACTTTAACATAGCCATTTCTGTGACCAGTCACAAGCTAATCACTCAGCCATTTCAATGCTAAATTATATGCTAATTCCTTTGTCAAGGCGCTTTGTTTCTTCTCACACAGCTTAAAGGTCGTGATCTGAGCGTGGCTTTTTCACTCCAGCGCTGTCCTACCAGACAGTCTCGTCCCTTCACCTGATGAAGGCCGCTTGTGTTGTGGCCGAAACGTCGTGAGAATATTATTGTGTTATTTTATTTTATCAATTTATTATTTTATTCTCATTCTACGTGACTTTACCGAAAGAACCAAAGAACAGTGGTGATGAATTACTACACACTGCACCAGGTGCTCATTAGAGGCTGAGTCCACCTAGGGGAGACCCAGGACCGGTTCACATAATTAATGGTCGCCGGTGTTGGCGATGCGCGGGAATCGAACTCGCGTCGCCGGATTCGGAGCGCAGAGCGTTAACCGCTAAACTAACGCTCCCCACATCCACACATACATGCCTACACCCGCACAAAAACATGCACATATGGCAAGTAACATCGAACACTGCCAGCTCATTGACCCAACCTCCTTTCTCCCCTGCGCCCCCGCACCCACCGTCCAAAGCCCCCCCCAGCTCTGGCTAACCCTCTCCTCATCCAATCGAGCCATCGATCTCTGCACAGATCAGAGCGGACGTGGAGAGTACATCTCTCCCCCTCTTCTCTCTCCAATAACCTCTCTCTACTTCGGCCATTCCTATCTTCGCTGGAAGTAGCCAATCAATTACTTCCACACTCGAATTTCCTCCCTTTCCACTCATCCCCGCCTACTCTTTTCTACCCTTAATAACCATCTCCACCAACCACACCAACTACTCCCCGCCATTTCCAATGGCCTCTCTAATTACTTTGTCCTCTTCTTCACTTACAAACGAATGCCATTCGCTCCTCTTTCTAAGCTTCCCCGTACCCCACCCTACACCTTCCATCTTCAGCCCCTCACCAACTCCCTACTCTGCCTGCCCTCACTGACGTCCTCCTGTGACTCTGGAGGAACTCTCCTTTACCATCTCCAAAGTCCATCTCACCCCTTGACCCTATCCCTGCTTTCCTTCTTCTCTCTGTCCTTCCCTCTATCCTTCCTACTTACTCTCCCTTTTTAATTCTTCTATATCCTCCAGTGCCTTTTCTGCTAATTACAAATCGGCCATCATCACCCCAACTCATTCAAAAACCCTCCCTTTGATGCCAACTGCATCTCCAACTACTGTCCCATTTCCCTGCTTCCCTTCCTCTCTAAAGTTCGAGCGTCTCGTCCTCTCTCACCCAAAAACTTCACCTGCACCCACTCCACCAGTCTGGTTTTCGCCCGCTCCACTTCACAGAAACCACCCTTATTACCATTCAGAACCATTGACCAACTCGGCTCACGCATGTCTCTCCTCAGTCCTCATTTTCTTCGACCTCTCCTCGGCATTTGACAATGTCCATCATCCTACTCTTCTCTGTACTCTCTGTAATATGGGCATTTCCGGCACTGCTTTATCCTAGCTTCAATCATAAATCTATCTTCACGCTCATCCTCAGTCTCCTTCACTCACTCCTGCACCCCTCTTTCACCCGTTACAGCAAGTGTTCCCCCCAAGGCTCTATCCTGGGACCCCTTCTTTTCTCTCTCTACATCTCCCCTCTCAAAACACTTTTTTATTTTATTTTATTGTTTCCATTCTACGTGACTTTCCCGAAAGAACCAAGAATATACTTATCTCCTCCTTTAACTTCTCCCACCACTTCTTCGCCGACGACATCCAAGTATTCTTCTCTTTCTCCACTTTCACTCCGGACCGCTATTCTCGAATTTCAGGCTGCCCAACTGCCTTTCAGTCTTGGATGTCGCTTCACTTCCTTGCCATCAACTCCTCTAAAACCCAGGTTCTTTTTCCCCGCTGCTCTTTCCCCTTACACCCACCCCCACCATCACCTTCCCATCCTTCTCACTCACCCCTGTCCCCTCTTCCCACAACCTTGGTATCCTCTTCGACTCCTTTCTTTCCGTCGCCTCTCACATCTCTGCCATCACCTGCAGCTGTCGTTTCCACTTTGTAAGCATTCGCAAAATACGCCCTCTCATCACCCAGTCGGCCGCCAAACTACTAACACTCTCACTCATCTTCCCTCGGTTAGACTACTATAATTCTCTCTGACTCGATCTCCCAGCCTATGCATTCATTCCACTACAACAGATGCAAAATAAGTCTGCACGTTTCATTTACAACCTACCACACTGCTCCCACACCTCCGCCCTTCTTATAGAAATGCACTGGCTCCCCATTTACTACCAGTGTATGTTCAAGCTCCTTACGCTAGCATATTAATCTCGTCATGGCCTTGCCCTACCGTACCTCGCTTGCCTTGTCTCGTTTTACGTTCTCTCCCACCCTTTCCGCTCTCAATCTCTCCTCCTAACTGCTCCCCCCTCTCCTGGTGCACAATCCAATTTCCGCTACTTTTCCCTATTTGCCTCCTTGCACTGGAACAAACATCCCCTCCACATTAAGCAAGCACCCTCCCTGTCTCGTTTCCGCTCCTTCCTCAAGATCCACCTCTTCTCCTTGGCCCATCCTACCCTACATCCCTAAGTTCCCCCATAATTCCTGTACCTACTAGCCTCCCTCCCCACACCCCATCCCTATACCTACTATAATCACCCAGGAATGTCTGTTCTTAACGCTTGTGACATCACTCCACATCGACCAGCCCCCCTCATTAATAATCATGAGCGGGTGACGCCACTCAATATGAGGTACTCTCCCCCCCCTCACTAATAATCATGCACAAGTGACGTCAGTCCACATCGAACAACGCCCCTCATTAATAATCTTCTCCTCCCTCCTCTGCGTCAACTCACTACCCTCACTACAAAGGCAGAACCCTCACGTCACGCGATCTCCGTAACGCTATTGATACATCAAAGTAAAAAGGCAGTCATGATGAACAAGGAATTATAACCTTAAAATGAAATGTTTGTGTCACCGTGCCCTTACAAATTGCACACGCATTAGTGCAATAAATATCACACCGCAGTCTGCTTTTCGCTTGCAAGTTTCAGATTTACTGCAATACACCCGTCCTTGGACGGGCAAAAGGCTAGTTCACTATATCACTTTTAGAATCCCTCATTGTACCACTCATAACCCTTGTAAAGCACCTTGGATAATGGCTCTATATAAATATAAGATAAGAAGGGGGGGGGGGGGGTCACCTGTAGATGGGCTTGTAGGTGGCAGCGCAGATATCAAAGGGGTTGTGCATGTCATAGTTGAGCTGGTGGGAGTCTGTGGGCGTCTTCTCACATGCAGAGAGGATCTTGCGTGTCTGGATGGGGGCAGGATCGATATTCATCGCCATCGTCAATTACCATCATCACTGCCATCGCCACCATCATCATTGTTGCAATGATCATCACTGCTATTGGTCATCAACACCATCACCACCATGATCATCACCACCGTGACCATCATCATCATTATAAATATCATCATCATTATAAATATCATCATCACCGCCACCAAAACACCCATAATCATCAATACTATCACTCCCACAACCATCATCATTATAAACATCACCAACATCACCAACGCTCCTCCCATGACCATCAATATCACCATCATCACCATGATCATTACCAACAACATCAAAGACCGATTATACTGGTAGGAACCTCCTGGTTACACCAGCCCACAGGGGATTATTGTGTCTGTCCGTCGTGCATCCAAAAATGGGAGGGGTGGGGCTCCTCCCATGACCATCAATATCACCATCATCACCATGATCATTACCAACAACATCAAAGACCGATTATACTGGTAGGAACCTCCTGGTTACACCAGCCCACAGGGGATTATTGTGTCTGTCCGTCGTGCATCCAAAAATGGGAGGGGTGGGGCTGGGTGGAGAGGGGAGGGTGGGGAGGGGCTGGGTGGGGAGGGAGGGGCTGGGTGGGGAGGGGCTGGGTGGGGAAGGTGGGGCTGGGTGGGGAGGGGCTGGTCACCTCGTGGTGCCCTTATAAAACTCAACGTTTAACCTACTCACGCCGGCTTGTGCCCGCCCTCACAGTCGGGCATATTTGCGGAATACACCATGCTGCCGTTGACCCTGGCCATTGACCGAGCAACCCAACGTTCCTACCAGCTCCCTCCGCAGGAACGTGTTTATAAACATCACCAACATCACCAATGCTCCCATGACCATCAATATCACCATAATCATCACCATAATCATCACCAACACCACCAAAAAAGGCAACCATACCTCATATAGCCTTAATAGACTGTTGGGGCAAATGCTGTTAGCGGGTACCTATGAAGGCCGTCACGGCACAAGGGGGGGTTGGGTGGCCAGCACCATACCCGGCCGCCTTTGTCTCTCAAATAGTGATGTTTACACACCATACCAGGTACTTATTTCAGGCTGAGTCGATGAAGGAGAGGCCCAGGACCAGTTCAGATAACAGTCACTGGTGTTGGCCCTGAGCGGGAATTTAACTTGGATCGCCAGGTTCGTAAGCAGCGTGCCGACCGCTCCCCACAAAATAGACTCACACATACACACACACAAATGCACTTGCGCATACTCTCTATCAAACGTGCATACACATTCGCCAAACCCCTGGCGCCCGCACCTGCTGGCCCACGTCAGGTTTCGGTCCAAGCTCTATGAGGCGGCGGGCGAAGGTGGCGGCCGTCTTGAAGTTCTTAAGCTTGAAGAAGAGGTTGAGTGCCGTGCGCAGCACCAGCATCATATGCACAGGCTGCAGGCTGCAGTGCGTGAAGTACGCAGCCATCTGCACACACACACACAGCATGTGTATACACGCTTACGCATGCATACGTGTACACAACATCAACACAACCGCCATTCGCCACTCAATGGCAGTAACGTCACCACGACGCTTGTGCCAGGCTATGCGCACGTTGAGGCCACGTGAAGTGTCGAACGCCCGCTGGAAGGTCAATGGGCAGACTCAGGTGCCACGGGTCGACTGACTAAGATGACTGGCTGATGCACCACCTGTGCCCCCTACTGTGCCAATTGGCTCTGCTTTAGCCACCCGGCGCTCCGCTCTTTGTTGTGAGCGTCGCTCCTCCCAACTGCCCAGTAGCGTCCTTCACGAGCCTCCTCCACAGAGGCCGATCTTAACACCGCTGGTACCAGTAATTGGCAAGTCAACTCAGCTCCACATCCTCCTGTACCACACCACTCCATCTCTTCTCTAGCCCGTGCTACGCCCGTTTAGCTCCCTCGATCCAGCCGAACAAAAGCTGTTTAGGCATGCGGTGGCTGGACATGCGGGCTACATGACCCAGCCAATGCCAACTTTCCTGCCGGAGGAGCTCACCGATGGGACTTTGTCCAGATCTTTCAAGGATGTGAGCTCATTACACAATCCAGCCTGGTTAAACCCAGGATGGATCGTAGACAGGCCAGCCTAAATGTTTCTAACCGGTGAAGACGTTCCATTAGGGGGGGTCCACGTTTCGCACGCGTAGAGAAGGGAGGGAATGACTCTGGCCGAGAAGACCTGAAGCTTCGTGCCGAGCGACAGACCAGGTAGCTTCCACACAGCATTATGCAACCGATGAAAAGATAATGTCGCTCGACTGATTCGGAGTGACACCTCTGCTGTCAAACCGGAGCTAGTCATGAGTACACTGCCCAGGTATGGGAAACTCTCCACTCTCTCCACAACTGCCCTTACACCAATTGGGAGTTGTGGGGGTGGAGTATCCGATGGTACAAAATACCCAGGCAGGTGCTTAGTTTTTGTGGGGCTGATGGTAAGGCCCCACTTCTTACTGGCAAGCTCCAGGTTCAGCAGCAGTGCCTCCAACTCCTCCTCTGAGTGAGCGGTAATTACCAGATCGGCATACATAACATGGTTGAGAAAGAGGGAGCCATCCCTTGACCGCACCCGGGCATCGATAGCCTCCCATTGTATCTGTACCAGATGGAAATTCCTCCGGTACAGCTATTGAAGGCTTCACAAACTAGGTGGTCGAAATAGATGTTAATGTGGGAGCCAGAGGACATCCCTGTCGCGCATCAAGCTGAACAGGGAATGGCTACGACTCAAGGCCACGTAGTTTTACCCGGGCCCGCTCACCATCATGAAGGTCATTGATTATCGTGAGCAGAGTCAGGGACTTCGAAAGCATGAAGAACAACCCAGAGCCCAGGCCTACTGATGGTATCATAGGCCTTGACCAGGTCAATAAAGCAGAGATGTAGGTCTTGTTGGAATTTCCCACACCTCTGCTGTAGCAGACGGACAGAAAATGGCATCTGTGCAGGACTGCCCTTTCCTGAAACCGCATTGGGGCTCCACAAGCCTCTCATCAGTGTGCCTGGGAAGGCGATGTTGAATAATCCTTGCCAAGACCTTTCCCAGCACACTGAGGAGCGAGATGCCCCTGTAGTTGTTACAGTCTGTGCGGTCCCCCTTTCAATCCTGCGGAACCCGTCCAGTGGTCCAGACTGTTGTTATGATGTCATATAGGGCAGTCTGTACACAAATGCTACCCTCCCTCAGCCTTTTGCTTGGGAGATCATCTCTGCCCGGTGCCTTTCCTGGTCTCAAACACTCTCGATAGCCTTCAGTACTTCCTCAATAGATTGCACCTCAGCCAGCCACTCACAGGGGGCAACATCTTCCATATTTCGATTTAAAGCTTTCGTGACTGCAAGGATTCATCTTCTTTGGTTCTTTCGGTAAAGTCACGTAGAATGAGAATAAAATAAAATAAAACAATAAAATTCTCACGACGTTTCGGCCACAACACAAGTGGCCTTCTTCAGGTGAAAGGAACAAACCTGTCGGGACGACAGAGCTACAATGAACGCTGCTAAGATTCGCAGCGTCTTTTAAGCTGGTTGAGAGAAGTGAGGCACCTTGACAAAGGGGTTTACATATCAAACAGAAGAATTTAGCATTGAAACAGTTGAGGGATTAGCTTGTGACTGGTCACAGAAATAGCTATGTTAAAGTCAAAGCCTACACATCCACAGAGGCACCTCGTACATGGACGCCAAAGGGGCTGCAACAACTCAACTATCATACAGTAAACCGATGTGAAAAAAACCTAAGTAAAAATTACATCAATATAATAAATGAACTCAATATATTCTTCAATAAGCAGAGCTATTAACAGCAACCGGGTATACACTACACTATATAATGAATACCATATAGTAAACAGGTATAAAACTAAAATATAAACTACCTCAATGTTATCAATAAACTCTATATATTCTCCAATCAGCTGAGCTACCAACAGTAAGTCGTTATATATCACAATGCTATATGGCGAAAAAATGGGTGGATTCTTACCCTCCCACATCAGCACCACGGACCGCTACGAGCCCCGTTCAGATGGACGAGTCCATCATGGTCGGAACAGAGGAGAGAAACAGCTGCGAGGCGCTGTTATAATCATGTTATAAACCATACCATTAACCGTGGTGTGAGAAGTATTAAGAGTCAATGTCAGCGAAAGAGCTGCGGTCTGAAGGTCACCATAAAATAATTAAGAACACGAACTCCTCTGCCGTGGCAGATCACTGTTAGAATTCAGTGGGCTCACATGACATTGACTTCTCCAAGACGAAGGTTCTTTGCAAGCCAACCGGCTACCATGAGAGATTCGATCATGAGGCTATCCACATATACAAGCACAGAGACAATTTCAACCGAGAAGATGGATTCTGGCTTAGTAACCATTGGAAAGATGTTTTAAACCATTTCGGTTCTTAATTATTTTATGGTGACCTTCAGACCGCAGCTCTTTCACTGACATTGACTCTTAAATACTTCTCACACCACAGTTAATGGTATGGTTTATAACATGATTATAACAGCGGCTCGCAGCTGTTTCTCTCCTCTGTTCCGACCATGATGGACTCGTCCGTCTGAACGGGGCTCGTAGCGGTCAGTGGTGCTGATGTGGAGGGTAAGAATCCACCCATTTTTTCGCCATATAGCATCGTGATATATAACGACTTATTGTTGGTAGCTCAGCTGATTGGAGAATATATAGTTTATTGATAACAATGAGGTAGTTTATATTTTAGTTTTTTATCTGTTTACTATATGGTATTCATTATATAGTGTAGTGTATTCGCAGTTGCTGTTAAGAGCTCTGCTAAATTGAAGAATATATTGAGTACATTTATTATATTGATGTAATTTAGACTTAGGTTTTTTCACATCGGTTTACTGTATGATAGTTGAGTTGTTGCAGCCCCTTTGGCGTCCATGTACGAGGTGCCTCTGTGGAAGAGTAGGCTTCGACTTTAACATAGCTATTTCTGTGACCAGTCACAAGCTAATCCCTCAACTGTTTCAATGCTAAATTCTCCTGTTTGATATGTAAACCCCTTTGTCAAGGTGCCTCACTTCTCTCAACCAGCTTAAAAGACGCTGCGAAGATTAGCAGTGTTCATTGTAGCTCTGTCGTCCCGACAGGTTTGTTCCTTTCACCTGAAGGTCGCTTGTGTTGTGGCCGAAACGTCGTGAGAATTGTATTGTTTTATTTTATTATTTTATTCTCATTCTACGTGACTTTACCGAAAGAACCAAAGAAGATCTTCCAATATTTGAGGCACCACAGCCTCAGCAGGGTCATCCCCACTTTGTTCCACGATGTTTTCCATGCTGAGGGATTTCCCCTCCCCCAGGACCTCACAGAAATGCTCAGCAAATCTGCAAACCTGTTCCTGGGGGTTGGAGATTGAATCACCGTTCTTTCCCCTAATGATGGCAATAGGTGTGGTGCTGCAGGTAACTTTGTTGATGGAGTTAAAGAGCGATCTGTGATCGCGGGCCATTGAGGCAGACTCCATCTCCTCAACAATCAGCAACCACCACCCATCCTTGCAGTGCCTCACGGCTCTCCGAACCTCTGAACGAAGGCTGCGGTCAGCCTCCTCATTCTCTGACGTAGGATGCTGTAGACGATGAGAGTGGGCCTTTCGCTTTTTCTTAGCCGCCTGAACACCTCCTGTGTCAGCCAGGGTCTCTGGGGAGGTCTTGACCATGTACCCAAAGCAGCCATTGCAGCTACATGAGCCACAGTCCTAAACCTCGCCCATTTCCCCTCGATATCAGGGAGAGTGGGGGATGATGCCAAAACCAGCCACAAGCGATGATTAAATTCTCACTTGCAACTTTCATCAGCTAGCTGAGACCATACCACTATGGGTTTGAATGGGGTCCTGGGTGTATACCCACCACCGGAGTGGAAGAAAGGCAGGTGCATCTTACAGAAGACAAGTAGATGGTCACTGGGCAAAGCAGCTCAATGGTAGGTCCTGGTGTCAAGGACATGGGCCCGCATCCGCTGTTCCGCCACTATGTATTCCAGCAGATGTTCTTGCTTGGACCCGGCATGCATCCATGATGTTGTGTGGATGCGCCGATGCCGGAACAGCGTTTGGGAATTACAAGCCCATGGGCTGCACAAAAATCTAGCAGCCTCCTACCGTTGTTATTGAGCTGATCTGGCCCATGCCTTCCAATCACTCCAGAGCAGGTGCCAGCATCATGACCAACTCGGGCATTGAAATCACCCAACAAGATGACAATCTAGATTCAAAGCTTTCGTGACTAGAATAATTATTCTTTGGTTCTTTCGGTAAAGTCACGTAGAAAGAAATTTTATTAAATAATAGAATACGACGTTTCGATTGCAACACAAGCAACCGTCATCAGGTAGAACTAAATTTGTGCCTTGTTCAGTCTGCCATTTTAGCTGCTTCCTTGATACCCGCGGCAGTCAGTTGCTGTTTGAGCTAGTCCTTGACGCGTCTTCGAGGTCCACTCCTGCCTAGCTTCCCATTACACAGCTCGCTGAACAGGACTCTTTTGGGCATCCTATTGTCCTCCATGCGCGAGACGTGACCAGCCCAGCGTAGCTGACGAAGCAGCAGGATGGATTAAATGCTGGGTGTCTGAGCTCTCTCCAGGACTATGTTGTTTGTGACCAAGTCCTGCCATCTGATGTTCATGATAGAATGCAGGCAGCGCTGGTGAAAACGGTCCAGAAGTCTAAGCTGTTTCCTGTACAGCCAGGATTCTGAGCCGTATAGAAGGCTGGTTACTACAACTGCCTGTATACCTGTATTTTTGTGGTGAGGCGAAGTGAGTAGCTCTGCCAGATGTGCTTGTGGAGCCTGCCAAAGGAGCTTTTTGCCTTGGCAAGTCTGTTGTCAATGTCCTTGGTAACGGATGAGTTGTTGGATATTATGCTGCTCAGGTAATGTGAACTCGTCCACTGTGTTGAGATGGGTGTTGTCGATGGTGATTTATGGTGCAGTGTACACTCCACGAGGTGGGGGCTGGTATAACACCTCTGTTTTATCCTCCTCAGCGAAATAGTTCACAACGAGCTGTAGGGCCTTTTCCGTGTGTGCAAGAAGTGCGCAGTCATCTGCAAAGAGCAGTTCCAGAACATGTTGCTCTGTGGTCTTGGTCTTGGCAAAGAGAAGTCGAAGATTGAAAAGACTGCCATCGGTCCGCAATCGGATGTAGAGGCCTTCTGCCAGTTCCTCCTTTGCCTCCTGGAACATCAGGCTGAAGAATATGGAAAAAAGTGTAGGTGCCAGCACGCAACCTGTCCGAGAGGCTTCCATTGTGTTTTACCCAGCCTTTCTGTCCGACGTGGAATTGCTGCACGATGATACGGAACTTGGGACGGCAGCCCAGTTGGGACAGTATTCTCCAGAGACCATCACGACTGACTGTGTCAAAAGCCTTATTCAGGCAATGAATGCAGCATAGAGGCCCATGTTCTGTTCCCTGCACTTTTCTTGTAACTGCCTCAGGAGAAAAAACATGTCTACTGTTCCCCTCCCTGACCTGAAGCCGCACTGGCTTTCAGGGAGGACTTCTTCAGCAATGGTGGGCACTAATCTGTCTAGTAGGACCCTGGCCAGAATTTTGCCTGCGATAGAGATACGCAGTCATATTTCACCCCATTGTTCTTGTATAGGGAGACAATCACTATATCCCGGAGATCTTGGGGTAATGCTCCCTTCTCCCAGCAAGATGAAAAAAGGTCTGTGAGGCTGTCCAGAAGTGCATCTCCTCCCTCCGTGTACACCTAGGCTGGGGATCCCATCGATACCAGGTGCCTTGTGCGATTTAAGTTTCTTGATGACAGATGCAATCTCAGCCTGTGTTGGTGGTGTGTCCAGTTTAGTCCTCACTTCACGCTGTTGGATCTTGGCTTTGGATGCTTCTTGGACTGTCCGCTTTTCTGCGAAGAGACTGCTAAAGTGTTATGCCATCTGATGATCTTAAAGGGGCCTGTGTCCCCCATGTCTGCATACAGCTGTGTCCTTTCTGCAAGGTCTGTCCACCAGTTGTTTTTGAGGATTCTCAGATTTGTTTTGCAAGGTTTTGCACGCAGCGGTGTTATGCAGCTTTTGTGACTTGGTCATTAGGACAGGCAAGTAGTCTGGAATGACAGGGCAGTATAGTCTGGAGGAGTGATTCGATTTCCGGGTCATTCTCATCGAACAAATCGTTGTTTCCCTGTTGAGAAGCCAACCACCTCCGCAGCTGTGTCCTGAACAGCTGTTTTTAGACGTTTCCACTGCTCTTCAGGGTCTGCATCCGTGCCCGAGTCTTGATATTCACGGAGTCTGGTCTTGAGCTTCTTCTGGAATTCCTCCCTTAACAGGGGGAGCTTCTCTACTTGGAACTTTTGGGGTGAAGACCTTTCTTTTTGGGTGGTGGTTTGATCCTGAGAGTGATCAATCTGTGGTCTGTATAGCAGTCACCGCTGGGCATGATTGCGTCTTTTTCACGTGCAGGGATGTAATCCAGTAGTTGCCAATGCTTGGAGCGCGGATGTCTCCACGTAATCTTATATCTAGCTTTTTGTTTGAACAATGTGTATGTTATGCAGAGGTTGTGTTCTGTGCATAGCTCTAGTACCATACGATCATTGTTGTTGCAGTTTCCAATTCCATGCTTTCCAAGGGCTCCCCTCCAGAGGTCATGGTTCTGACCGACTCTTGCGTTGAAGTCTCCCATCACAAGAAGCTTATCTTTGCGGTCAACCCCCCCAGAGAAGAGTTCCGAGGACATGATAAAATTACTTCCTTGCGTCTTGATCAGCCTGTAAGGTTGGTGAATATACACTGATTATGTTGGCAAATTGGTTACCCTGGATGGGTAGTCGTAGAGACATCAGGCGGTCTCTGAATGGCCAATTGGAAGGCTCAGGGGATTGCCAGCGATGATGTTCATGAGGCCAATGCCTGATAGGCATCTCTCCTCTTTGGCTTTCCCTGAACAGAAACAGTTGTAGCCCGCCCCGTGTTCAGTAAAGGATCCCTGCTCTGCAAAGTGAACTTCGCCGAGTGCTGCGATGTCAATGTCGAGTTTGGCAAGCTCCCTTGCCACGAGAGCCGAGCGTCTTTGTGGTCGGTTCTATTCATCCGAGTCCTTCATTGTGCAAATGTTTGGTTTCTATATTTCATTCTGAACCTTGTAAAGAGATGCCCGTTGACCGCGGTAAGCCAACCGGGTGAGTTGAGGCAAGCTTCGTTTAGGCCACTTTTTTAGGCCTCTCTCCACCAGCAGCAACCAGTGCTGTCCCTAGAAAAGGCTGGATGATGTTGTTGCCTCTAGTCAACAAATGACCAAAACGGCCGAGCCGCCTACAGGCAGGTTTAAAGCTGCGGCTGCCAGTGTCATCTTGAACCTACCGTTTTTGCCTCTCCCATCGCTGTAGGACTTTCCTTGTCCTCCCGCCTGCGCTAGAGTTTGTTTCAAGTGCAGATCAGCTCGCGCACACCAATTCCAATCTTTAGGCTCGTGGTTACTCCACAGTAGCTCAGCGAGCTAAGATGACGATGGAAACCACAGAGCTGTAGGTTTACATTTGGAGTGGCCATCTCCTAGGTGAGTTGCCGCATCAAGCTATAAAGGCCCCACTTGCCCAGGGGGGTACTAGGAATTATTCGATTGTACTTAGGCTGGGACCTCCCCCTCGACCTTACCACCATAGGTGACCCAACCAGGAGCATAACTCCCGACGGCTTCACTCTCAGAATCATTGGAACACTCATGCCTTTCAAGGTGACAATCCTTGGAAACGCATGTATGTACACACAGCATGTGTATACAACATTAGAATCGTGTGCAGAGGTTGTGATGTGTGAAGTGTGCAGCCTCCTGAATACAAAAACAAAGATCCCCGTGAAGCCGTGAACAGACTGTTGGGGCAAGTAATGTTCACGAGCACCTGTGAAGGCCCGGCACGGCACACGAGGGTGGGGGTGGGCAGCACCACATTCGAGCACCTTTGTCTACCTTGTAGCAACGTTTACGCATCTCACTAGGTACTCATTTGAGGCAGATTTGACCTAGGGAGGCCCAGGACTGGTTAAAATATTTGCCACTTACTGTATGTGCCCAGATGTGTTTGCGTGTGTCTGTGTACCAAGGTGTATGCAGGTGGGTGCGTGTTTAGGTGTTTACATGTGTAGCGCCATGGATGGGCTGCACGTGCAGGCAATGACAGGCAGCCCTGAAGCAGTTGGGGGGCTGTGAGGGATTCTACGATCCCTCGCAAACACTCCCAAAGGCTGGGGGGCTGCGGCTGCACTGACCTGCAACGGCAGACATGCGGACCTCAGTGGGGGACTCTGGGGTCACCCACATCCCTCACTGAGGTCCGCACATCCGCTGAGAAATGGATATAAGGCGAACCTCTGGAGAGGTCCAGGCAGTTTAAAAACCGAAGCAATTGGAGATGGAAGCAGTTGGAAACCGGAGCAGTTGAAGATAACCAGTTGAAGAAAGAAGACCTGCTAGAGTAGGACTCTGAACCCGCTTCGCCGTCCTTTTAAGGGCCGAAGCTCTGTGAGGTCAGTGTTGGACCTGTACCTTGGCTGGGTCAGGTCAGGTAGTCTCACATAGTATATTATAGCCAGAGGACCTGGAGCGTAGTCGGGTTAGGCACGCTACACAGGAGGCGTATAATATACCAAGTGGAAGAGCTCCTCAAGATAAACTGTATGAAGAATTGATGTATAGTAGTTAGGGTATGTGTGGATAATAAAGACGTGCCCCCCCCCACGAAGTGTCTCCGGAGAAACACTACACATGCGTATAGGTGTATGCCCAGGTTTGTGTATGTGTGTCTATCTGTGTGTAACTAGGTGCATCTCTGTTTTGTGTGCGTCACCTCGCAAGTGCGTTTCTGCTGCTCAAGGGTGTCCTTGGGTAGCCGCTTGCGTTCCACCTCCATGGAGAGCCCTACCATGTACTCACGGCAGATTCCCACCAGCTGCTGGGCCTGAGTAGCACAACAGTGACACCCACAAACGTGAATTTACATACACAAGCAACTCACACAGAGACAAAGATCCTTCGTGTAGCCTTTAACAGGGTGTTTGGGGCAAGTGTCCTCCTTTACCGGAGCAGATAGTATTCCCGTCTTTGCTCTACTAACTGTTGGTCACCTAATATACAAACCTATAGCCCATATTTTCAACCTGTCCATCAAAGAAGCATCAGTTCCTCTAGAGTGGAAACATTCCTATGTCCATCCACTTCACAAAGGGGGCCCTAAAGATGATCCAAATAACTACCGACCTATCTCAATTTTGTCCCCGTTAATGAAAATTTTTGAAAAATTATTGAACTACCAAATTAGCAGTTTCCTGTCCACCAACAATTTACTACATCTAAAACAATCTGGGTTCCGAAAAAAATAGAGCACATCTGCTGCATTAGACTCTATGAATCACATTTACAGTAGCCTTGATAATAAGCAGTACTGTGCCTGTCTTTTTCTAGACCTGTCCAAAGCTTTTGATACAGTAGACCACGACACCCTGCTTAGTAAACTAAGTTGCCTCGGTTTTTCCGAAAACGCAGTAAAATGGTTACAAAATTACCTCTTTTCTCGCACCCAAACTGTATTCACAGATGGTTGGAGGTCAAACAGTGTAAAGATAACAAAAGGGGTTCCACAGGGTTCCATCCTCGGCCCCCTTTTGTTCTCTCTTCATGTCAATGACTTGGGCACTGACCTGGATCATTCCAGGGTAAATCTTTTTGCAGACGACACGATGCTGATTACTGCTGGCCGCTCTCCGGATGACGTGATTGCTAAGCTACAGGGTGATTTAAACAAACTACAACATCAGCTAGTTGCTCTTAAACTAGTCCTGAATACCTCCAAAACCAAGGTGCTATGCTTCTCACCAGGACTAAAGCAGGAAGTAATTTTTCCCCAATTACATTCCTTAAATAATTATCAAATAGAACAAGTCAAGATCTATAAGTATCTTGGGGTCATCCTGGATTAAAAACTGAATTTTGAAGATCACATTGATTATATTGGTAAAAAGACAAAAATAGAAATTGGTTTTCTGTATCGACACAAGCACTGCTTCCCCCCAATGTTCCGTTTGGAATTGATATAAGCTACCATACTGCCTCTACTTGACTACTGTGACATCGTGTATAAATCAGCCCCAAGTACTGTACTGAAGAAGCTTGATTCTATCTATCACTCGGCCTTAAGATTTACATTGAACTGCCCATATAGGACTCACCACTGTGATCTCTACATTGGGTCAAACTTAACATCTCTTAATGTTCGACGGCTTGTGCACCAGCTTATTTATTCACGATGTACTTGCAAATTCCCTATTGCCGTACAAAAACTGGAGGAAGGGCCTTTGCTATGGATGCCCCCAGAGTCTGGAATGCTATTGCAAATAAACTGCAACTTGAATCACTACCAATGAAATCTTCTCTCAAAACTGCTCTAGAGGAGTTGTACACCCCTAGCTGCCACTGCTATTCATTGGCGTAAAATACAATAAAATGTTTCGCTCCGGATGACGCTGCAAAGTATGATCTGTATTTTGATTTAGCATGCTGATCTTAAAGGTGCTACTCCGACTGATGCTTCTGTTGTTGTGGAATAACTCATGCAGCCAGCAATGGCTCTAGGATTTGGTGTTACATGTTATTTATGTAGTTTATTGTAAAAATTCGGTCACAGTCCCTGTGATCACTGTTACGTTGCAATTATGGCTTTATTTTTTGGTGATTTGGAAAAGTTTTTTGGTTTGGACATGTTTGTTTTGTTGTAGTACGGTGTTAGACTGATGGCCTTAATCTAAGTTTTCTTGTGGTTGTTGTTGTTTGACTTGCATCCCACTGCGATTTTTTGGACACAGCATTGGTGTACGGTGCTTTTTTCAGGAATACTTTGCTGTTGTTTTTCAATGATTTTCTGTTTGCAGTCACATAGTCACTTTCAGATGTTTTTTCTTGTCCATGTTTTTGTTTTTTTGTTTGTTGTGGTTGCACCCGATTCAAGAGCCGAATGGCTCACAGGGCTATACCAAAATAAATAAACTGAAAACTAAAAACAATATTTTAATTTACCAAGTAAGGCCCACTGAGCTATGTAGCTTTTTTTCAGAAGTGACCTGGCGACAAATGATAGCTTAAAGAAGTGGCTTTTCAAGTGGACATTTATAGCAGCCAAAAAATCTAAACGCATGTTTCTTAATGTGGAGGGAAAAACCGGAAGACCCAGAAAAAATTCAACATTAGGATTTGTTCAATCCGACAACCTCCTGCATACCAGGTGAGGTAGTTATCATCTCGCCAACGTGGCGAGATGTTAACTAGGTGCTACTATAAGAGAGTAGCATCTATGAAGGGCATTACGGTACACCTATGAGGGGGAGGTGTGGGCAGTACCGCCACATATTAATGTTTTTACACGGTGCAAAAGGTACCCAATTAAGGCTGAATCGACCTCAGGGAGGCCCAGGACCAGATCAGATATTCACCACCGATGTTGTCAGTGAGCAGGAATCGAACTCAGGTTGCCGAGTTCGAAAAGACAAAGATCCCCCATGTATCCTCAACAGACTGTTTAGGACAAGTGCTGTTAGCAAGCACCTCCAGAGGGGGTGGGTGGCCAGCACCATGCCTGATATCCATTGTCTCCCCAGTGGCGATGTTTACACACTGCACCAGTTACTCATTTGAGGCTGAGTCGACTGAGAGGAGGCCCAGGACCGATTAAAATAATCATCACTGGTGTTGGCCGTGAGCGGGAATTGGACTCGGGTCACCGGGTCCATAGCGCAGCATGCTAACCGTTAACCTCGCACACTCACAGTCACACACACTCTCATGCAAAAGTCTCACGCTAGGTAACAAACACTCACAGCCTACCCCACCCGCATGGCCTCTCCATCTCTCCGCACACGCAAACGCACCTCGGCGATCTCCTGCTTATTGTCCACCACGAGGAGTGGCACGGACAGCAGCACTGAGCGGAATCGCTCCAGGGCTTCCTCGAACTTGCCGGCCGTGGTGAGCTGGTAGCAGGCCTGCAGGCGTGCAATCAGCTCTGCCAGGCGCACCCCCACTGCCGGCAGGCCCCCACGTGCACCCGCGTCCTTCCTGCAGCAGCGGCGGTAGTGGCATCATCATCATCACCACCGCCACCACTGCGATTAGTGGTAGAGGCAGCAGCATTATCACCATCACCATTGCGATCAGCGGCAGCGGCATAGGCAGCAGCAGCATTAGCAACGGCATAGTCGTCATAAATATCAGTAGCGGCATCATCACCACCAGTGCAATCAACAGCAGCAGCACCAGTTGCAGCAGCAGTATCATTATCAGTACAAATGGCAGCAGCATCAATGTCATCAGCAGCATCATCATTAATACTAAGTGTCGTCAGCACTAACAGCAGCATAAACATCAATACCAGTAGTAATAACATCGTCATCATCTTCTTAGCTCTTTCGGTAAAGTCACGTTGAAGGGAAACAATAAAATAATAAAATATATATAAAACAATAAAAATTCTCACGACGTTTCGACCATAACACAAACGGTCGTCATCAGGTGTGTCGGTTTGCATTACTTTATTTTTAAACGGCGTATTTATTTATAAAAACGTCAGCGCCACGCACAGCGATTTGGCAGTTTATTTAGAAGGACGAGTCCATCTATGTTCTGAAAAGAGGAGGGGGGAGACGAAAAATTAATGTATGCTGTCTGAAAGCCACTGTAAGCGTGAACAATCAATTAAGACCTGAAATTGTTTATCAAATCTTTCCAATGATTGCTAAGCCAGAATCCATCTTCTCGGTTGAAATTGTCTCTGTGCTTGTATATGTGGATAGCCTCATGAACGAATCTCTCATGGTAGCCAGATGGCTTACAAAGAACCTCTGTCTTGGAAAAGTCAATGTCATGTGAGCCTACTGAATTATAACAATGATCTGCCACGGCCGAGGTGTTGGTCCTACCGTGTTTAAGGTCTGCTTTGTGTTCACGAATGCGGTCCGAGACATGGGTTTGGTTTCTCTAATGTAACTCCTACCACAGAGGCAACTTAGTTTGTAGTTTGTCCGGAAACACATCTTTTACAGACGGAACCAGATCACGGATTTTGTGTAATGTGTTGAAACGGACCTGGATCTTGTGTTTATTCAAGATTTTGGAGATCTTCATTGTGATCCCCGCAATGTAGGGTAAAGTGATGGTTTTGAAAGGCTCCTCAAGAGGGTCCTTCTTCATGGTTTGAGTGATAGCTTTGCGGATTGTATAGTCGGAGTAACCATTTGACTTAAGAGCTTGGTGTACGTGCTTGAGTTCACTGCCTATGTGTTCCTGGTCGGATATGCATTGGGCTCTATGATACAGAGTCTTGATGAGAAAATTCTTCTGTGATGGATGGTGGTGGGAATCTGGTTTCAGATAAGCATCCGTATGGGTAGCTTTCCTGTAGACAGAGTGGCTCATTGAACCATCAGGTCTCTCTTTAATTAAGACATCCAAAAAAGGTAGCTTGCCATCTTTTTTGACTTCCATGGTAAATCTGATGGCTGGGTATATGGAATTGATGTGGTCGAAGAATTGGTCTAGAGCAGGCCGGCCATGTGGCCAGATGACAAAAGTGTCATCCACGTACCTCTTCCATAAGGTTGGGCGCAGAGTGGCAGTCTGGATGGCGTCAGTCTCAAATTTCTCCATGAAAATGTTGGCTACAACCGGAGATAGGGGGGAGCCCATTGGGGTGCCCTCAGTTTGTTTGTAGAAAGTTCCATTCCAAGTGAAGTATGTAATGGTTAAACAGTGTCTCACCAGGGGGGGGGTACCTCAGTGTTTAGTCCTTGATGAACCAAGTCTTCAATGATTGCGATGGTGTCAGGTACAGGAACCTTGGTGAATAAGGAAACTACATCAAAACTGAGAAGCAGGTCGTCTGGGGACAGGGAAATACCCTTGATTGTCGATACCAGGTGAGTAGAATTTTGTACCGCAGAGGTGGTTTTTCCAGTGAAAGGATGCAGGATTTCAGACAAAAAACGAACCAGTTTGTAGGTGGGGGAGTTGATAGTAGAGACGATGGGACGAAGGGGTGTATCTACTTTACGTATTTTTGGTAAGCCGTATAATCTTGGTGGCCTGGCAGCAGAAGGTTTCAACAAAAACTGTTTAGATTGATCAATTAATGCGGTTGAATCAGAAATTATTTTGTTGGTTTGTGTGACGAGGCTGTTGGTGGGATCTCTTTTTATTTTTGTATAACTACCATCGTCGAGTAATTCTTTAATTTTGTTGTATTGTATTTTATCCATGATGACAGTAGCATCATACTTCACTTGGAATGGAACTTTCTACAAACAAACTGAGGGCACCCCAATGGGCTCCCTCCTATCTCCGGTTATAGCTAACATTTTCATGGAGAAATTTGAGACTGACGTCATCTAGACTGCCACTCTGCGCCCAACCTTGTGGAAGAGGTACGTGGATGACACTTTTGTCATCTGGCCACATGGCCGGCCTGCTCTAGACCAATTATTCGACCACATCAATTCCATACACCCAGCCATCAGATTTACCATGGAAGTCGAAAAAGATGACAAGCTACCTTTTTTGGATGTCTTAATTAAAAAGAGACCTGATGGTTCAATGAGCCACTCTGTCTACAGGAAAGCTACCCATACGGATGCTTATCTGAAACCAGATTCCCACCACCATCCATCACAGAAGAATTCTCTCATCAAGACTCTGTATCATAGAGCCTAATGCATATCCGACCAGGAACACATAGGCAGTGAACTCAAGCACGTACACCAAGCTCTTAAGGCTAATGGTTACTCCGACTATACAATCCGCAAAGCTATCACTCAAACCATGAAGAAGGACCCTCTTGAGGAGCCTTTCAAAACCATCACTTTACCCTACATTGCGGGGATCACAAAAAAGATCTCCAAAATCTTGAATAAACACAAGATCCAGGTCCGTTTCAACACATTACATAACATCCGTGATCTGGTTCCGTCTGTAAAAGATGTGATACCGGACAAACTACAAACTAAGTTGCCTCTGTGGTAGGAGTTACATTGGAGAAACCAAACGCCATGTCTCGGACCGCATTCGTGAACACAAAGCAGACCTTAAACACGGTAGGACCAACACCTCGGCCGTGGCAGATCATTGTTATAATTCAGTAGGCTCACATGACATTGACTTTTCCAAGACAGAGGTTCTTTGTAAGCCATCTGGCTGCCATGAGAGATTCGTTCATGAGGCTATCCACATATACAAGCACAGAGACAATTTCAACCGAGAAGATGGATTCTGGCTTAGCAATCATTGGAAAGATTTGATAAACCATTTCAGGTCTTAATTTATTGTTCACGCTTACAGTGGCTTTCAGACAGCATACATTAATTTTTCGTCTCCCCCCTCCTCTTTTCAGAACATAGATGGACTCGTCCTTCTAAATAAACTGGAAAATCGCTGCGCGTTGCGCTGACGTTTTTATAAATACGCCGTTAAAAAATAAATAAAGTAACGCAAACCGACACACCTGATGACGACCGTTTGTGTTATGGTCGAAACGTCGTGAGAATTTTTATTGTTTTATATATATTTTATTATTTTATTGTTTCCCTTCAACGTGACTTTACCGAAAGAGCTAAGAATATGAATTACTGCAGTCACGAAAGCTTTAAATCAAAATCGTCATCATCATCGCGAACAGCAGCAGCAAAAGCAGCAGCAGGAGCAGCTTCTGCATTGCTTTGGCGTCGCGTTCCCACCATGTTGGCAGCTCCCCCCTCACCCGCCGTACCAGTTGCGGTGCGGATGGCCCTGCAGGGGCGGCAGCGAGGGTAAGCCCTGGTGCGCAGTGCGCGCACGTGACAGCGTCTGCATGAACAGAGGCTTGTACGGCCCGAAAGCCACCACCCCAACCTGGTCGTGCAATAGCTGCGGCACGCGAGAGAGCACAAACAGAGAGGCAGACAAGGATCCTCCATATAGCCTCAACAGACTGTTGGGGGCAAGTTCTGTTAGCAAGCAGTGCATATGAACGAGGGGGCGGGTTGCCAGCACCATGCCCGGCCGCCTTCGTCTCCCCAGTGACAACGTATTTACACCAAAAAGCAAACGTACTCATTTAAGGCTGAATCAACCTAGGGGAGGCCCAGGACCAGTTCAGATAATTGTTGTCACCGGTGTTGGCCGTGAGCGGGAATCTAACTCGGGTCCGCCAGGTCCATAGCGCAGCACGCGAACTGCTACGCCACCGTTCCCCACGCGTGGTCACAAACGCGGCACACACAGTCCATGCCGCCTGCACTTGCTATCAAGAAGGGCTATTGCCTAAAACTTCACCTATTTTATATATCTACTAGCAGGAAGTACCCGGCTTTGCCCGGGGGGAAAATATATTTAAAAACTAGCCTTCTCTTAAAAAAACATAACATGTACATACACAAATACTAAGCTATTATGAGAGCCCGGCGTTCCATTTGTCCGTCAACAAAATTACGAGAGCCTTTCAGAAGTCCTGAATAAAAAAGTTATAGAAAGTGGGGGTAAAAAGCTGACTTAAAAGGTTCCAAATGTTTTCGACCCCCATCCCACCCAATTTATTTTTATTTTATAGGCATATATACCTACACAGCCAACATACAATAGAATAAGTTGTATCTAGTGACCCTACAGTAGTATCTAGTGACTCCACAGCAGTATCTACTGACTCTAGTAGTATCTACTGAATCTCCAGGAGTATTTACTGACTCAATAGTAGTATTTACTGACCCTATAGTAGTATCTACTGACTCTAGTAGTATCTACTGAATCTACAGGAGTATTTACCGACTCAATAGTAGTATTTACTGACTCTACAGTAGTATCTACTGACTCTACAGTAGTATCTACTGACTCTACAGTAGTATCTACTGACTCTACAGTAGTATCTACTGACTCTACAGTAGTATCTACTGACTCTACAGTAGTAACTACTGGCTCTACAATAGTATTTACTACTCTACAGTAGTGTCTACTGACAATATAGTAGTAACTGCACACATTGAGGTGGGGGGGTAGGACATCACACTGTTCAGGATTTTCCTCAGCCTGTGCTTCTGCTGCAGTAACTGTGCAGTCTCTGGCTTGTTTTGTTTGACGCACGCTGTTCTGTGGTCCTCAGCCCATGCTGCTGCGGTGCCTTGGTCGTTTGTTTGCTGTTGAGACAGCCGCTGCACCTCCACTGTTTGTTTTGCACACCACAGTGCCGCCATTCTCTTTGTTTTGGAGAGGCATTTCATCTTGTAAACAAAATGACCAACAAGTTTTTAATGCGAAAGAACATCCCTCCCGTCCCTGCTCAGCAATCTTTTTCATGTTGCTAGGGGCAACCGCGAGTCACATTCCATGCATGTGCAGATGCACGCTTTAACGTGCCCTCACAGTTATCATTACGAACAGAGTACATTGTTAGAAAGTGTGATTTTCCTCGTTTAGGCTTAGTTTTTTGTATCTGTGTACATTGAAACGCAAACAAAAAGTCTGTCAGTTAAAAGCTTTACAAGGAAGGCACATATAGAGAGACAGATAGTCAGAAATGACTTTTATAGGTAACTAGCGGTAAGTACCCGGCATTGCCCGGGTAAAAAATATATTTCAAAACTTCTCCTAAAAACCTTACATATACATACACAGATACTGGGCCGTTTGTCCATTTCTCCACCAACAAAATTATAAGATGCTTGCACAAGTCCAAACAAATAGAAAGTGGGGGGTAAACAGTTGATCTCAAAGATTTCCGAAAATTGTCGACACCCCCCCCCCCTCTCAAAAAATATATTGACCCTCACATAGGTATATATAGCTACACACCCTACATACAACAGAGTAAGTAGTATCTATTGACTCTGTAGTTGCATATACTGACTGTACAGTAGTATCTAATGAGCCAGTAGTAGCTACTGACTGTTTAGTAGTATTTACTGACTGCAGTAACTACTGGCCGTAGTAGTATCTCCTGGCCCTACTGTAGTATCTAGCGACTCTATAATAGTAACAACTAACTTTATCAAAGTATATGCTGACTCTATAGTAGTATCCACTGACTATAGTAGTATCTACTAACTCTATAGCAGTATCTACTCTATAGTAGTATCTACTGACTCTAGTAGCTAATGACCGTAGTAGTATCTACTGACTGTATAGTAGTATCTACTTACTGTAGCAGTATTTACTGACTGTAGTGGTATATGATTGTTTTAGTATCTACTAACTCTATAAAACAGTATCTACTATTACTACAGCAGTGCATACCGACTGTGGTGGTAACTGCTATCACTACAGCAGTGCATACCGACTGTGGTAGTACCTGCTATGATTACAGCAGTGGATACTGACTGTGGTGGTACCTGATATGATAACAGCAGTGCATAATGACTGTGGTGGTACCTACTATGATTACAGCAGTGCATACTGACTGTGGTGGTACCTGCTATGATTACAGCAGTGCATACTGACTGTGGTCGGACCTGCTATGATTACAGCAGTGCATACTGACTGTGGTGGTACCTGCTCTTCACTACAGTAGTGGAAACTGCTGTGGTGGCACGTGCCATCATTACAGCAGTGCATACTGACTGGTGATACCTGCTATGATTACAGCAGTGGATACTGTGGTGGAACCTGCTATCATTACAGCAGTGCATACTGACTGGTGATACCTGCTATGATTACAGCAGTGCATATTGCTGTGGTGGTACCTGCTTTCACTACAGCAGTGCAAACCGACTGTGGTGGAACCTGCTATTACAGCAGCGCATACTGACTGGTGGTACCTGCTATGATTACAGCCATACATATTGTGGTGGTACCTGCTTTCACTACAGCATTGCATACTGCTGTGGTGGTACCTGCTATGACTACAGCATTGCATGCTGACTGTGGTGGTATCCTGCTGTGACTACAGCAGTGCATGCTGACTGTGGTGGTATCCTGCTATGACTACCGCATTGCATGCTGACTTTGGTGGTATGCTGCTTTCACTACAGTATTGCATGCTGACTGTGGTGTTATCCTGCTATCACTACAGCAGTGCATACCTACTTTTGGTGGGACATGTTTTTCCTAGACCAGTGCATACTCACTGTGGTGGTACCTGCTATCACTACAGCAGTGCATACTAATTGTGGTGGTACCTGCTATGATTACAGCAGTGCATATTGACTGTGGTGGTACCTGCTATCGCTAAAGCAGTGCATACTAATTGTGGTGGTACCTGCTATGATTACAGCAGTGCATATTGACTGTGATGGTACCTGCTATCGCTAAAGCAGTGCATACTGATTGTGGCGGTACCTGCTATGATTACAGCAGTGCATACTGACTGTGGTGGTACCTGCTTTCACGACAGCAGTGGAAACTGCTGTGGTGGTACGTGATATCATTACAGCAGTGCATACTGACTGGTGCTACCTGCTATGATTACAGCAGAGGATACTGACTTTGGTGGTATCCTATGACTACAGCTGTGCATACTGTGTTGGTACCTGCTATTACAGCAGTGCATACTGACTGTGGTGGTACCTGCTATCGCTAAAGCAGTGCATACTGATTGTGGTGATACCTGCTATTATTACAGCAGTGCATACTGACTGTGGTGGTACCTGCTTTCACTACAGCAGTGGAAACTGCTGTGGTGGTACATGCTATCATTACAGCAGTGCATACTGACTGATGCTACCTGCTATGATTACAGCAGTGGATACTGACTTTGGTGGTATCCTATGACTACAGCTGTGCATACTGTGTTGGCACCTGCGATTACAGCAGTGCATACTGACTGTGGTGGTACCTGCTATGATTACAGCAGTGCATACTGCTGTGGTGGTACCTGCTTCCACTACAGCAGTGCAAACCGACTGTGGTGGAACCTGCTATTACAGCAGTGCATACTGACTGTGGTGGTACCTGCTATGATTACAGCAGTACATATTGTGGTGGTACCTGCTTTCACTACAGCATTGTATACTGCTGTGTTGGTACCTGCTTTGATAACAGCAGTGCATATTGTGGTGGTACCTGTTATCACAGCATTGCATGCTGTGGTGGTACCTGCTTTGACTACAGCATTGCATGCTGACTGTGGTGGTATCCTGCTATGACTACAACTGTGCATACTGTGTTGGTACCTGCTATTACAGCAGTGCATACTGACTGTGGTGGTACCTGCTATGATCACAGCAGTGCATACTGCTGTGGTGGTACCTGCTTCCACTACAGCAGTGCAAACCGACTGTGATGGAACCTGTTATTACAGCAGTGCATACAGTGGTGGTACCTGCTATGATTACAGCAGTACATATTGTGGTGGTACTTGCTTTCACTACAGCATTGTATACTGCTGTGGTGGTACCTGCTTTGATAACAGCAGTGCATATTGTGGTGGTACCTGTTATCACGACAGCATTGCATGCTGTGGTGGTACCTGCTTTGACTACAGCATTGCATGCTGACTGTGGTGGTATCCCGCTATGACTGCAGCATTGCATGCTGACTGTGGTGGTATCCTGCAATGACTACAGCAGTGCATACCGACATGGTGGTTCCTGCTATGATTACAGCTTTCACTACAGTAGTACATGCTGACTCTATGTTATATATGAAAAGAAAATTTGTGAATGTGTGTGTTCAAAATGTTTAGCATACTTGCCGACATGCAACGAACTTATATTATCATACACTCACACAACCACCGACCCATTCACTCATCATGCACTCACTCATCATACACTGACTCACTCATCATACGCTGACTCACTCAAACATCATACACTGAGAGTGTCATGCTGCCAGCAATGGCTGCTAGTTTGGTCTTACATGTTATTTATATCGTTTGTTAAATGAGACTCACAGTTCCTATGATAACCGTTGTTACATTGTTTTTGAAGCTTTTCTTTGGTGATTTAGAAAACATATGGTTATTCTATCTTATAGTTGGTATTGTTTGACTTGCATCACACTGGGATTTGAGCACACAGCGTTGTAAAGTAATCTACAACCTTCGATTCCTTTGCGCGATTGAAAGAATCGATTCTTGGCTCGCTTGGGTTTTATTTTAAATTAATGAGTTATCTTTTCATTTGTATGTTATGTTTTTAAGTTTTCAGACGTTTTAAAATATTTATTTCCCCGCTAGTAGCAGTATATATATGGACTCTATAGCACAAAGTACTCACCTGACAGATTGCGTGACGAGGCCGAGTCCCGTGCAAAGCCTCCGGCCTCGCTTAGATTGCCCGGCCGGCCGAGGCTGTGGGCTGGGCCGCTACCCACCCCCCCCCCCCCCGCGCTACAATAATCCTATTTAATCGCTATAATTTTAGTATCTACCGACCCTATAATAGTAAGTGCACACATTGGGGTGGAGGGGGAGAGAAGAGGACGTGATGCTTTGATGAATTTACCTCAGCGTTGCGTGTAAATTTGTTGAATTTTGAAGAAAAAATGGCGTCCCCCCTGCAGCGACGGCGTCTGTGCGTTGCCAGGGGCAACTCGCGTCGGCGTTTCGCGCATGCGCAGCAGCGAGCCGGTCGGTAAAAGTAAATAAATAAAGATAAATCGCACTAAAACGTTAACTTAACTACTGTAAAGGTGACGGATGGCAAAACGGAATAGCCTATGCCAAGCAGGGGGCTTGGGGCGTGCCGCCCGGCAATTTTTTTTCTACGCGAACCCCGCGGTCCGAGAGCCAAATCTCTCGCAAGCGAGCGTACACAGACGGACAGACAGACGGACAGACAGACAGACAAAAAATGAGTTTTATATGTTAGATATATTCCTTCTAAGGCCACACTCCCGTGATCACACATGGTGTTGTTGTAGTTTGTTGTTGTTACTGATGCGGAAGGTGTTGGGGTTCATTTTGTAGTTGATGATTGTGAGGGGTGGGTACAGGGGGGCTGTATTCACCCGCATGGCCGTCTCAAAGGAACCGGCGAGGATGTGGTCCACGGGCAGCTGTGAGTTTGTGCACCAGACCTGGAAGGCAACACAAGATATACACACACACATACACAGAACAGAGACACACAGATGGACGCAGATAGACACCACAGATGCACATACATGCACACAGACGCATGCACACACAAGACAAAGACACACACAACAGGGAGAGGGTCAGTGTACATGACCCCACAAAGATCCCCCATGTAGCCTTTAACAAACTGTCGAGGCAAATGTATGTAAATCTGAACTTCTTTTACACGGTACGTAGCAAATGTGCTAATCAAAAGTACTATTAGTGAGTAGCACCTACAGTGAGGGAAAAAAGTATTTGATCCCCTGCTGATTTTGTATGTTTGCCCACTGACAAAGAAATGATCAGTCTATAATTTTAATGGTGGGTTTATTTGAACAGTGAGAGAGAATAACAACAACAAAAATCAAGAAAAACGCATGTCAAAAATGTTATAAATTGATTTGCATTTTAATGAGGGAAATAAGTATTTGACCCCTCTGCAAAACATGACTTAGTACTTGGTGGCGAAACCCTTGTTGGCAATCACAGAGGTCAGACGTTTCTTGTAGTTGGCCACCAGGTTTGCACACATCTCAGGAGGGATTTTGTCCCACTCCTCTTTGCAGATCTTCTCCAAGTCATTAAGGTTTCGAGGCTGACGTTTGGCAACTCGAACCTTCAGCTCCCTCCACAGATTTTCTATGGGATTAAGGTCTGGAGACTGGCTCGGCCACTCCAGGACCTTAATGTGCTTCTTCTTGAGCCACTCCTTTGTTGCCTTGGTCATGTGTTTTGGGTCATTGTCATGTTGGAATACCCATCCACGACCCATTTTCAATGCCCTGGCTGAGGGAAGGAGGTTCTCACCCAAGATTTGACGGTACATGGCCCCGTCCATCGTCCCTTTGATGCGGTGAAGTTGTCCTGTCACCTTAGCAGAAAAACACCCCAAAAGCATAATGTTTCCACCTCCATGTTTGACGGTGGGGATGGTGTTCTTGGGGTCATAGGCAGCATTCCTCCTCCTCCAAACACGGCGAGTTGAGTTGATGCCAAAGAGCTCAATTTTGGTCTCATCTGACCACAACACTTTCACCCAGTTGTCCTCTGAATCATTCAGATGTTCATTGGCAAACTTCAGACGGGCATGTATATATGCTTTCTTGAGCAGGGGGACCTTGCGGGTGCTGCAGGATTTCAGTCATTCACGGTGTAGTGTATTACCAACTGTTTTCTTGGTGACTATGGTCCCAGTTGCCTTGAGATCATTGACAAGATCCTCCCGTGTAGTTCTCGGCTGATTCCTCACCGTTCTCATGACCATTGCAACTCCACGAGGTGAGATCTTGCATGGAGCCCCAGGCCGAGGGAGATTGACAAATCTTGTGTTTCTTCCATTTGCGAATAATCGCACCAAATGTTGTCACCTTCTCACCAAGCTACTTGTCAATGGTCTTGTAGCCCATTCCAGCCTTGTGTAGGTCTACAAATTTGTCCCTGACATCCTTGGACAGCTCTTTGGTCTTGGCCATGGTGGGGAGTTTGGAATCTGATTGATTGCTTCTGTGGACAGGTGTCTTTTATACAGGTAACAAGCTGAGATTAGGAGCACTACCTTTAAGAGTGTGCTCCTAATCTCAGCTCGTTACCTGTATAAAAGACACCTGGGAGCCAGAAATCTTTCTGATTGAGAGGGGTCAAATACTTATTTCCCTCATTAAAATGCAAATCAATTCATAATATTTTTGACATGCGTTTTTCTGGATTTTTTTGTTGATATTCTGTCTCTCACTGTTCAAATAAACCTACCATTAAAATTATAGACTGATCATTTCTTTGTCAGTGGACAAACGTACAAAATGAACAGGGGATCAAATACTTTTTCCCCTCACTGTATAGAGGCCAGCACAGAACATGTGAGGGTGGGTGGCCAGCACCACGCCCAGCTGCCTGGTGCCCGTGGACCACACCTGGTGCTCATTTGAGGAAGCCCAGGACGGTTCAGAAATTCGTCACCGATGTTGGCTGCGAGCGGGAATCAAACTCTGGTTGCCAGGTTCAGAGTGCAGTACAGGGCTAACCACTGCGCCACCGCTTCCCCACACAGACACATACACAACGTTGCCTGTATAGCCACATATACTGCTGGAACCAGCAATGTCAGGCTGTGCATGTAGCATTGTGTTGGATTGCGCTGCTGGGATCTGTATTTAGTTATTTGTGTGTGTGTAGATATGTGTGTGGGCCACACCTGGCTCTGGCTGGTTCCTTTAGTCGGAGGAACGAAGAATCCCTCTTCTCCGCCGGTGAGAGGTCCAGACGGCACATCCTGTACACAACATCAAGGGGTTATCTGAACTATATAACTCTTTTTTCAGAAGCCATTTCTGGCCAGGTCGATTTTTCAGAAGCGACATGGCCACGAATGAAATTCAAAATGAGCGGCTGATGATGTGAAAATTGAAAGTAGCCAAATGCTCTAAACGCCTGTTCATTCTAAACGTGGAGGGAAAATCTGGAGGACCCAGAGAAAATCCACGCGGCCATGGGGAGAACATGCAAACTCCAAATATAGACGCGTCAGGTTTGAACACACCTCCTGCATACCAGGCGAGATAGTTAACATCTTGCCACCGCGGCACCCTATAATCTCCCTTCCTTCTGGCAGACCCTGGCAGACCCTGGCAGCTGTTGCACATTTAATACTACTTAACCCCCAAGGTCTGCTTTCACAGTCCGATCAATGCTAACCGTCTGGCTTTAGGTCTTCCCCTTGTTACACAGGTGACACGTCCTTTCAAGGACATCTCGGAATCTCATCATGACCATCACCACCAATCTGGCTTTAGGTTATTTTCCTCCTTCAGGGACCAGTTTCAGAGCCGTATTCTTAAGTCAGGACTCCGCTCAGGCTTGGGCCACCACCGCTCCTCAGCTGATTCCAAAGACGTGCGAGTGAGCGTCTCAGGCTCAGCCGTGGCTCGGGGCTCAGGCTCAGCCTCATGCAAATCCTGAGCATGGCTGGGACCCACCACAGCTCAGAGCTGGCTCGGAAAGTTAAGCGTGTGATGGCTTTGAGCCAACAGCTCAGTTGAGACAGAGTCAAGCCGGAGCCGAGCTGTGATGAAAAATGTGGGCCTAAAGAGTCTCAAAATCAACACCACCACCACTACCACCATGTGGCTTTAGGGTTTTTCTTCCCATTGGTTACCAACCTCTGGGTGGCACTTCAATGCCAGTCTCAGTGACCTGCCCTTATCCTCCACCTTACACGCTGTGTCCCACCCATCTCAACCTCCTTTTCCACCCGACATACCTTGTTCCACTCATCACTACCTCCTCATCCACTCTACACACAGTGTCCCACCCATCGCTACCTCCTCCTCCACTCTACACAACATGCCTCACCCATCTCAACCTCCTCCTCCTGTTCCCAACCTCCAAGTTGCCTACCCCATCCTCCTCCACTCCTACCCACCGTGTCCCACCCATCACTACCTCCTCCTCCTGTTCCCAACCTCCAAGTTGCTTACCCCATCCGCGAATATTACATCAATTTGATCTCTGCCTCTCTGATCCTGCATCACCCACCAGGTCGGGGGGCAGCTCCAGGTCCTCGTCCACGTCCCAGCCGCCGCCCTCCTCAGCCGCCTTTACTGCCGCGTCATCTCCGGTGCCCTCCACTGCGTCCGCAAAGCCCTCTGTGGGAAACAGAGTTGCCCGCTCGCTCTCTTACTTGCTCCCTTGCTCGGCGGTGGTGGTGGCTGTGATTGTGGTGGCAGGTGATGGTTGGTGGTGGTCGTGGTGATGATGTTGGCAGGGGTGGTAGCGAGTGATGATGATGGCGATACTGCTGGTGGTGGCGGTAGAAGTGGTGGTGGTGGTGGTAGTAGTAGTGGTTGGGCAGATGCGCAGAGTAACTGGCAAGTATCCTATGAGCCACAGGGGTTGCACCGTGGGAAGTGTCAATACCGTACCTTCGTCCAGCACGAGCTCCGCGTCATCACCCCAGCCCTCGCCGCCGCCCACCTCCATGTCCAGGTCAGCAGCCATCTGTCCTGCCTTGCCTACTCACAAAGATTCCCCGAAAGCAAGTGCTGTTAGCGAGCATTATGCAGGCCGGCACGGCGCATGAAGGTGTTGGTTTACCAGCACCATGCCCGGCAGCCTTTGTCTCTACAGTGCTGATTGTTTTACACACACTGCACTGGGTATTTGTTTAAGGTGAAGTCGACCTAGGAGAGATTCCAGAATTGGTTCAAATATTCGCTGCCATGGATGTTGGCCGTGAGCGGGAATCGAGTTCGCCGCATAGTGCAACACGAACCACTGCACAACCACTCCCTACAGGTACATGCATTTAAAAGACAAAGATCTCCCGTATAGCTTTAACAGACTGTTGGGGCAAGTGTTGTTAGCGAGCACCTAAAGCACATGCAAAGACAAAGATTCCCCGTATAGCCTTAACAGACTGTTAGGGCAAGTGCTGTAAGCGAGCACCTATGAAGGCCGGAACTGTACACGAGGGGGTGGGTGGCTAGCACCACGCCCAACCGCCTTTGTCTCCCTAGTGACTATTTTTACACACCACATCAGGTACTCATTTGAGGCTGAATCGACCTAGGAGAGGCCCATAAACGGTTAAAACAATCGGGACTGGTGTTGGCCGTCAGCGGGAATCGAACTCGGGTCGCCGGGTTCAGTTAAACACCTAAAGCGCATGCATACACACACACTCGTGTTTATTTACACCCGTGGACATTCACACATGTATCTCTGTATCCTATGTATTATTGTATCTCAGTGTCTGCCTCAGCGTGTCAAAATCCTGTGTCCCGTTTCTGTCTTAGTATCCTGTATTTCAGTGCCCCTGTTGCAGTGTCTGGTATGTCAGCGTCCCCTTGTCTCAGTATCTCGCATTTCCGTGTCACATCGCGTCCCAGTGTCCTGCGTGTCGGTGTCTCCATCGTGTCTCGGTGTTCCTGTACATATAGGTGCCTCATCGTGTCTCTGTGTCATCTCCGTGCGTCTCTGCATCATACCCTTGGCAGCCATGGCGCCCTCGAAGAATCCCTTGGAAACGGTGAGGAGCGGCCAGTTCGTGTCCAGTGGCATTACGGGGGGCGGCGGCTGCAGCAGCACAGCATCTGCATTCACCTCCGGCAGCTGCACACGGCGCAGGCGGCGTCATTACACACGGCATCACACATATGTAACAAAGATCCCCCGTGTAGCTTTAATAGGCTATTGTGGCAAGTGCTGTTAGTGAACACTATGAAGGCCAGCACAGCACACCAGGGAGTGGGTGTCAAGCACCACGCCCAGCCGCCTTTCTCCCCCAGTGGTGCTGTTTTTACACACCACACCAGGTACTCATTTGAGGCTGAGTCGACCAAAGGGAGGCCCACGACCGGTTCAGATAATCGTCACTGGTATTGGCCGTGAGCGGGAATCGAACTTGGGCTGCCAGGTGAGTCGTACAGCGTGCTAACCGCTACACTACCGCTCCTCATTCGTCACACACATCACACACGGCATCACACATCACATACGGTGTGTGATGTGAACAAAGTTTTCAACTCGGTGAGGTTTCCTGGGTAAACGAATGGAATAATTATAAGAATTTTAATGTATTTATTATATTCCTGGTAATGATGGTAATATGTTCAGAAGCTAAATTCCAATTCTGAGCTCTGCTGCTAGCCACGAGAGCGCTTCAGAGGAGAAAGTTGGTGTAGTTTTGTTGTTACTCCTCCATTACAGAAGTCCAGACAACAGTAGTTACTACGTGGTCCACAGTTTGGGACTTTGTGATGCAAGGCCACAGCCGCACCACTGTGGCTCCGATGATGCATTCGATTGTTACGCCATCAGTGTCTTCTTGGAGGTGGAATGTCAAAGGCAGGAGGGTGTACGATTATGTTTGGGTGTCTGATGATGAGGTGTTTTTATTTTGGAATGTCCACATTGTGTTACTCTGTTTGCAGAGCAACAGCATTCTTCCGGATACGGGTGGTGTGATTCTCGGATGGTGACGGCGTGAATCACAAAAGTGGGCGGCAGAGGTGAGGGGGGATGAATTGGGACTGGAGTCTGTGGTGAGGCACACTCAATGGACACTCTCGCTCTCAAGAGCACTCTCCTGATAAATCCTCACCGTCTCCTTCTCCAGGTCGAACTGGGCCTTCAGGCCATCCGCCTCCTCATCCAGGCCATGTGTGGCGGCTGTTAGGTACGCCAGGGACTCTGCGTGTGGCACACACAAACAGCAGAGCAAGATCCCCCACATATCCTTCAACAGACTGTTGGGGCAAGTTCTGTTTGGCCGGGTGGTGACTTCGCATGCCCTGTAATCCAGCGCTGAGGTGGTTCGCCACACTGATGCTGTGAAACTCCCTTCCCGTCGGGGTCAAGGAGCCGTACACTGGCCTGCCAGAATGAGGCAGTACAGCAATCATGCGGACTCCACCTGTGCCGTCTGTACGATTTCCTCCCACGTGCAAAACAATCATTAAGTGGCTGATACCACCTTAATACAGGGTCTCCATAAAGTCCCTATCTATTTTTCTGAAATCAAAGCAATTCATGGTAAATTTTGCAATAATAATTAATCAGAGGTATATGTATTAATTACAATTAAGCATTGGATTCTACATGAGCACCACAAATATTTCTGCACAGCTCAAATCTATCAGCTGCACTGCGGAACAGTTTTGGCAGCATCTATGGTGTTATTTTTTGTAACTGCCGCTCCTACACATAATCTCGTAAACCTTGCAGATCTGTAACTCTTGCTCGATACACCTCTAACTTGATAAAGCCCCATGCAAAGACATCTGGAAGATGTTCAATCCAGAGATGGGGCCGTCCAGGGCCTCTTGCCACTGTGTCACACCCAACGATTTGGAAAACATTTGTTAAGGTTGTCCCGACGCGATATTTGCAAAATCACAAGAGACCCCATCTTAATGAAACTTTTACTACCATCGCACGTTCTTGGACCATTTATATTCATAGAGTCCTGCAAATATATATAAATACCATTAGTTCAATAAAATATATAGGGACTTTATGGACACCCTGTATATGAACGTATTGGCGGTACAACGGTGGTGGACGTTATATATAACAAAAAGCACTTTTTTGCAATAATTATTTATTTTCCGAGGATCCGCAACCCCGGTAAAAAAATATTGCGGGGTGTGCATCAAAATCAGTTCTTATGATGTGAAAGCGGTCGGAAGATTAATGTTAAAAGCAGCTGAACACAAAGCTTCAGTATGTTGCCGTATATAGCGGCACCCAGCCTTATGACGATTGGCTGCTCCATGTTCAAAAGGCAGATTTTACTCGTGCCGTAGACTTGGTCAGACAGTTCCTCGATTCAACGGACCCAAATCATGTCAAACTTGGTGACAGGGCTAATTAAAGGCTGATAAACAATTTTAGATTGTAGATTGTTTTATGAGGACCGGTATCTTATGCTGCACCAGTGTACTGCCAATACGTCCATATATAGAACCAGAGCTTGGGCAATTGTTGGTAGCACCGGCTCTTCGCCACCTGACTGCTGCTGCCTTCCTGCTCATCTGTGGTTCCTCGTCACACCTTCGATAGTGAAGCTAATACTGTGCGGCAGTGGCGCCACGTTACAAGTTGACATTATCATCACGTTAGCCAGCATCTATGAAGGCTGGTATGGCACACGGGGGGTTGTGTGGCCAGCACAATGCCCGGTCGGACCCCCTTCATCTTCCCACTGTTGATGTTTTATACTTGCAGCATCAGGTACTCATTTGATGCTAAGTCGACTTGGGGGTGTCCCTAATCCGGTTCAAATATTCGTCAGTGACGGCGAGCAGAAAATCGTACTCAGGTCGCCAGGTTCGTAGAGCGGTGCCGCTAACCACTGCGCCACTACTCCGTGTGTTACGACAGCCGCCATTTGCCACTAAGTGGCGGCAACGTCAGCACGGTGCTTGGCGCTGGGCTAGGTGCACTTTGAGGGCACGTTAAACTGTTGAAGAGACAGATCCAGGTGACATGGGTGGCACTGACTGATATGACTGACATCTGCACCCCCTGCGCCAACTCGCTGCGTTTTAGCCGCACCGTCGCCTCCGCTCGTTGTTGTGATGCGGAGTGGAGTGGATGTGCCAGAGATCGGTTACCAGGAGGTGTCAAGATCGGCCTCTATGGAGGAGGCTCGTTAAGGATGCTACTGGGCAGTTGGGGAGGCAGTTGCTCTTCAACAATAGTGGAGGACCGAGGTGCTCACAATGACAAAAGCGCATAGGCGCTTCCACACGCACCATTCACTCAAGCCCAGTTTGATTGTGGGTGTAGGGACACTCACTCTGGCCGCAGTTCTTGAGGACCCGCACTCGCTCCGCCACGTCTCCCAAGTAGAGCGCGTTCTGGTAGTGGCCGCTCACGTCCTTGCGGATCTCGGCTGGGGAAGACACAAAGACAAAGATCCCGCCCCCCGTATCGCCGTTAACAAACTGTTGAGGCAAAAGATGTTGTAGCGAGTAGCACCTATGGTAGCTGGCAAGGCACAAGGGGATGGTGTGGCCGACACCATACCCCAGGCTGCCTTTGTCTCCCCGGTGCTGATGTTGAATATGCACTGCGCCAGTTGCTCATTTCTCCCAACCAGCTTAAAAGTCGCTACGAATCTTAACAGCGTTCATTGAAGCTCTGTGGATGTGTAGGCCTTCAGTTTAACATCTATTTCTGTGACCATTCACAAGCTAATCCCTTAGCTATTTCAATGCTAAATTACTAGTTGCCTCTGTGGATGTGTAGGATTTGACTTTAACATAGCCATTTCCGTGACAAGTCACAAGCTAATCCCTCAGCTATTTGCACAAGCTAATCCCTGAGCTATTTCAATGCTAAATTACTAGTTGCCTCTGTGGATGTGTAGGTTTTGACTTTAACATAGCCATTCCTGTGACCAGTCACAAGCTAATCCCTCAGCTATTTGATATGTAAACCCCTTTGTCAAGGTGCCTCCCTTCTCCCAACCAGCTTAAAAGTCGCTACAAATCTTAACATCGTTCATTGAAGCTCTGTCGTCCCGACAGGTCTGTACCTTTCACCTGAAGACGGCCGCTTGCGTTGTGGCCGAAACGTCGTGATAATTTAATTGTGTTATTTTATTATTTTATTCTCATTCTACGTGACCTTACCGAAAGAACCAAAGAAGATGAATCCCTCATACCCTTAACAGACTGTTGGGGCAAGTGCTGTTAGTGAGCACCTTTGAAGGCTGGAACGGCATACGAGTGGGTGGGTGCCAGCACTACACCCGACCACCTTTGTCTCCCCAGGAGCGATGTTTTTTATACTCCACACCAGGTACTCATTTGTGGCTGAGTCGACCTAGGGGAGGCCTAGGACCTGATCAGATAACCATCAATGGTGTTCACTGTAAGCGGGAATCTAACTCGGGTCGCCGGGTTCGTAGCGCAACACGCTAACCCCTACACTACCGCTCCCCTAATACACACATGCTTACAGAGAGATGCACGTACACCCATGTACGTTGACACACACGAAGAAACATACAGACACAAAACAAAGAAAAAGATCTCCCTTATAGACTATAACAGACTTTTGGGGCAAGTGCTGCTAGCGAGCACCTATGAAGGCCAGCACGGCACACGACGGGGTGGGTGGCCAACACCACTCCCGGCCGCCTTTGTCTCCCCAGTGGCGATGTTTGCACACTGCACTCGGTATTAATTTGAGGCCAAGTCTAACCGCTACACAAACAGACACATGGGCGTAGATACACGCACAAGGCCGTACCGATCTTCATCATCTTGCGCAGCTTGTCAAGGTTGCCGGTGATGAGGTAGAGGAAGGAGAGGCGGTCGAAGTTCTTGGTGCGCTGGTAACACATCTCCACCATCTGGTGGTTGCCCTGCAGCAGCGCAACCTCGCCCAGCTTCTCCCAGCATCCCTTGTCGTCCAACGCCTTGGCGGCCTCAAGCGCAATCTGATGTGGGGCACGGGAACGCAGATGAAGGGAAACAGCAGAGGTGCATTGCAAACGATTGGGATGAGGGCGCACGACGTAGACACACTCATGATGTAGATGCAGGCCACACAATGCAGCCGTACGTTCGATGCAGATGCACAATGCAGACACACGATGCAGATGCACGATGCAGACGCATGCACAACGCTGACGCACGATGCAGGCGTGCGATGCGTGGCCCAGAGGTAGCGTGTTCGCCACTTGTTGCAATGGTTCGCAGCAGATGCTTAAGATCCCCGCGACGTTATTCATTGCGTGCCTCCGTCACGAACCCAAACTTTGAAAATGTATTCCTAAAATTACTCAATTGGGTATTAAATGCATAGCAACTAATCGTCGCCCCCCGTAAAGTTAAACTACTGCAGATTGATAATGATTAATAATGACGTTAACTTGTAACACGGTGCCACATACAGGATTTGCTCGCACTTCTAAAAAGAGATAATTATTCAGAAAAATGAGGAACCACAGAGAAGCGGGGAAGGCAGCAGGCACCCGTATGAGCCCGAGCCAACAACTGCCACAAGCTCTGCTAGTCCTATATATATTAAGGTGTTATTGGTCAAATAACGAATGTTTACATGTGGGAGGAAACCTGTACTACCTTCACCTGGCTCTTCCTCGTTGCCCACCCATTGGGAGGGAGTTTCGCAACATCTGTGTGTGATCCACTAACCCCCACTGCTGCCTCCAGTGCATCCTACCAGGTAAGGCCCACTGAGCTATATAGCTATTTTGTCAGAAGTGACCTGGCCACAAATGAAAGCTCAACAAAGCGGCTTATTATCACGTGTAAATTTACAGCAGTAGCCAAATACTCTAAAAGCGCATTTCTAAATAGGAAACGACAGCGCAAAAAAATGCATCTGATCATGATGAAGACAACGACGGTGATTAATCGAGTTATTCTGCTTACCTCGATGTTGCCGCACTCTAGCGCGAGGGCAAAGCGCGTCTTCTCGTCCTTAACAAAATGCAGCGCCACCTCGGGGTAGCCCTTCTTCTGCAGGTACGCGATGATCGATTGCCCCACCAGCTTTGCGTTGCGTACCATGTGCAGCACCTGCAGCAGCGGCCAACCAAAACGAAAGGAAATTGAGTGACGTGTGCAGCGCACGCGCTTGGTGCGCCTGTGCAGTGCATGCGTACACACACAGCACATGTGCAGCACACTCACAGCTGTCACAGCACACATCACGTAGCACACAAACACATGCAGCACACACCCACTGTACCACCGACTTCCCCCCACTCTCTCTACTCTGTTTCCCCTTCCTCTCTCTCTCTCTGCTCCTCCCCTTTTCGATCTCTCCGCTCTCTCTCTACCCCCCTGCTCCCCTGTTCTGGGGCGCCGAGGTGACGAGATATTAACTACTTCACCTGGTATAAAGGAGGTCGTGGGTTCAATTCCGACTGACGCCTTATATATTTGGAGTTTGCATGGTCTCCCCGTGGTCGCATGGATTTTTCTCTGGGTCCTCCGGTTTTCATGTCCACATTTAGAAACATGCGTTAATGAGTGTTTGGCTGCTATAAATTTCCACGTTATAAGCCACTTAATTCGGCTATCAATTGCAATAGCCATGTCGCTTCTCAAAAAGAGCTAGGAATGCTCAGTGGGCCTTATCTGAGAATTGTATTGTTTCATATTTTTATTATTTTATTGTTTCCCTTCTACGTGACTTTACCAAAAGAACCAAGAATATATAAATATTTTAAAGTTTAAAGTATCTCTCCCCCCTCCCCCGTTCTCCTTCGTCTGGTCCATCCCACCTCGCTCTGCTCTCTCCTCCACACTCCTCCTCGACACCGGATTCCGGCTCTGCCTCTGCCTCCAATGCTCGGGACTCGGCTTAGGCTTGGGCCACCAATGCTCCTCAACTGCTTCCGCAGATGCGCGAGTGAGCGGCGAAGGCTCAGTTTTAGCTCGTGGCTCGAGCTCAGGCTTGTGGAAATCCTGAGTGTGGGCGGGACCACGGCTCAGAGCTGGCTCAGCAAGTAAAGCGTGCAGTGGCTTTGAGCCCATGGTCTTGCTTGAGACGAAGCCTAAGCCCGAGCCTCTCCACCCTCCCGAGTGCCCCCCCGCACCTCATCGTATTTGCGATTGACGAGGGCGAGTTTGAAGCGGAACTCAGTGGGGTCGATGGTCAGCACGCGGGGGCGGCTGTCGCGGTCGAGGCAGTAGACGCTCGTCCCGCGCACGCGCGTCACGTAGATCGGCAGATCCAGCGTGCGGATTATTCCGTGGTCCCTGCGGAGAGACGTAGGAGACGCGGATGAGATCCGGGAGACACACAGGGAACACAGGGGAGATACGGGGAAGACACAGTGAGGCATTGGTGAGCCAGTGAGACATGGAGAGAGACAGAGACACGGAGACACGCAGTGTAGTGTACTGGCCAGTGCAGGGTTATTGAGGGACTGTGTGTTGTCTTGGTGTGGTCTGGGACTGGTTTTCCTGTCGTTTTACTGCTTTTATGAAGCTTGGGAATTGATAATGCAATTATAACTTACTTTTATGTATTTATTAAAGGGGCACCAAAGTGGTGAGATGTTATTTTCCTCGCCTGGTATGCAGGTCAGGGGTTTGATCCTGACCGTGACTCCTGCATGTTTAGAGTTTGCATGTTCTTCCTGTGGGCACGTGGATTTTTTTCTACAGGTCCTCTGTTTTTTCCCTCCACATTTAGAAACATGCATTGAGATTATTTCTCCTGCTGTATCTGTTCCACCTGATGACGGTCGGTTGTGTTGCGATCGAAACGTCGTGATCTATTATTTTTCTACCTACGTGACTTTACCGAAAGAACCAAAGAGTATTATTTTGATTATTTTGGTGCTATGTCCAAATGATGGGTCACTTTGTTGAGCTATCGTTTGTGGCCAGGTTGCTTCTGAAAAATAAGTGAAAACCTCAGTGGGCTTTGCCTGGCAGGATGGGGATGGTTGTTTTATTTGTATGTGTTGGGGTGATGTTTACCTTTCTTGTACTTGGCACGACTATCATGGTTTTGTACTGATGTTATAATGTTCTTACCAGCCCCTACTGGACATCTGTGAAAAAGAGCTTTATAGCTCATCGGATTCCTCCAGGTTAAATATTCTGATTCTGATAGTAGAGTGGGCAGCATAGTGAGCAGCGTAGTGGGCAACGTACCCGTTGGTGAGCGTGTATTTGATATGGTTGGATGTGGTGTAGATGAAGACTCCGCTTTCGTCCCAGGCTCCGCTCTTCACGCGGATGTTCTCGTGGACACTGCACAGCGACTCCAGCTTACGGTTGCAGATCATGATCACTGCACCATGGGGGCACATGTGGCGTTACACGGAGTCACGCAATATAACCATGCACCCCCCCTCCCCCTCTACACGCCTTTTCTCCCCACTGAACCCCTGCGCCTCCTGTTGCCTCTCTTAAACCACACGGATCTCCCCACGCACCCCCTATCTCTACACATTGCCTCGCCTGTCCCGGCATCTAATTCGCCCCGTGTCTCCCTGCGCATCACCGCGTCTCCCCATTGGTGTCCGATTCTCTGCGTCATCCCGCAAGTCTCTCCCCCCATGTTTCACCCCCCGTGCGTCTCTCCACCACGTCCCCCCACTCCATGCATCTCTACCCCCCGCGTGCCACCCAGGGTGTCTCTCCTTCATGTCCCCTCAGCATGTTTCCCCCCACCGTGTCTCATTCACCCCCCACCGTGTCTCATCCCCCCCCCCCGTGTCTCTCTCCAAGCATCTCCCCAACGTCTCTCTTCATACGTCTATGCACCCCACCATGTCTCCTTCCCCACCTACGTGTCTCTCCATGCGTCTCCACACCCCCTCTCCCCACCGCGCATCTCACTGTGCTTGGCGAGCAGGGCCATGTCGCACCCCCCATCTCTACACATCGCCTCGCCTGTCCCTGCATCTCTATCTCCCAGTGTCTCCCTGTGCATCACCACGTCTACCCAATGGTTCCAGATTCTCTGCGTCATCCCGCGAGTCTCTCCCCCATTTCACCCCCCTCGCACGTCTCTCCGCCGCGTCCCCCCCCTCCGTGCATCTCTACCCCACGCGTGCCACCCAAGGTGTCTTTCCCCATATCTCTCCTCCATGTCCCATCAGCATGTTTCCCCCCCCCCCACCATGTCTCCTCCCCCCCTGCGTGTCTCTCTCCATGGGTCTCCCTTGCGTGTCTCTCTCCAAGCATCTCCCCCACGTCTCTCTTCATGCGTCTACGCACCCCACCATGTCTCCTTCCCCATCTATGCGTCTCTCCATGCGTCTCCACACCCCCTCTCCCCCCCGCGAGTCTCACTGTGCTTGGCGAGCAGGGCCACGTGGGACATGTCGGCGCTCCACACCACGTACTTCACCTTGGAGATCTTTACCGACGCTAGAGACCTGAGGGAGAAGCCACAGACAAACCACCACCACCCCCACCCCACGCGGGCATTAACAAGACTGTCAGGGTCAAGTGTTTCAGTTTCAGTTTTCAGTTTAATTTATTTGGTATAGCCCTGTGAGCCATTCGGCTCTTGAATCGGGTGCAACCGCAACAAACAAAAAACAAAAACATGAAAAAGAAAACATCTTAAAGTGACTATGTGCAAACAGAAAATCCAGGAAAAAACAGCAAAAATCTTCCAGAAAAAGCACCGTACACCAACGCTGTGTGCAAATCCCAGTGGGATGCAAGTCAAACAACAACAACCACAAGATAATTTTGATTAAAGCCATCATTCTTACTCCGTACTACAACAAACATGGCCAAACCAAAAAAGTTTTCGACATCACCAAAACAAAGCCATAAAAGCAATACAACAGTGTTCATAGGAACTGTGACCGAAATTTCACAATAAACGACATAAACAACATGTACCATCAAAACCCTGTAGCCATAGCTGGCTGCATGAGTCATTCCACAACAGCAGGAGCATCAGTAGAAGTATCAAACATATTCAATAAACCTTTAAGATCGGCACACTAAATCAAAACACAGATCATACTTTGCAGCAGTCATCCGGAGCGAAACATTTTATTTTAGGCCACTGAACAGCAGTGGCAGCTAGGGGTGTACAACTCCTCTAGAGCAGTTTTGAATGAAGATCTCATAGGTAGTGATTCAAGTTGCAGTTTATTGAGCGACACCTATGGAGGCGCACGGAGGAGGCTGGCCAACACCGCCACGACGACGTGTACAAATTGCACCGGGTACTCATTTCAGACCAAGTTGACGTAGGTGAAGGTGCAGAACCGACATTGCCTGTTGTGAGCAGGAATCAAACTCGAATCAAACTCTGCTTGCCGGGTTCGTAGCATAGTGCAATGTTAGCCCAACACGCCACCGCTCCCACGTGTGGCTCATTGGCACATGCGGAGAGAGGGTGCACTCTACAACACAGATGGCAGTCGCACAGCATCTACACGATTATAACACTACTAATAATAATCCAGTATATGTGGTTTTGGTGCTGTTTTTCTCATGGAGCAGCATGATCATTGCTGAAGGAGGGCACTGCCATTTCACATGGTCTGTGGCAGTTTCACAGTAGGGGGCGACATTACTGCTGCTGTGTGATACCAAATAGGTAATTGGCAGGTACATTTCTCACTTGGCAAATTTGTATTCGCGACGCCGACCGCACCCAATGGCCTCCACCCCCACGGGATCTTCAAGAGGCGAACTGGGTGTGCTAGGGTTTGACCAGCAAGTACGCACCACCGCAGTAATGACCAAGGCGGCCAGCCGGATTAGAACTACAACGAGCGGCAAAACGAACTACTGCTGGGCTGCGTCTCAGCGTCTACACGTATGTATGTTACATGTGTTGAACTTCTTTTGCACCGTACGTAGCCAAATGTGCTAATCGGAAGTGCGGAGGACAACAAACTAAACACAAAAACAAGCAGTTGACCACATCTTGCACATCTCGGTCTCACGGTGTCTACAATAGGGGTTTTTTTTGGGTTAGACCGTGTCAATATAAACGTGTCGTTGAACCCACCACCACCCGACATAGCCAATTAGTAAGGTTTATCACATATACAAAACATGCCAATTGGTTTCTAGTTCAGCACTATCCAGTGTATTGGGAGAGTAAATCCACAACATTTACAATTCGAGTACGATGTTTCGCCGGTGATTACAAGCCTCATCAGGCGACAGCCAGAATTATCTACAAACGACACACAAACTGGGGGTGTCTACACACAACACACAAACTGGGGTGTCTACACACAACACCACACAAACTGGGGTGTCTACACACAACACCACACAAACTGGGGTGTCTACACACAACACCACACAAACTGGGGTGTCTACACACAACACACAAACTGGGGGTGTCTACACACAACACACAAACCAGGGTGTCTACACATAACACAAACTGGGGTGTCTACACACAACACCACACAAACTGGGGTGTCTACACACAACACACAAACTGGGGGTGTCTACACAACACACAAACCAGGGTGTCTACATACAACACACAAACTGGGGGTGTCTACACAACACACAAACCAGGGTGTCTACACATAACACACAAACCGGGGTGTCTACACACAACACCACAAACTGGGGTGTCTAAACACGACACACAAACTGAGGTGTTTACAAACGACACACACACTGGGGGTGTCTACACACTACACACAAACTGAGGTGTCTACACAACACACAAACCAGGGTGTCTACACATAACACACAAACCGGGGTGTCTACACACAACACCACACAAACTGGGGTGTCTAAACACGACACACAAACTGAGGTGTTTACAAACGACACACACACTGGGGGTGTCTACACACTACACACAAACTGAGGTGTCTAAACATGACACACAAACTGGGGGTGTCTACACACAACACACAAACTGGGGTGTCTGCACATAACACACAAACTGGGGTGTCTGCATACGACACACAAACTGGGGGTGTCTACACAACACACAAACTGGGGTGTCTACACCTGGTGCAATGTGTGGATTGTGAAAAGAGGTTAATCGTATTGATTCCCGCTCAGTCGATCCAGCACCCAGCTCAAATTTTATCGGGCAGCCTTTTGAAAACGTCAATTAATTGCGATTCATTCGTGGCCATTCCTTGGCAATCGATTACCTGGCAAACGATTCATTGGCAAGAAACACTACAATCGAGTAGTCGTGCGACACCCCCCCCCACCCCCTTTATTTGATTGACTAATATCAGCAAGCATCGGTGATTCCGTCGCAGTTCCGCTTTTATTGTTACCACAGCGCCCCACCGCTCCCCCCCACCACCGTGAGCGTCCGCGTCATCGTACCTCTTCTGCTGCACATCATACAGAGTGATCGAGTCGGCGTCGCGCAGCAGCAGGTTCCCCGTGCCTGCGTAGAAGACGTCCTCACAGCTGGGTACCTGCACCTTCTTAGTGATCTCGTTCTTGAGGTTCTTAATGAGGATCTGCGACATACGTGCAGGCAGACGGCGGGGGTAACAAGGAGGGTGGTTGGGTATAGGTAGGCTATTATTCGTGGCCAGGTTGCTTCTGAAAAAGTGTTATATAGCTCAGGGGGGGTCTTACCGGGTAAATATAAAAATAGTTTAGTTTTCGATTTAAAGCTTTCGTGACTGCAATGATTCATCTTCTTTGAAAATAGTTTAGTTTTTAGTCTAATACTGCAGGTATAATAACCATAATAACTTGGCTACGTGAGAAACTGGTTGTGTTACTGGTTGCAGAGATGTCCACGTATATAGAGATTCAGCTTGCGTGAAACCGAGGCGTCGCTGTTCTCTCACCGAGTGCATGCGGTCCAGCACCGCAAAGCGGTTGCGGGCGACCCACACGGCGGTGAGTCCCGACGACCGCTTCCCTTCCGGAGCTACAGCGACAACAGCAGCAGTAGCATATACAACACAATCAGTTGCACAGAGAGATACAAAGATCCTCCCATTATAGCCTTAACAGACAGCTTGGGCAAGTGCTGTTAGCAAGTAGCACCTATTAAGACCGGAACAGCACACTAGGGGATGGGGTGGCCAGCACCACGCCCGACTGCATTTGTTTCCCCAGAAGTGATGTTTACAAAACGCAACCAGGTACTCATTTGAGACCGAGTCAACCTAGGGGAGGCCCAGGATCGGTTCCAGATCATTGTCACTGGTATTGGTCGTGAGCGGGAATCGAACTCGGGATCGCCGGGTTCAAAGCACCGTGCGCTAACTGTTTGTGCCGCCGCACCCCACACCCACCAATAAGTGCCACCACGAAGGCCCCCCCAAACTTGCCACACGCTCACGTAGCACAGCACAGCTGGTAAACGACTGCGGGCAGTGGTGCGCACCCTGCCGCCACGGGGCGCATTCGATTGATCGGTCTCCACTCGTGTCACGAACATTTTGCTCGTTTTACAAACAGATTGGGCGAAATTTAATTGTTCGTCATAGCGAATTCGCGTAAAAAGTACACTCGCTAAGCGAGACATGCCTGTACAGTTACAGGGATACACACATACAGATACAGTTACACAGAGATACCCATACATATACAGAGATATACATGGTTACACAGATAGTCTTCCTCACAGACACAGATCGAGGTTTACCTTGAAGTACATTCATTCGATTCATGACGATTATCATTAGACCTCCTTTGCCAATACAAAAATGTAATAATATGTTTTTTCCCCTTTTTTCTGGCAACAAAACTGAAACCTTTTTACAAGGATTCATGTCTGCATTAACCACAATACCTGCAGTCAAAATGCAAACAAAAAACATAGTATGATAATATATGCATTGTCCTTGAAACGGATTGCTCCACACCAAGGGACGGCTTTCTTTTGAGCCTCGACCCAATTGGTGCTCGACCAGATGACGCCAAAAGGCATACAGCTCAAAGACAATGCACTATCAAAGTAATGAGGGCTCGGGGTGAGCATCTACATCATTAGACCTCCTTTGCCAAAACCAAAATGTAATAATAGGGTTTTTCCCCTTTTTTCTGGCAACAAAACTGAAACCTTTTTACAAGGATTCATGTCTGCATTAACCACAATACCTGCAGTCAAAATGCAAACAAAAAACATACTATGATAATATATGCATTGTCCTTGAAACGGATTGGTCCACACCAAGGGACGGCTTTCTTTTGAGCCTCGACCCAATTGGTGCTCGACCAGATGACGCCAAAAGGCATACAGCTCAAAGACAATGCACTATCAAAGTAATGAGGGCTCGGGGTGAGCATCTACATCATTAGACCTCCTTTGCCAAAACCAAAATGTAATAATAGGATTTTTCCCCTTTTTTCTGGCAACAAAACTGAAACCTTTTTACAAGGATTCATGTCTGCATTAACCACAATACCTGCAGTCAAAATGCAAACAAAAAACATACTATGATAATATATGCATTGTCCTTGAAACGGATTGGTCCACACCAAGGGACGGCTTTCTTTTGAGCCTCGACCCAATTGGTGCTCGACCAGATGACGCCAAAAGGCATACAGCTCAAAGACAATGCACTATCAAAGTAATGAGGGCTCGGGGTGAGCATCTACATCATTAGACCTCCTTTGCCAAAACCAAAATGTAATAATAGGGTTTTTCCCCTTTTTTCTGGCAACAAAACTGAAACCTTTTTACAAGGATTCATGTCTACATTAACCACAATACCTGCAGGTATAATGCAAAAAAACCATACTATGATAATATATGCATTGTCCTCGAAACGGATTGGTCCACACCAAGGGACGGCTTTCTTTGGAGCCTCGACCCAATTGGTTCTCGGCCAGATGATGCCAAAAGGCGTACAGCTCAAAGACAATGCACTATCAAAGTAATGAGGGCTCGGGGTGAGCATCTACATCATTAGACCTCCTTTGCCAATACCAAAATGTAATAATAGGGTTTTTCCCCTTTTTTATGCAGACATGAATCCTTGTCAAAAGGTTTCAGTTTTTAACCTATATGTGAATTTGAATAAGTTATTTCGGTTTACAGTAGTTTTCGTGGAACGAATTAACGTTAACCAAGGGACTACTGGACTGTAATATATTTTTGGTATCCTTTTGTTATTTTTTTCTGCAAATCTTTACCAAAAAATTGCCCCCCCTAGGAACGTATCCTAAATTTATAAAGTTAATTCAATGGTAAAACAAAACCTTTCGATTTACATATCGCTAAACATTGCCTTTTTCCAGGGACGCATGGGACCTTTTGGGGAAATGTTTCGATATATGATTTTTCACATTAAGTTCAGGTTTTCCAGAAAGCAACCTAAATGCATACTGAGGTATGCCCGTACATGTGTGTGCCGTGTCTGCGTATCTGTATGTGTCCACATGTGCATGCCATGTCTGTACGTGTCTAAACGCGAGTAGTGTGCCGTATCTGGGTGTCTATAAGTGTGTCACTTGCCGTGTCTGTGTATCTATGTGTGTGTCGCATTACGTGTCTGTGTGTCTATACGTGTATGTTGCGTGCTGTGTCGTGTGCTGTGTCTGTGTGTCTGTACGTGTCCACATGTGCTTGCCATGTCTGTATGTGTCCGAGCCATGCTCACCGTCGGGGTTCTGGGAGTCGCTGTCCTTAGGGATGCTGTATAGGTCATACGTGCTGTTCTCCAGGTTAGACGCACGCTGTTAAAAACAATGACAAAGATCCCCCGTCACAGCCTTTAACATTGTTGCGGCAAGCGCTGTTAGCGAACAGCACCTATGAAGTCCGGCACAGCACACAAAGGGGTGGTGTGGCCAGTACCATGGCCAGCCCCCTTTGTCTCCCCTGTGCTGATGTTTACACGCCACACCAGGTCCACCGTGTAACAAGGGGAAACTCCAAAGCCAGATGGTGGGGGTGAGTATTATTATTATATTTCTGCTTGTTTTATCCAGGAAAGCCTCTCTGAGTCTCAAGACTTTTTCAGGAGGATCCTGCCTCCTTTTTGCAGAAGGGGGGAGATGTTGTTGCTGTCTGTAGTCCCAATTGAGTCATTTGCAGGTGAAGTTCTTTCAGCCTTTGGGATGTTTTGGCCAATATATTGTCAGTGTTTTTTTCTTAACTATGGGAGGCAACTAGAGAATCCAGAGGAAACCAAATGCAGAACAGGATAATCTACAGACTCCACGCAAAAATAGACTCTTCTTTGGTTCTTTCGGTAAAGTCACGTAGAATGACAATCAAATAATAAATTGATAAAATAAAATAACGCAATAATATTCTCACACGACGTTTCGGCCACAACACAAGCGGCCTTCATCAGGTGAAGGGGACGAGACTGTCTGGAGGACAGCGCTGGAGTGAGAAAGCCACGCTGAGATCACGACCTTTAAGCTGTGTGAGAAGAAACAAAGCGCCTTGACAAAGGAATTAGCATATAATTTAGCACTGAAATGGCTGAGTGATTAGCTTGTGACTGGTCACAGAAAAGGCTATGTTAAAGTTAAAGCATACACATCCGCAAAGGCACCCCTTGACAAAGGAATTAGCATAGAATTTAGCATTGAAATAGCTAAGTTAAAGTATACACATCCGCAGAGGCACCCCTTGACAAAAGGAATTCGCATAGAATTTAGCATTGAAATAGCTGAGTGATTAGCTTGTAACTGGTCACAGAAATAGCTATGTTAAAGTCAGAGCATATACATTCACCAAGGCACCTAGTACAAATCAAACAGGAGAAATTAGCATTGAAATAACTAGGCGAATTTAGCATTGAAATAACTGAGTGATTAGTTTGTGACTGGTCACAGAAATGGCTATGTTGAAGTCAAGGCCTACACATCTGAGCTATTCACAGTAACTGGGTATACAATACAATATATAATGAATACTATATAGTGAACCAATAAAAAATAATTTTAAAAATATATAAATTACCTCAATGTTATGAATAAACTCTATATTCTCCAATCAGCTAAGCTACCAACAATAAGTCGTTATATATCACAATGCTATATGTCGAAAAATGGGTGGATTCTTACCCTCAACTTTAGCAACACGGATAGCTGCGGGTCCCGTTCAGACGGACGAGTTCATCCATGGTCGGAACAGAGGAGGTGGAGAGAGACAGCTGCGAGGCGCTGTTATACTCCATGTTGTAAACCATACCATTAACCGTGGTGAGAGGTATTAAGAGTCAATGCCAGCGAAAGAGCTGCGGTCTGAAGGTCATCGTAAAATACAATTAATTAAGAAAGGAAATGGTTAAGAACATCTTTCCAATGGTTACTAAGCCAGAATCCATCTTCTCGGTTGAAATTGTCTCTGTGCTTGTATATGTGAATGGCCTCATGAACGAATCTCTCATGGTAGCCGGTTGGTTTGCAAAGAACCTCCGTCTTGGAGAAGTCAATGTCATGTGAGCCCACTGAATTATAACAGTGATCTCCCATGGCAGAGGAGTTCGTTCTACCATGTTTCAAGTCTGCTTTATGTTCGCGGATGCGGTCCGAGATATGTCGTTTGGTTTCTCCAATGTAGCTACTACCACAGAGGCACTTTTGTTTGTAAACGCCCGGGTACTGTATGTCTGGAACAGCATATTTTACAGATGGAACTAGATCACGGATTTTATGTACTGTGTTGAATCGGACCTGGATCTTGTGTTTATTCAGGATTTTGGAGATCTTTTTAGTGACCCCTGCAATGTAGGGTAAGGTGATGGTTTTGAGTGGCTCCACAAGAGGATCCTTCTTCATGACTGGAGTGATGGCTTTGCGGATTGTGTAGTCGGAGTAACCATTAGCCCTGAGAGCCTGGTGTACGTGCTTGAGTTCACTGGTAATGTGTTCCTGGTCGGAAATGCATTGGGCTCTATGTTATAGAGTCTTGATGAGGGAGTTCTTCTGGGATGGATGGTGGTGGGAATCCGGTCTCAAGTAAGCATCTGATTCAACAGCATTAATTGATGAGCCCAATCAGTTCTTGTTGAAACCCTCTGCTGCTAGACCACCAAGATTATATGGCCTTCCAAAGATACACAAAGAAGATACACCCCTTCGTCCCATCGTCTCTACTATCAACTCCCCCACCTATAAACTGGGACATTTTCTTGCTGATATACTGCGACCTTTCACTGGAAAAACCACCTCTGCGGTACTAAATTCTACTCACCTGGTATCGACAATCAAAGGCATTTCCCTGTCCCCAGACGACCTGCTTGTCAGTTTTGATGTGGTGTCCTTGTTCACCAAAGTCCCGGTACCTGACACCATCGCTATCATTGAAGACCTGGTTCATCAATGACTGCACACTGATGTACCCCCCCTGGTGAGACATTGCTTAACCAACATATACTTCACCTGGAATGGAACTTTCTACAAACAAACTGAGGGCACCCCAATGGGCTCCCCCCTATCTCCGGTTGTAGCCAATGTATTCATGGAAAAATTTGAAACTGACGCCATCCAGACTGCCACTCTACGCCCGACCTTATGGAAGATGACATCTTTGTCATCTGGCCACATGGCCAGCCTGCTCTAGACCAATTCCGCGACCACATCAATTTCATACACCCAGCCATCAGATTTACCATGGAGGTCGAAAAAGATGGCAAACTACCCTTTTTGGATGTCTTAATTAAAAGGACACATGATGGTTCAATGAGTCACTCTGTCTACAGGAAAGCTACCCATACAGATGCTTACTTGAAACCGGATTCCCACCACCATCCATCCCAGAAGAACTCTCTCATCAAGACTCTATACCATAGAGCCCAATGCATTTCCGACCAGGAACACATTACCAGTGAACTCAAGCACGTACACCAGGCTCTCAGGGCTAATGGTTACTCCGACTACACAATCCGCAAAGCCATCACTCCAGTCATGAAGAAGGATCCTCTTGTGGAGCCACTCAAAACCATCACCTTACCCTACATTGCAGGGGTCACTAAAAAGATCTCCAAAATCCTGAATAAACACAAGATCCAGGTCCGATTCAACACAGTACATAAAATCCGTGATCTAGTTCCATCTGTAAAAGATGCTGTTCCAGACATACAATACCCGGGCGTTTACAAACTAAAGTGCCTCTGTGGTAGTAGCTACATTGGAGAAACTAAACGACATATCTCGGACCGCATCCGCGAACATAAAGCAGACTTGAAACACGGTAGAACGAACTCCTCTGCCGTGGCAGATCACTGTTATAATTCAGTGGGCTCACATGACATTGACTTCTCCAAGACGGAGGTTTTTTGCAAACCAACCGGCTACCATGAGAGATTTGTTCATGAGGCCATTCACATATACAAGCACAGAGACAATTTCAACCGAGAAGATGGATTCTGGCTTAGTAACCATTGGAAAGATGTTTTAAACCATTTCCGTTCTTAATTAATTGTATTTTACAATGACCTTCAGACCGCAGCTCTTTCGCCAGCATTGACTCTTAATACCTCTCACACCACGGTTAATGGTATGGTTTACAACATGGAGTATAACAGCGCCTCGCAGCTGTCTCTCTCCACCTCCTCTGTTCCGACCATGGATGAACTCGTCCGACTGAACGGGACCCGTAGCTATCCATGTTGCTAAAGTTGAGGGTAAGAATCCACCCATTTTTCGACATATAGCATTGTGATATATAACGACTTATTGTTGGTAGCTTAGCTGATTGGAGAATATAGAGTTTATTCATAACATTGAGGTAATTAATATTGTATTTTTATTTTTTATTGGTTCACTATGTAGTATTCATTATATATTGTATTGTATACCCAGTTAATGTGAATAGCTCAGATGTGTAGGCCTTGACTTCAACATAGCCATTTCTGTGACCAGTCACAAACTAATCACTCAGTTATTTCAATGCTAAATTCGCCTAGTTATTTCAATGCTAAATTCTCCTGTTTGATTTGTACTAGGTGCCTCGGTGAATGTATATGCTCTGACTTTAACATAGCTATTTCTGTGACCAGTTACAAGCTAATCACTCAGCTATTTCAATGCCAAATTATATGCTAATTCCTTTGTCAAGGGGTGCCTCTGCAGATGTGTATACTTTAACTTAGCTATTTCAATGCTAAATTCTATGCTAATTCCTTTGTCAAGGGGTGCCTTTGCGGATGTGTATGCTTTAACTTTAACATAGCCTTTTCTGTGACCAGTCACAAGCTAATCACTCAGCCATTTCAATGCTAAATTATATGCTAATTCCTTTGTCAAGGCGCTTTGTTTCTTCTCACACAGCTTAAAGGTCGTGATCTCAGCGTGGCTTTCTCACTCCAGCGCTGTCCTCCAGACAGTCTCGTCCACTTCACCTGATGAAGGCCGCTTGTGTTGTGGCCGAAACGTCGTGAGAATATTATTGTGTTATTTTATTTTATCAATTTATTATTTTATTCTCATTCTACGTGACTTTACCGAAAGAACCAAACAAGATGAATCCTTGCAGTCACGAAAGCTTTAAATCGAAAAATAGACTCAACACAGAAACAGGAATCTTATCCAGGCCCCTTCTTGCTGCAAGACACAAGCGTTAGTACCACAGCGTGAGTACCACTGCAGCGCAAAACCTTGCCGCCCAAGTGGTAACGAGACTGGGACAGCGATCATGGTAAGAATGCTGCGCCAACTGGCGCAACAATCGGGAAGTCCCTTGACCCCAAAACGAAGGTGATGGTGGTGAGGCGGATGGCAAAAACGAAAGGGAACGGTACTATAGCGGTCATTTAGCAGTTAACATGCTGCGCTACGAACCCAACGAGGCGAGTTTGATTCTCACTCACGGCCAACACCAGTGACGATTACCTGAACCGGTCCTTGGCCTCCAGGTCGACTTAGTCTCAAATGAGTACCTGGTACGGTGTGTAAAATCATCGCCACTGGTTGAGTCAAAGGTGGCTGAGCGTGGTGCTGGGCACCCACCCCCTTTTGTATGCTGTGCAGGCCTTCATAGGTGCTACTCGCTAATAGCATTTGCTCCAACAGTCTGTTAAGGCTATATGGGGGATCTTTGTCTTGGGGCGGATGGCACTGCGATAGCAGAGGAGTTTGGATGACGGGTTAGCCCACTGTTAGATCCGACAGAAGGAAAAAAGCGATGGCGAGGTGGGGGCAGCCATTACCCATCCGCGGGATCGAGCTAATGGTGATGTGACCATCACGTGCGGCTGCAAGGGGACTCACGGTGCACAGGAGCACGGCATTCTCTGCTGGGTTGTACGACATGCTGAACACCGGGTTCTTGGAGCCACTGTGGGAATGGTGGGAGGGAGGAACACAGAACCACACCGCGGCCATCACTACAGCAGCTGTGCAGTGTGGTTTAATGTCGTGCGGTTCATGTCGTCTGTTGTTGTTTGTGCTGGAAGTATGCAGTGTGGTTTGCGTCATTATGTATTGCAGTGTGTATTGTGTACATATTGTGCAGTTGCCGTGTCTACTGACGGCACAACCACGCAAGCTGTATAACGGCAATGTTCTGGGAGGAGATGTATATACCGTGCAGTTCGAGTTGTATGCTTCGTGTTGTCTCTGTTGTGTGCATTATATTGTCTGTATCTTGCTCTCTGTATCATGTTGTCTGTATCATGTTGTATCTATCGTGTGTAGTGTGTGGTTCACGCTGTGTCGTGTGCACCTCGCGTACCCGCGCAACTGCATGACAGCGACGTCCTTGGAGGAGCTGAAGTCGAGCTGGCGCAGGAAGCGCTCCTTGACGTAGTAGAGCAGCCCCCCGTGCACCGCGTAAGCAGGCCGCTCGCGCTCCAGCTTGAACACGATCATGCCGCTGTCGTGGCCTGCAACAAGCCACACACATAATAATACACACAACTGCCATTCACCGCTAAGTGGAGGTGATATCACCACAGCGCTTGTGCCAGGCCAGGTGCACTTTAAGGTCACGTGAAGTGTTTAATGCCTGCCGACAAGAGGTCAAGGTACAGACCCAGCTGCAATGGATTGAGTCACTGAAATGACTAGCAGATGCACCACTTCTGCCCCCTACTGTGCCAACTTACTGTATTTTAGCTACCCAGCGCTCTGCTCATTGTTGTGTCGCTCCTCTGCCCTCCGTTGATGTTGGAGGGCGACTGACTCTAAATGCACAATGGCGTCCTTTATGAGATTCGACAACAGAGGCTGATCTTGACACCGCTGGTACCAGTTATCAGCAAATCCACTAAGCTACCCATCCTCCCTCTAACACATCAGGCGACCTCTTCTCTATCCTGTGCCACCCACACACTCACCGAATTGCATCCACACTCTTATTTACAAGACAACAGATCCCTGATATATCCTTAACATACAACATTTGGGGTCAGTGCTGATCACGAGCACCTATAAAGGCTGGCACGGCACACCAAGGCGTGGGTGGCTAGCACCATGCCTGACTGCCTTTGTCTCCCCAGAGGTGATGTTTACACACAGCAGCAGGTACTCATTTGAGGCCGAGTCGACCTAGGGGATGCCCAGGTCCGGTTCAGATAATTGTCACTGGTGTTGGCCTTGAGCGGGAATCGAACTCAGGTCACCAGATTTGTAGTCCAGTGCGCGAACCGCAACACTACGGCTCCCCACAAGACACACACTGGATCGTACCTGCAGCGAAGAGGTTGAGGGAGGGATGGGCGGCGAGGACCCAGAAGCGGTCGTGGTCTCTGCGGAACGTCTGCACTCCCGTGCTGCAAGGGGAAAATCAGAGCAGAGGGGATACAAACAAACAACCACAGCCAATAAAAACACACATTATTCCCTTGTTATTCATGAGGGATACATTCCAGAGATGCTCGATGAGAGCAAATTTTGCAGAAAAAGATATTGGCCTACGAAAACCCATCTTTTTAATGAATCACCTTAAAATAAATAGGTAAATAAGCTATTAAATACGTGCAAATTATCTCATCACTTTCTCGCATCACTTTCTCTCATTACATTCTCTCTCATTACATTCTCTCTCATTACATTCTCTCTCATCACTTTCTCTCTCATCACTTTCTCTCATCACTTTCTCTCTCTCTCGATGCAATCATTTAGAGTTCCAGATGCGATTCGCAGATAGCCAAAGTCATAGATAGCAAGTTCGTGAATATAACGAGGAATACTGTAGAGACAAATTACACATGAATGCAAAATACCAATGCTACTAATATAATAAATACCACAAACGAGAAGACATGAACATGACCCGTGCGTTGTTCATCTGTCCAGGTGGGGGTGTGTGTACCTGCACACCCACTCAGTAGTGGGGAATGGCGGTGCAGTGATTAGGGCACTGCGCTACGAACCTGGCAACCAGTTTTATTCCCACTCATGACCGATAATAATGGGAGCGTACTTAAATAAGTACCTTGAGAGTTGTATACAAGTGTAATGACAGGGTGACACCTACTGGTCTGTAAGGGTCATTACAGTTACAGCTGCATTACATAAAGCCTTATTGTGAAGGGGCGTATCTGGGGTAAAGGTTAAGGGCGGTGTCAGTCAAGAAGCTCTGGGAACCATCCAGAAGGCTCTAGTAGGTTCTATAAAGGGGGCGTGGCCAGAGGTGGAGCTTGGCCACGCCAGGCGAATATAAGGAACACCGAACCAGAGCTTCGGGGCTGTTAGTGTGGGGTCTGGGTCCTGGTTGCGTCGCTGCTCGCTGTAATCTTTGTCTTAACCACGTGGCTGTTCTTCTGCAAGACCCGCTCCGTCTTCGCCGCTACGCTCATCAATCAGAGGGGCTGCGTGTTTAGAGCAGCCTGGGTGTAGCCGCGTTACCAAGTGTATCGCCCTGTGTGCTCTTAATAAATAAGAAGCCTTCTACTAGACGTGTGTCGGGAGTCGCTCATGACACAAGCATTGGCACTTGGGAGTCAAAGGCGGCCGGGCATGGTGGTGGCCACCTACCCCCGTGCCGGCCTTAATAAGTGCCGTTCGCTTACAGCATTTACCCCAACAGACTGTTAAGGGCAAGATGGGGAAACTAAGTTTGAAGGTGTATGTGTTCGTATCGGCCAGTTGATGTTCTGTTGTGATTGATGTTGAAGCAGATGTGAGTGTGCTGTGAGCTCTAGATGGGGCGAGGAGTGGGGACACAGTAATTCTTAGGTGTGGGGATTTAACAATGTCAGACTTTTTCAAGATGGTGCTGCATTGAGTTTTTATTCAAGATGTTTTCAGCCAACTGATGAGTGTCTATACATGTGGGTGGAAACCAGGAGCACCTGTAGAGAACCCACGCACGCGAGGAGGCAACACTCTTGCCATACTGATGGAAACTAGATAGCAATTAGTCCATTTGGTGTACCACCCTTCACCCTTCTCCTGGCGAGCTAGAGCATGGCACCTCGACGCCCATGGGGAGTCTTACTACTTTTGTGCGCGATCCGCTAACCCTCGCTGCCTCCATAGCACTGTTGGATTACAGGCCACGCGCATAGCCACCACTGCCTTGGAACATCGATGATGATGGTCACGATGGTGATAATGGTGATGATACTTATTGACTAAGTGCACTGTACTTTCTATGGGACTGTGTTGAGAAACATCATTGCTTTGTCAAGGCCACTCACTTGCTCTGACGGTCACACCACCAGCGGTTAGCGCTGCACTGTGTTAAGAAATAGGCAACTCGAGTTCGATTCCTGTTCACGGCCAACATCCGTGGCAGCGAATATCAGAATCGGAGCTGGGGCTCCCCTAGGTAGACTAAGCCTTAAATGAGTACCTGGTGCGGTGTGTGTAAAACATCAGCAGCAATGGGGAGACAAAGGATTGCTGGGTAGGTTTGGCGATGATGGCCACACCACACCCCTCATAGGTGTAAGCTGTATCAGCCGTCTTGGGTTTTGCTCGCTAAAAGCACTTGGCCCAAACGCCCTGTTGAGAGGCTTACACAGGGGGATATTTGTCTGTGTACATGTGCGTGTGTGCATGTCCTCACCGCTTGGACATGTCCCACACGCGGATACTCTTGTCCTCGGAGTTGCTGAGGATGAGTTCGTGACGCGGGTGGAAGAGGCAGCAGGAAACGTTATTGTAGTGTCCACGGCAGGTGTCTACTTCCCATGCCTTTGAGTCTGTACACGCGCAAGCATACGCGCCCAAGCACATACAGACAAATACATAAATACGCACACACACACGTCCAATACACACAACGGCATATACCTGCACATGCACACACACGTACAATACACACCAAGACATATTTAATGCACACACACACTAAGTGGCGGTGATGTCATCACGGTGCTTGTGCCAGTCTAGGTGCACCATTTGGCTGTCATGTGAAGTGTTGAAGGCAAACTTCTGGCAGGAGCTCATGGGACAGATCCAGGCGCAATGGGTTGATTGACTGCAGTGACTAAAGGATTCACCACTTGTGCTCCCCACGATGCCAACTCGCTGCCTTGTTGCGAGCATCGTTCCTCTGCCGCTATGCTATTGCTGGAGGACGACTGCCTTCAACTGCTCAGTAGCATCCTTCACGAGCCTAATCCACATAGGCCGATCTTGATACCGCTGGTACTGGCCATTGGCAGGTCCATTCAACCCCAGATCCCCCCGTAACGGCATCAGCCCATCTCTTCTCCAGCCCCAAATAATGAATGACCAAACGAATGAACTAATTAATGAATGAGAGTATGAATGAGCAAATTGATGAATGAATTGGCAAATGAGCGAGCAAATTAATTAACTGAATGACCGACAAAATGAATGACTAAATTAATAAACAAAAGAGCAAATTAACAAGTGAATGAATGACGTGTGAATGAATGAGTGAACCGCCGAGCTTCCACACACCGTTCATCCTCCACAGCTTGACTTGGCGATCGTCAGCCCCGGACACGATGAGGGGCATGGTGGGGTGGAACGCCGCCCAGTTCACTCCGCGGTCGTGGCCCTGCCGACGAACACGCGAAATACACGTTACGATCCCACCAAAAACTTAACATCCAACAACACACACACCGTGCACATTAGGGTGGCCAATGCCACTCGACACGTGCGCCTCATGTAAGGCCCCACGCAGAAGATCCCATGGGCTTCAACCGTCCCCCCCACCGAAGCTCACGGGACCCTGACCCATGAACCGCATTGGCACAAAGCGTGGCTTGCGGCAGTGGCAGCAGACACTCGACGACGAAGCAGAAATGGGAGCTTAAAAAACTCTGTGGGGCAGTGTGCCGAGGACTGTCACACCAAAGGAGAAAATAATGAGAAGAAAACTTAAGACTCAATTTCCCCAATTCAAAAATATGAAAGAGGCGTCAACACAGCGGTGATCACCAACTCCGCTACTCCTGATGCAGTCATCTGGCTCATCAACCCCTTCAATGTAAAATTATAGCCATTGCTCTACATCAAAGTAAACTATGTAACTCTTTTTTTATTTTACCAGGTAAGGCCCACTGAGCTATATAGTTCATTTTCAGAGGCGACCTGGCCACAAATGATCACTCAACCAAGTGACTTATCACGTGGAAATTTAGAGCAGCCTAATACTCTAAACGTATGTTTATAAACGTGGAGAGAAAAACCAGAGGACCTGGAGAAGAATCCACGCGACCACGGAGAGAAAATGCAAACTCAAAATATACAGGCGTCAAGGTCGGAATCAAACCCACGACCTCCTGTATAACAGGCGAGGGGAAGGGGAGCGGCACCTCCAGGACGTGTTTCACCACGGCGTCAGCGGCGCCGAAGAGGTCGACACCGGAGATGGAGCGGAGCTCCGCGTCGCCCGACGATCCGGGATTCAGGTTCTTCTTGCGGAGGCCTGGGCGAGCCCCAGGGGAGAGAGCAGCAGAGCAGCGGCACGAGCCGATGCACACGCGGGTTCACATGGGTGCACACGAGTACATACAAACACGGGTTCCCACGGGTACATACAAACACGGGTTCACACGGGTACGTACAAACGTCGGTTCACATGTGTACATACAAACACGGATTCACAAGGGGACAAACACGGGTTCACACAGGTATACACAAACACGGGTTCCCACGGGTAAAAACAAACACCGGGTCACACGGGTATTTACAAACACGGGTTCAGACGGGTACACACAGGTACATACTAGCACACGGGAGTATATACGGATACATATACTCAGATACACAGAAGTAGATACAAATACCAGCTACACATGGATACATACTAACACAGGGGTACACATGGGGTGCATACAAATACAGTGAAACCTTGGATTGCGAGTAACTTGGTCTGCGAGTGTTTTACAAGATGAGTAAAAAATTTAAATAAATCATAATTTGATAAACGAGCGATGTCTTGCAATACGAGCAGTATGTACAGTATACGCTTTGTCTGCCGAGCATCACGTGATCACAACTGAGCCAATGGTTCTTCTCTCTCTCTCGTTGCGGGATTGTGGGTAATCGTCTCTCATGCTCGGTATCAGTCGGCGTGCCTCACTCGCATTGTCAACATCCGTGCGGCGTATACTGTTTACTACAGTATAGTGTTGTACCACGTGTGTGTGTGTAAAGCATTTTTTTATTTTGTGTCCAAGTGTAGTGACTGTTCTTTAGTAACTGTACCGCAAGTGAAAGTCGTTCTACACAATAACCCTCCTCCTCCTCTCCTCTCTCTCCTCACACCAGCCACGATTAAATCTAATTAATAAATTTGATTACTTTATATTAAATTTAAATAATAAAAATATAAAAATATTTTTTGTATTAATCATTTTTATATGAATACAGTATTTTTGGGTTGTGGAACGAATCATCTGAGTTTCCATTATTTCTTATGGGGAAATTCGCTTTGATATACGAGTGCTTTGGATTACGAGCACGTTTCCGGAACGAATTATGCTCGCAATCCAAGGTTTCACTGTACATGGGTAAACAGGGGTACATACACGAGACAAAGGCAAAGATCCCTGTATAGACTCAACAGACTGTTGAGGCAGCTTCTGTAGGCAGGGACGGCACATGAGGGGGTAGGTGGCCAGCACCATGCCCAACCACCTTTGTCTCCCCAGCGGCGATGTTTAACTACACACTGCACCAGGTACTTATTTGAGGCCGAGTCGAGCTAGGGGAGGCCCAGGACCGATTCAGATAAGTCACTGGTGATGGTAATGAGTGGGAATCGAACTCGGATCGCCAGGTACGTAGCGCAGCGTGCTAACCGCTCCACTACCGCTTTCCATACACACACATAGGTACACAGACAGAAGGATGCACACGGGTACATACAAACATATATGGTGAGATGGAGTAGCGAGAAGGTGAGGTGTTCATTTTGTGAGGTTGTGAGAAGATATGGTGCTGGTGAGGACGACGTGGTGAGTGAGACGTTGCACCGGAAATGTCCCAGACGCGTACGGTCTGATCCAGGCTCGCCGACACCACCAGGTCCTCCATAGGGTGGAACTGGGCACACATCACGTAGTGGTTGTGCCCCGTCAGCACGCTGCACCACACACGTGCACACACACAGATATACATATGTATGCAACACACAGCACAATTAGCCAAAACATACATACACATATAGCCAACAAATAGCATGTTGAATCCCACACACACACAATATGCACAACACACACAAGATGTAGTGGATGTGTCCCGTCAGTACACTGCAACACAGACACAGAACCCCCATGTAGCCTTTAACGGACTGTTGGGGCAAGTGCTGTTAGGATAAGGATACGTGTTAGTCTAGTGTTTTGATGGAAGCGCACACCTTCTCTGGAGGCAACACGTTTATTAGCACAATAACACACCCTATCGAAATGACCTAAGGGGGGGGGTGAGTCCCGGCTAACTATATCTATACCTTTGGTCGGAAACTACGACCATCTCCTGGAGCCCCGAATCCCGCACCCCGGCTCCCAGCTCACTCCCGCTCGCTCCGTCACCAAAAACCCAGAACCTCTTCCGGCGTGGCCCCGCTCCCCCCTTCACCGCGCCCCTGCCCCCGAACACGAGGAGGGGCTCCACACATACAGTACCCCCCCTTACCTGGCACTGCTTCCCTATGACGCTACATTAGTATCAGTGATAAGGGTTAGGATCAGTGTTATGATTAGTGATTGGGGTAGGATAGGTGATAGGGTAGGATAAGTGTTAGGATCAGTGTTAGTGTTAGGATCAGTGTGTGTAAGGATGCATGTATGTTGAACTTCTTTCACACCGTACATAGCCAACCATGCTAATCGGAGGTGACAGTGGTAGACTCAGCGTTAGGATGAGTGAAAGGGTTAAGATTAAGAGTAGGTTCAGGTTTTAAAGCTTTCGTGACTGCAGGAATTCATATTCTTTGGGTCTTTCGGTAAAGTCACATTGATAGGTTCAAAGAAATAACAAAAAACCACGACGTTTCGATCACAACACAAGCGGTCGTCATCAGGTGCTTTCCCCCTATTTTTTTCTTCCTGATGACGATCGCTTGTGTTGTGATCGAAACGTCGTAGTATTTTGTTATTTTTTGGTAATTTTCTTTGAACCTATCTACGTGACTTTACCAAAAGACCCAAAAAATATAATAGGTTTAGGATCAATGTTAGGATTAGTTATAAGGATAAGATTAGTGATAGTATGAGCATTGGGGTTCGTGTAAGGGTATTAGAGGAGTTAGCACATCACGGGCAACAGCACCCACCACACACAGGTGCGGCTCTGCCAGTTCCAGATGCGGATCGTCTGGTCGTCAGAGCAGCTGATGATCCACGGGTACTCCTGCTCACACACAAACACGCCAGTACAGCTCAACGTGGGGTGTGACAAAGACAACAATTTGCCGATAACCATTAAAACAGAATTTATTTTGGCAAATGTTGTTTGCGAGTAGCACCTATGACGGCCGGCATGGCACACCTATTAGAGGGTGTGGTGTAGCCAAATCGATGCCCAGCCACATTTGTCTCCCCAGCACTGATGTTGTTCACCCACTGCACCAAGTATGCCGAGTTAGCCTCGGAGGGACCCAGGACAGGTTCAGATATTTGGCACTAATTGGCCGTGAGTCGGAATCAGAAATTAGGTTGCTGGGTTTGTAGTCGGCTTACCACTACAGAATTATTCCCCATACAATACATATGCACACAAAGACAAAGATCCCCTGTATAGCCTTCACAGCCTGTTGGGGCAAGTGCTGTTAGCGAGCACCTATGAAGGCCAGCACGGCATACGAGGGGGTGGGTGGCCAACACCACGCCCGGCCACCTTTGTCTCCCTAGTGGCGATGTTTACACATCACATTAGGTACTCATTTGAGGCTGAGTCGACCTAGGGGAGGCCAAGGACCGGTTCAAATAATCGCTATCACTGGTGTTGGCCAAGACCGGGTATCGAACTCAGGTTGCCGGGTTCGTAACCCAGCGTGCTAACCGCTACGCCACCACCCTCCGATACAACACATACACGCACACACACACTTACATGGTGGAAGAACGTAGTTCGAATGTAGTCTAGGTGACCGAGAAGGGTGAAGAGGCAGCGACGCAGCTTGTAGTTCCACACCTGGTGAAAGACACACACACCACCATAGCCGTGACAGGTTTTCCATCGGAACACACACACTACCCTGCACACAACAAACACATATGCCATGCCACTCGCGCGTGATATCCCATCTCTCTGTCGTCTCCTTTCCCAAATAAGTTGGCAACCATTGCATTTCTTCCATTTAGCTCCATCCATAATATTACTCAAGAACCTGTTGGTCTACGTGCACTCTTAGTCTAGGTGTAATTTTTATGTACGTACATTGTTAATCCACGTGCAGTGTTAATTCTATGGGCAATGTAAGTCTATGTATAATGTTATTCGATGGGCGATCTTAGTCTATGAGCAATGTAAATATATGGGAAATATAAGTCTATGGGCGTGAAGCCCCGCTCAAAAATCCACGCATGTGACCCCGCTGGGCACCTTGATCTTGTAGTCGTCTCCTCCCGACACGAACAGTGGCTGCTGCTTGTGGAAGTCCACACCCCGAACAGGACCTGCTCACACCAAAAGTATAGCCTTAAACAGACTGTTGAGCCAAGTGCTGTGAGCGAGTAGTAACTATGAAAGTCAGCACAGTATACCAAGGGGGTGGGTGGCCAGCCAAGACAAAGATCCACCGTATAGCATTTACAGACTGTCGGGGCAAGTGCTGTTAGCGAGCACCTATGAAGGCCGGAACGGTACACGAGGGGGTGGGTGGCCAGCACCACGCCCGACCGCCTTTGTCTCCCCAGTGGTGATGTTTACACACCGCACCAGGTACTCATTTCAGGCTAGGTCGACCTAGGGGAGGGCCCAGGACCGATGCAGATAATCGTCACTGGTGTTGGCCGTGAGCGGGAATCGAACCTGCTCCCCCCAGCACCACACCCCCCAACACACGCACACACACATAGAGCAATGAGACAATGCATACATACAACACAGAGGAATCAGACGCATACAAACACACACACATAACCAATACCCGCCATTCGCCACAAAGCGACGGTGACGTCACAACGGCACCTTTGCCAGGCCAGGTGCACTTTGAGGCCATGTGAAGTGTCGAAGGCTCGCTGAAATGAGGTCTCGGGACAGACCTAGGTGCCATGGGTTGGTTGACTGAGATGACCGGTAGATGCACCAGCTGTACCGCCCACTGGGCCAACTTGCTACATTTTAGTCACCCAGTGCTCCTCTCGTTTTTGTGAGCGTCGCTCATTTGCCCTCCGTTGTTGCTGGGGGGTGACTGCCTCTAACTGCCCAGCAGCATCCTTCATGAGCCTCCTCCATAGAGGCCGATCTTGACACCACTGGTACCAGTCGTCGACAAGTCGACTGAGCTCCATAATCCTCAGTCCACCTCTTCTACAGCCCACGTCGTACCCGTTTAGCCCCCCTCTATGTGGCCAAACAGAAGTTGCTTGGCCATGCGGCAGCTGGGCATGCGGGTCTACATGACCCAGCTAATGCAGCCTTGCCTGCCGGAGGAACTCACTGATGGGAATGTGTCCAGGTCTTTCAAGGATTTGTGAGCTCCTCACACAACCCAGGATGGATCATAAGCATGCCAGTCTGAATGTTTCTAACCGGCGCAGATGTTCCATTAGAGGGGTCCATGCTTCACAAGCACAGAGAAGGAAGGGCATGCCTGTGGCCAAGAAAACCCGAAACTTAATGCGGAGCGACAGACCAGGTAGCTTCCCCACAGCATTGCGCAGCCGATTAAAAGATAATGCCGCCTGACTGATTCGGAGTGAGACCTCTGCTGTCAATCCGGAGCTGGTGATAAGCACACTGCCCAGGTATGGGAAACTCTCCACAACTGCTCCATCACCAATGGGAAGCTGAGGGGATGGAGTGTTTGGTGGCACAAAATACCCAGGCAGGTGCTTAGTTTTGTTGGGGCTGACGGCAAGACCCCACCTCTTAGTGGCACATTCCAGATTCAGCAGCAGCATCTCCAAGTCCTCCTCTGAGTGAGCAGCAATCACCAGATCATTCGCATACAAAACATGGCTGACCAATAGGCAGCCATCCCTCGACCGCACCCGGGCATCGCTCAGCCTCCCGTTGTATCTGTACCAGATGGAAATTACTCTCGTACAGCCATGAACAGTTTCTCAAACTACGTGGTCAAAGATAATGTTAAATAATGTGGGAGCCAGAGGACATGCATGTTGCACCCAAAAGTGAACAGGGAATGGCTCCGACTCCTGGTGACGTAGCTTAACCCGGGCCTCCCCACCATCATGAAGTCCCTTAATGATTGTGAGCAAAGTCAGGCACTCCTAAAGCACGAAGAACTGCTCACAGTCCTGGCCTGTTGATGGTATCACAGGCCTTGACAGGGTCAATAAAGCAGAGATGTAGGTCTTCTTGGAATTCCCTACACCTCTGTTGTAGCAGACGGATAGAGAATATGGCATCCGTGCAGGACCGCCCTGGTCTGAAACCACATTGGGGTTCTGCAAGCCTCTCCTCGGCGTGCCTGCAAGGCGATATTGAATAATCCTTGCCAGGACCGGTCCCGGGACACTGAGAAAAGAAATGCCCCTATAGTTGTTACCACCAGGGCATCCTTCCAATCCTGCGGAACCCATCCTGTGGTCAAGACAGTTGTGATGTCATGTAGGGCAGCCTGCAAACAGATGCCACCCTCCCTCAACATTTCGATTGGGAGATCGTCTCTGCCCGGTGCTTTTCCTGGTCTCAGACTTCGGATCGCCCCTCACACTTGCTCCACAGATGGCACCTCAGCCAACCATTCAAGGGGTGGCTACTTATAGGGTCGTCCCACCTTGCCCGATTATGTTGTCTGGGCTGAGGGAATTCCCCTCCAAGACCTCACAAAAATGCCTGCAAACCTGCAGACCTTTTCCTGGGGGTCGGAGATCGGATTACCGCACTTTCCCTTCAGGATGGTGATAGGTGAGGCACTGAAAGTTATTTTTTTGATGGAATTAAATGTTGATTTCTGATTGCGGGATACTGAGGTGGATCCCATATCCTAAGCAACCCGCTCCCACAACTCATCCTTGCAGCACCACATGCACACATACACAGGGGAATGAGACACACAAATCTACATATGCCAACACACGCACAACAACAACCATAAATGACTAAGTGGCGGTGACATCACCAGGCTAGGTGCTAGGTGCACTCTCAGGCCATGTGAAGTGTTGAAGGATTGCTGACATGTTACGGAAAAGATGCTGGTGCCATGAGTTAACACATACACAAACCGCCTTTGTCTTCTCAGTGGTGATGTTTTTACACACCTCACCAGGTACTCATTTTAGGTTGAGTCGACCTAGGGGAGGTCCAGGAACGATTCAAATAATGGTCACTGGTGTTGACAGTGAGCGGAAACTGAACGAGTCGCTGGGTTCGTAGGTTAGTGCGCTAACCGCTACGCCACTGCTCCCCACTCATACAAAACATACATATGCACATCACATACAATACACAAACGGGAATAATACACACGTACAACACACACACATAGGAATGAGGTATACATACATAAAAACACACACATACAACACAAGAGGGAACGGGACACACACACCACAGACAGAACACGTGCACCACACATCCCACATGCATTACGCATGTTGTCACACGCGCACCCGCCCGGTTGGAGTGTGCAGCGTACCATCGTGCTCGTCGTACTTGTCGATGAGCGTGCACATGCGGTAGTCCCACAGCTGGATGACGCCACTGTGTAAGCTCGCCAGCACCCAGGGCCGCTTCGAGTGGAAGCAAAGCCCTGCACAAAAAGGACAAAGAAACCCCACCGTGACCTTTAATGGACTCTTGCGGCAAGTGCCATGAGCACCCATGAAGGCCGGCATAGCACACTAGTTCAAACATTTCCCACCACCGACAGTGATTGCGAGCAGGACCTTCACTCAGGTTGCAAGGTTCTTAGCGTTGTGCAGCATTAACCACTTCATCAACCGCTCGCCCACAAAAAAACACACATACAACAGCCTGACATCACCGCCACCAAGCGGCGGTGATGTCAGCACAGCGCTTGCGCCTTGCTAGGTGCACTCTTGAGGCGATGTGAAGTTGTCAAAGGCTCGCTAATAGGTCATGGAACAGACCCAAGCGCCATGGGTTAACGGAGATGACTGGCACAGATACATATATAGTACTGTCCCGTATTTTCCCGCATATGAGCCAAGGGGTATACCACTTTTTACAAACAAAACAAGACCCTGCGGGGTATATGGAGGTGCGGGCTATCCAAAAAATATTTTACACGTGTGAATGTCATAACTCGTTTAATTTGTTCATGGTAGGACTATCCACTATGCAACACTCACCTTTGACTAAAGCACTGCTGAATAAACCACTCACACTAAAATTGCACATGTTACCACGTTTTAAATTATTCGAATTGTTTGTACAATGAAACGACAATGTTTGAAGTGGGCACACTTTGTTTACCGTAATATTTTCAGTGGCTGTAGGGGGGTGTGAAAGTTTCAGCTGAGGCTATGGATTGCACAATAGGAAGGGCCTTAACAAGCGTCTACCAGACGCGGAATCGTAATTGCTGAGTCCCTTAGGCCGCTGCTATTGTCTGAGCACTATACAATCGTGACCACGAGCTTTGTTTCAAACTTCCAATGGCTTTGTTGCCAGGAGGCAATGGCGTTACCGCAGTGCCGCTATTGTCTGCGCAGTGTGCAATCTACCAGTGCTAAAACTATACAGGGGTAACTACCGGTCCAGTAGCTGTAATATGATGAGGTCGAATGCTGGTAAGCCTAACAGTACGCTTACTTACTTATCTACCAGTTATGTGTTACTTATTTATTGGATAATTACTTTAGTTACTTATTTACTGTTTTAAGTTCACTCGTTTCCGGTTAGTTTGTTTTCTTTGCGCACGTTATTTTTTAATGTTAACAATTGATAGTGGAATGTATTACAAATGTAAACTTTGTATTAATATGATGGAATTAAGCTGCGGTAACGATGTTAAAGATATGAATGCATGCGGGGTATATGGAGCTGCGGGCTATCTAAAATTTGTTTTACACAAAACGCTATTTTTGCGGGGTATATACGTCTGTGCGTTATATGCGTATGCGGGCTATATGCGGGAAAATACGGTATTCACGTACCATGTCCTTAGGCCACTGCCACCAAGACCCTCACCCATGACTTCATGACATCCTCACCCAACCTTCACAAATCTTCCTCACAGCCTGCCCCCCAAATCACCAAACTCCAGACGATACAAAACGCCGCCGCCGATGCCAGACTTCTCACCGGCACCCGTAAGCAAAACAACCCCAGCCAAATACAGGTAGTCCCCGACTTACGATGGAGATGCGTTACGACCCCATCGTAAGTCGAAAATATCGTAAGTCGAAAATGGCCTAGCCTACCCAGGAGTCTTAAAGAATGGTGATAATTTAGCAAAACAGAGCAATTTACAGTACCGTACTGTAGAAACCATATACTGTATATATTTATTAATTACAATACGGTATTGCACAGTAAAATTTAAAGTAAAAAAACAACGTCAATTCTTAGCCTACCTATATGAACTGCAATTTCATAGAAAGTTTTTTCAGGAAACAATCCTATCTGCTATAAAAAAAAAACTTTTAACATGCATTGAACGTATGTATCGTATCGTGGTAACCCTAAAATGAAATCGCTAAAGCTATGCATTATACATGCATTGAACATATCGTAACGTATCATATTCTACTGTAATCACCAAAATTCTGTCCGTCGTCTGCATACTTGAACGATGTTAGGTTGTTGATGGCTACATTAACTTAGTTGTCGGAAGAGGATGGCGATGATAAAGTACAGTATCGTACCTCGTACACTGCTGCGTTTGCCTGCCGCGCGAAATTACAAATATTTTACAATTTTGTCATATCGCTATCGCCATCGTAAGATCGAAATATCGTAAGTCGGACCATCTCCACACACTATCTCTAATAATTTCACTATACTCTTGACTCCATAATCGTCCTTAAAAATAAGTTCACCAGTTCACTAGCATCACTTCAAACAAGCATGACAGCTGATGAGACACTGAAGGTCTAAACAGGTGCAGTGTTTTCGTTTTGTCTCAAAACAAATGCTACTGAAATTACGTAATTCCAGAACGAAGACCTTGCAGGTTGTCTGATAAATGCTTTATTAGGTTTTGTGAGTAGACGTATCGCCAGTGACCTTTGGGTGGCAGGACAGCGTCATGGCGAGAAGAGGGAGGTGGCATATTAGTCGAGAACACAGTAACGACAGCCAAACAGGAAGGGAGCGACAGTCGCCGTTCATCACCAAGGTGGAAATGACGTCAGCCACAGTCTCTGTGCCAGGCTAGGTACACGTTGAGGTCATCAAAAGTGATGTGGAAAGCTCTCGCTGCTGGAAACTGGTCGCGGTGGCAAGATGTTAACTCCATCGCCTGGTATGCAGGAGACCATGAGTTTGATCCCAACCCGACGCCTGTATACAGTATTTAGAATTTGCGTGTCTCTCTTCCCGTGGTCGCATGGATTTTTTTCAGGGTCCTCCGGTTTTCCCCTCCACATTTAGAAACATGCGTTTAGAGTATATGGTTGCTATAAATTTCCACATGATAAGCCACGTCGTTGAGCTATCATTTGCGGCCAGGTCCCTTCTGAAAAAGAGTTCAGTGGGCCTTACCTGGTAAAATAAAAAGTTTCAAAGAGTGTATATAGATCCAGGTGTTATAGGTCAACTGGCCAAGATGACCGAGATGGCAGACGCACCGCCTGTGCTCCCAACTGTGTCAAGGGAAGCACGCCCGAGACTCCGTCTACCCGCGGAGGTAGCAATGACGAAATGAGCTCATGGCACAGCCGCGAGATGAATCCTGGTACTGCGACGCCCGTGGGGATGGCTTAGCGGCCTTCATCCAGCAGTGGATGACCGAATGCAGCGGTGGCGAGATGTGAATTCCCTCGCCTGGTATGCAGGAGATCATGGATTCGATTCCGACCCTGACGCCTGCTGCATATTTGGATATCTCTCTCCCCGTAGTCGCTTAAAGTAGTTTTATCCGGTCCTCCGGTTTTTCCCTCCATATTTAGAATCAACATCACGCGTTTAGAGTATTTGGCTGCTGTACATTTCCACGTGATAAGGCACTTAATTGGGCGATCATTTGTGTCCAGGTCGCTTTTGAAAAATAGCTATATCGATCGCTCAGTTGGCCTTACCTGGTCAACTAAAAAATAGTGATTTAGTTTGGACTGATGATGCTGATACGAGGCGGGCAAAGTTCAGCACTACCGAGCCCAGCCATGCGCAAATCTCCGAGCTAGTTGGTGGAAATTCCGCGTTCCCATGTCGGGCGCTACGTGGCTGGCAGATGCATAGACCACTGTGCAACGCGATCCATTTGCTGTACTATACTTCTACGTTCACCACCTTCAACTTGCGCTGACCAGCCACGCCCCTCCCCCAAGACTACCCAACCGTACTGGCGCTCATCCGGGAAAGGGGTCAGCAACGAACACATGTCCACATTCGCATGACAGGCCCCCGAAAGCCCGCCCAACTCATACAAAAAAGTCGCGGCACTCACCCTTGACGCGGGCGGACTTGGTCTCGAACTTGGTCAGCATTGTCTCGCAGGCGTCTCCGTGTCTCCTCTCCGCGTCTCCCTGTGTCTCTCCGTGTCTCCTCTCCGTGTCTCCTCTCCGCGTCTCCCTGTGTCTCTCCGTGTCTCCTCGCCGCGTCTCCCTGTCTCACCAGCGTCTCTCTCTCTCAACATGGACGGAGGAGGATCCACGTAGACTCCCCAACCCCAAAAGGAATCGATTCACCACGATTGAATCAAATTATCCGATCCTCGCGCGGCGGTTAGTGAATTGTGTTTGCGGACACCTAAACAAATGTCCACGTTAAACATTACGATAGAAATTACTGTTTTTGAATAAGTCTTCATTCTCTCAGAAATAACAATAAGCGATGGAAACAATGCAGATAATGTTACGTTTTAATCGATTACTTATATTTAATAATACCATTAATCGATTCTGGTGTCGCGTCACCGAAGCTCAACGTGTACCCACAAGGCACCGCGCGAGCCGGGGCCAGAAGCCACGCCCTAGGGCACGTGACTGCGAATAAAGCAAATTCAAAGGTGCCCCTTGTAGCCTCACAAAGCAAGTGAGCGAACGGGGCCTCATCAGAATCTATCAGAATTTTCACAGTATTTATACTGGATGAATATGATGAGCCATATATCTCTTTTCACAGACGTACAGGAGGGGCACGGGTAAAAATGTTTAACCATCAATAAAAAAATAATACGATAGTGTACAGGAAAGGTAAAACAAATCACCCAAATACATACAACTAAACTGTCTTCATCCTTCCAGGGCAAAGTCCGAGGTATTCAATTATTTTTCAGAAGCGACCTGGCCACATGATAGCTCAACAAATTGGTTTATCATTTGTTGGGCAAGTGCTGTTAGCGAGCGGCACCTAACGAATGCCGGCACTGTGGCACACGAGGGATTGGGTGGCCAGCACCACGCCCGACTGCCTTTGTCTCCCTCAGTGGAGATATTTAACTCCACACCGCACCAGGTACTCATTTGAGGCTGAGTCGACCCCTATAACTAGGTCGAGGCCTAGGATCGGTTCAGATAATCGCTATCATTGGGTGTTGGTGGCCGTGAGCGGGGAATAACATTTGGGTCGCCAGGTTCGTAATTGCAGCGCGCGAATCGCTGCACTACCGCGCTCCCCATTCCACGTGGCACGCGCTGCTCAAAGCGGCACCTCCCACCCCCCACAAGACGCGTGTTGACAGCACACGAGGTGCATCGTTCATTCCTTCATTCATTTGATCGAAACTCAACAGACGTTCGTCCCATAATGAACAGTGGGTGGCCTTAGACGTTTCTGGCAACGGCCGTTCTTCACAGCACATAGGGAGTCGAAAAGAAATAATGACCCAACTAATAATAGGTATACTGTATACAGTATTGTAATGTATATGACATTAACCACCCCTCTGGTCTTCGCACCGGATTGGCTCACAATGACCCCCCCCCCAACCCTGTTTAATCCGAAGCGGGAATAATTCTCCACAACTCTGGCTGTCGCCTCATGAGACTGATTGTAATTAATGGCGAATCGTCGTACTCGAATTGTAAATGTTGTGGGTTTACTCTCCAACACACCAGTGTGACCAACTAGTAACTAAATGGCATGTTGTGTTTACGTGGCAACCCTTATTAATTGGCTGTGGTGGGTTTAATGACATTTATATTTACGCGATCTAACCTAAACAAACCGCTATTATGGACAATGTATATATCTTCTTTGGTTCTTTCGGTAAAGTCACGTAGAATGAGAATAAAAGAAAATAAAATAACTCATTCTACGTGACTTTACCGAAAGAACCAAAGAAGATGAATCCTTGCAGTCACGAAAGCTTTAAATCGAAATGTATATATCCTCTATATGATGTTCCCTAAACGCCACCTATTTAATACATTTTAATTTTGGTTCATAAAGGGCAGTGCAGCAAATTCCATTACACACATGGTCACCCCACAACGCCTCCAATGCGTGATGGTGAACCATTCAAACACTATGTAGGTGTAGTAGGAAGCAGCACGTTTATTTTGTATCTTTTACAACACTCACTAGGTCCTTAACACGAAGGGGTAATGGTCCCTTCTACCCACAACCTGTGGAGGTACAGCCTCCGGGCTATCTACCCTAGCCACTGTCCTGGCTGCACTATAGCCCTCCGACTGGCTGGACCTAGGGGAGGCTGACCCACCGCTGGCACCGCTGGGTCTCTGACCACTGGCCCGTCCAGACCCGGTCCTGAGAAGGACGTCGGGCTGAGGGAACCTCAGGGTCCTAGCCTCCCGACCACTGGCACCGCACTGAGCCCCGGTCGTCAGAAGGACGTCGGGGCTTGGGGTCCAGGGTCTTGTCTCCAGGTGGCTCCTTGACTTCGGCTTGAGGCGAACTGAGCTCTCCTCTCAGGAGCCCGCCTTTTATACGATTCCCCACCGAGGGGCGGGGTTCTGAGGGATCACAGATCTCCCACAGCCCTCTCCCCTTAGGAGGGGTTCTGGCCATAGGTAGCCCAACAGATCTGTGTTTGTTTATCCCGCTTTCTGCCCAGGGGCAGAGTTCTGCGGGATCCCACACATACACTTCACAGCCTCCACCCCTCAGGCGGGGTCTTGGTCAGGGTTATCAATGACCCCGCTATGATAGGTACTGTTTAGCGTGTGCGTGTTACAGAGTGACCACCACACAGGCTCAGACCTGCTTAGCTTTCTGTGATCTGACTAGATTGGGCACATTCTGGTGGTGATAATCATAATGACTTGCCAAGGAAAGCCTCGCTGAGTCCGAATACTCTATTTCAGGATGATCCTGCTTACAATTGGGATGTTTGGCCAGTTACATTGTATATGCAGGGGTTTTTTTTATAGGAGAAACCCGGAGAAACCATGCAGAGCAGGGGGAGAACATACAAACTTCACACAATCACTCTCTAAAGAAGAGGGAGAACGTACACATTTCACACAATTACTCTCTTAAGAAGAGAGGGAGAACATACAAACTCTACATACTCTCACACTGACTAAACACTTCACACAGAAAGACGCCCGAGTTAGGCTTCCAAGTGCCCATCTGACTGAGGCACTTATTATTACCACTGCAGTGCTGCCCTGCCAACCATGTGATCATACATTTGTTGAATGTATTGAATTTCTGTCAAATGTTGTTTTCCTGATATTACTCATTAAGAACATGCTGCATCATGACATACTCTTGAATTACTGAACAACTACTTATTCTAGATTCTGTAATAATGCTCATAACTCGAGTTTCAACTGTAGAAATGACAAATGTTCCTCGGGAAAGCCTACATATAGACTGTTGGGGCAAGTGCCATTACAAAAAACGTCCACGGGTCAGTAGTGTAAAATGCATATTTTATTGCTAAATATCACTGAAGCTCATAAATTCATAATTTACCGAATAAAACCAAAGAGTACAGTGCATATCATTATCAGAGTTATCTCTTTTTGTTTGCATTTTGACTGCTTGTGTTGTGGTTATTGCAAACATGATCCCTTGTATAAAGGTGTCAGTTTTGGTGCCAGAAAAAAGGGTAAAAACCTATTACTATATTCTGCTTGCTTGTCAAAATTCCTCCAGTTTTTCTGGAACAAAAAATAAATGATTCAATTGGCACATTTGTCCATATAACAACTTGATTTTATTGGCTATGCCAGGTGTTGACATGCCTACGTGGCGATTTAATTGAAAAGAAACCAATTATCAATAATGTTGGTCGTCAAATTCTATGTATACACATTTTTTAAATGTTTTACAATATTTTACCTGGATAAATCCAGACTTGAGAAGGAACATCTGTTTGAATGGGTATCCAGGGTGTTAATTGATACACACAGAGCAAATGTGTGACACATTCATTTTAATCGAATAATCAAATATGATATACTCTATTACATTCGTAATCGCAAAATCGATGAGTACTCATTGTAATTAACCATAAATTAAAATCACATAAGTTGTGTTTCTCCAAACATCCTAAATATTGATATATTCCATGCAAATTACTCAATGGGAGTTACACACAGCAGCAGCAAAATTGCTCCTCCCCCTGACTGCAAAGAAACTTGGCAGGACCCTCTTGAAATGGGAGTCTTGAGACTCGGTGAGGCTTTCCTGGGTAAACAAGCGGAATAATAATGATAACATTACTGTAGGGATAGGGGTAGAGTTAGTGTTAGGTAGAGGTTTGGTTAGTGTGAGGTAGGTGTAGGGTCAGTGTTAGGAGTGGAGTTAGGGTTAGGTAGCGGTGAGGGTATGGGTATGATTGCTATTATTTCCATGAATCGATTGTGAATACATGATCAATCTATCTTAATCTATTAACTCACGGACATTTCCACCAAACGCAAATCCACTGCCCAAATACATTCCAAAATTCCGAATTGTATTTCATCCGAAATTCATGTTACTCATGCAATAAAATAACTTTTGGGTTCGATCGCGAAAATGTGTCGTTAACCCACCACCACCCGACTCAGCCAATCAGAAAGGCTTGTTATGTAAATAAAGCGTGCCAATTCGTTACTACGTCAGCCCACCAGCTGATGAAGCTGGTTCTAATAATTTCCGGCAAAACGTCACTTCTCAAATTGTAAATGTTGTGGGTTTACTCTCCAAAATATAAATGGTGTGCTGAAGTAGCAACTAATTGGCACGTTTTGTTTACGTGACATACCTTATTGATTTTGCTGTGTCTGGTCGTGGTGGGTTTAACAACACGTTTATATTTACGCGATATAACCCCAAAAAAAGGTGTATTATGAATAACATTGGTCGCGAAAGCCCACTACGACTACATGTTAAACCATACTCTTTGGTTCTTTCGGTAAAGTCACGTAGGTATAAAATAAATTAAATCACGACGTTTCGGTGCACAACACAAGCGTCCGTCATCAGGTGGGACCACAGCAAGAAACAATTGCTGAAGTGGGCAAAAGGGCTGCTGTGACAAGAGGCTATATAGGTAAGAGAGGGAGGAGGAGCCAGGGAGGAGAGATAGAGAGGAGAGAGAGGGGGGTCTGGGGTAGGGGGAGTGGAGCGCTGCTAGAGGGATTGAGAAACGAGCAAGGCGAAAGTGGAGGTAAAACCTCTGCCCTGGCACCCACCCGTGCGTCGCTCGCTCTCACCCCTCGCCGTGCCTGCCTTCGCTGAGGCTCTCTCCCTCTTCTCTGTTCTTCTCTGCTCGTCTCCTCCCGGCCTCTCGCCATGATTAAAGCGATCCTCGTGTTCAATAACCACGGCAAGCCGCGCCTCTCCAAGTTCTACAAGTTTTACGTGAGTTCGCGTTGGGGTTGCAGGGGGTTGCGGGAGCGGGAGGACGCTGGGTGCGGGATCTCCCCGCCGGGGCCGCTCAGAAAAATGCCGTGGCCGCTCAGGCAAATGCCGTGGCTCCGCGTCTGCGACTAGGCCCTCGCGGGGTGTTTAAGGTTTATGGAACAGATTAACATTGAAACAAGTGTACACGATTCTTGATGTGAACTTAACATACGTATTATATGTAAATACAGCATACACATGTATACAATACCGTACCAACATTTAAGTGATTATGACTTTAACACAACCGCGGTGTAAAACGTACAAACGTGGCCAAATAACATTAAGTGATATACCAAGCATGAATTGGCTTACAGTGTACATATACAGTTGTATATACAGTCCCTTTTGGACACTCCACTGCTGGATGAGGGACAGCCCAGGATGCGGTTGAACATACTTCGCCAGTCTGGTCAACTTGTACGGGCTGGTAGTTGAAGTCTGGGAAGAACGTATGACTTTGGGAGCATAGTACAATACAGTAGAATCATATGATTCTGCTGCATTGCATAATTAAACCTAATGTAATGCAATGACACCAGCAATATCCGAAATATATAAAACATTGCCATTCATGAAATCATGAAAATCATATTAATACAACGTAACGAATGTGAGACGGCAACAAACACGAACAGCCACCACGTCTGCATGGGCCAGCTTGGATTGGTTACCATCGAAGGACCTTCATCCAGCAGTCGATTGATCACGGCCGATGTTAGAAGAAGCCCATTACGGTATAAATGCAATACCGACAACGACCACTGGTGCGTGTTTGCGTGCGCGACCGCAGCTGTGCGCATGACTTGCTGTATGTGTGACTGCGTAACTGCGTAACACTGCGTGTGACACAGTATCAGTGCATGCCTGCTTAATTGCTTGATGACGGGTTACTTTGTTCGTGACTATACAATTTGTGTACGTGACATTGGCCTTGCGTGTGTGTAAATGACTGCGTGACACTGTGCATGACTCGGTACGAGTGCGTGTGTGTGACGAGCTGTGTGCCCGATTACTCGTGCGTTTGACTGGGCGCGCGGCTGTGCGGTGGTGTAGCGGGTAGCGCGCTGCACTACGAACCCGGCGACCCGAGTTAGATGCACGCTCACGGCCAACATCAATGACGATTATGTGAACCAGTCCTGGACCTTCCCTAGGTCGACTCGGCCTCAAATTAGTACCTAGTGCTGTGTGTAGTAAACATCACTACTGGGGAGACAAAGGCGGCCGTGCGTGGTGAAGGTAATAGGTGCTCTTCAACAGCACTTGCCGCAGCAGTCTGTTGAGTCTATTCGGGGATCTTTGTCTTTGTGTAGAGCGAGGACATGCAGCAGCAAATCATCCGGGAGACATTCCACCTTGTGTCCAAGCGAGACGACAATGTCTGCAACTTCCTGGAGGGGGGAACGTGAGCGTCGCACCCTCGGCTCACCCCTGCGCCCCCTCCCCCCCCCAGCGGGACTACAGCCCCACCGGGGGGGATCCGAGCATCTCCGTATTCGGTCGGAGCGATCACCAGTCCAGAAACCACGAGGTCAAACCCCCACCAACTGCCTTGTGACGGCAGAAAGCGCGATACGGCATGATGAACCCGGCCACATGAGTTGTATTCCTGGCCAAGGCTAAACAACAGTGGCGAGTTCATATCATAACTGGTCCTGGGCCATCCGACCACGGGGTATGCAGCGAATGCAACACATAGGGGCCCAGTCGACCACTTGGCGGGCCCGAATTAACAGATAAACAAGTAAAAAAATGTTAAGAAAATGTATTTTAAAAAATGAGAATAGAATATATAGTTATAACCTACATATTCTTATATATGGGTTAAAAAATCCGTAGCTTTTTGCAGTAACATTGAGTCAGGAGAAAGTAGGGGGACCCACAGTCGTATCTTGCATAGCCCCCCGTTGAAAAAGGTCGTTGTGCCCTTGCATCCGGCATCCCCGTGCTCCCTGTTACTCTCTTCAACAAGCGTGGTGAAATGTGGTCAAACAACCCCCACGACCCGCACGGCATGGGGAAGCCCTCCTCCAGCAGTGGATTGACATAAGGGCTGTGAGAACAGCGTGGCAATGCTGTGTTAACACGCTCGTGCCTCACAGCAACACAGGCTTGGGTTTGATTTCTGCAGCATCCTCCTGAAAAAAGAGTCGGTGAGGCTTTTCTGGATAAATAAGCGAAATAAGAATAATGTATGGTTACTTTAGGAAAGTGTTATAATCGAAAATCGAGGACTCAACAAACTATGTGGTGCGGTGCAAACCATCTTGCCTATATCACAGATGACTGACAATATCCCAATAGTTTAACACGTAAGCTTTCGCGACCAATTTAATCCATAATAGAGGTTTTTTGGGTTAGGTCGCGTATAAATATATAAATGTGTCGTTAAAAGCCGCCGCCACCCGACACAGCCAACTAGTAAGGGTTGTCACGTAAACAGAACGTGGCCAATTCGCCACTAGTACAGCACACCGGTGTGTTGGAGAGCCGAACCACAACATTTACAATCTGAGTATGACGTTTCGCCAGTAATTACAACTAGCTTCATCAGGTGAGAGCCAGATTTTTGGAGAAGTCTTACTGTTTCTTTCCTTATATAGAGGCCTAGATGTGGTGACCACAATTCTCCGCTCTTGCGCCACGTGGGGGGGATTACTGAGGCAATGTACATTATGCATTATGCGAGCCCTTTGAACTTGTCCTTCCTGTCTATTGTTAATGTTGTAGCTTGGCTCTCCAACACACCGGTGTGCTGTATTAGTGACGAATTGGCATGTTCTGTTTCCGTGACAACCCTTACGAGTTGGCTGTGTCGGGTGGTGGCGGCTTTTAACGACACATTTAATATATTTATACGTGATCCAACCCAAAAATCCTCTATTGTGAATACCCCAATACAATGCGCGTATTTTGGTGGAACGTGTGAACTCCACTTGTCTACTGCCCTGGATGTTTGCTCTTGCAATTTGCCAAGTCACATACAGTACTTGCCCGGCTGATTGAGCAGCGAGCCATGTTGCCGCCGTAGCCTTTTGTGCTGTGTAACCATGGGTGCAGGCTGATAGGTGGCTCGGACTACAAGCTCATCTACAGGCACTACGCGACACTCTACTTCGTGTTCTGCGTGGACTCGTGCGAGAGCGAACTCGGCATCCTCGACCTCATCCAGGCATGGCCACACACACACGCACACCACACACACTGGCAGTCTGCATCACGCATCATTCGTTGGGTGCTGGTGGTGTTTGAGCACTAGTGTAGTAGTGGTTAGCGCCACGCTGCGCTACGAACCCGGCAGAGACTTGAGTTCGATTCCCGCTCACGGCCACCAACACCAGTGACGAATATCTGAACCAGTCCTAGGCCTCCCCTAGGTCCTCTCAGCTTCAAATGAGTACCTGGTGCTGTGTGTAAAAATCATCTCACTGGGGAGACAAAGGCAGTCGGGCGTGGTGCTGGCCACCCACACTTCGTGTGTCATGCCGTCCTTCATAGATGCTCGCTAACGGCACTTGCCCCAATATCCAGTTAAGGCGATACGGGGGATTATTATTTATGAGCTTGGGCAGTGCACTTATGACTAGCTCCAGTTTGGCAGCTGAGGTCTCGCTCCAAATCAATAGAGCGGCATGATCTTTTCATCGGCTGCGCAATGCTGTGTGCAAGCTACCTGGTCTGTTGCTCCCGCACGAAGTTTCGGGTTTTCTCGGCCACAGGCATGCCCTCATTTATGCTTTAAAATGTGGACCCCTCTAATGGAACAACTGCGCCTGTTAGAAATATTCAGGATAGCCTGCCTACGATCCATCCTGGGTTAACCCAGACTGGATTGTGTGAGGAGTTCACAGATCCTTGAAAGATCTGGACACAGTCCCATCAGTAAGCTCTGGCAAGCAAGGCTGCATTGGCTGGGTCATGTAGCCGGTATGCCCAGCCACCGAATGCCTAAACAGCTTTTATTTGGTTTAACACGTAGATTGGATAGAGGGGGCTAAACAGGTGCGGCACAGGCTAGAGAAGATGTTGAAATAATGTGGTGCGAGAGGATATGGAGCTGAGTGGGCTTGCCAGTGACATACCAGCGGTATCAAGATCGGCCTCTGTGGAGGAGGCTCATGAAGGATGCTTGCTACTGGACAGTTGGAGGCAGTCACCCTCTAACAACAGCAGAAGGCAGAGGAGCGATGCTCGCAACAATGAGCTGAGCGCCGGGCGGGTAAAACACAGCAAGTTGGCACGATAGGGGGCACAGGTGGTGCATCTTTTAGTCATCTCAGTCATTCAACTGATGGTACCTGGTTCTGTTCCGTGACCTCTTGTAAGCGAGCGTTTGACACTTCACGTGACCTTAAAGTACACATAGCCTAGCTTAAGTGGCGAATGATGGTTATTGCGTTGGTGTTGTCAGTAGTGTTGGTGGAGATTAGTTGATGTTTGTAATGGTGCTTGATGGCTGTGTTTGTTGGTGATGTTAACATGTACAATGAGGGAAAAAAAGTATTTGATCCCCTGCTGATTTTGTACGTTTGCCCACTGACAAAGAAATTATCAGTCTGTAATTTTAGTAGGTTTATTTGAACAGTGATAGACAGAATAACAACAAAATCCAGAAAAACGAATGTCAAAAATGTTATAAATTGATTTGCATTTTAATGAGCGAAATAAGCATTTGATCCCTCTGCAAAACATGACTTAGTACTTGGTGGCAAAACCCTTGTTGGCAATCACAGAGGTCAGACGTTTCTTGTAGTTCGCCACCAGGTTTGCACACATCTCAGGAGGGATTTTGTCCCACTCCTCTTTGCAGATCTTCTCCAAGTTATTAAGGTTTCGAGGCTGACGTTTGGCAACTCGAACCTTCAGCTCCCTCCACAGATTTTCTATGGGATTAAGGTCTGGAGACTGGCTAGGCCACTCCAGGACCTTAATATGCTTCTGCTTGAGCCACTCCTTTGTTGCCTTGGCCGTGTTTTTTGGGTCATTGTCATGCTGGAATACCCATCCACGACCCATTTTCAATGCCCTGGCTGAGGGAAGGAGGTTCTTACCCAAGATTTGACGGTACATGGCCCCGTCCATCGTCCCTTTGATGCGGTGACGTTGTCCTGTCCCCTTAGCAGAAAAACACCACCAAAGCATAATGTTTTCACCTCCATGTTTGACGGTGGGGATGGTGTTCTTGGGGTCATAGGCAGCATTCCTCCTCCTCCAAACACGGCGAGTTGAGTTGATGCCAAAGGGCTCCATTTTGGTCTCATCTGACCACAACACTTTCACCCAGTTGTCCTCTAAATCAGAATCAGAATCAGAAACGGTTTTATTCGTCATGTAAGTTCACACCGACACGGAATTTACTTTGGCAGGATGGTGCATACATTCAACATATAGGAATCTAAAATCTTAAATAAGTTTTAAACAAGTCTTACTATAAGGGTTAAAAGTCTAACACCAAGGGGCTGAAGTATATAAAATTAAATAAATATCGAATATAAAATAGCTTTAAGATATAATTTAAAAATAAAAAATACAAATAGGGTAACATAGTTAATATCGGCAAGGTGTCGTTATGTAGATCAAATGTTAAAAACAGTGTTAGCCCTTGGCCTTGTTTAACAGGCCAGCAGCAGATGGGAAGAAACTGTTTTTATGGCGTGAGGTTTTGGTCCTGATGGACTGAAGCCTTCTGCCGGAGGGGAGTAGCTGAAACAGAGAGTGTCCAGGGTGGGAGAAATCGGCCATAATCTTCCTCGCTCGCCTCATGGACCTTGTCGTGTGCAGGTCCTCGAGGGTTGGTAGATTGCAGGCAATTACCTTCTCAGCAGTGTGGATGATACGCTGCAGTCTGCTCATGTCCTTGGCAGTGGCAGCAGCGTACCAGACGGTTATGGAGGAGGTGAGGATGGATTCAATGATCGCTGTATAGAATTGCACCATCATTGTCTTTGGCAGGTTGAATTTCTTCAGCTGCCGTAGAAAGTACATCCTCTGTTGAGCTTTCTTGGTGAGGGAGCTGATGTTCAATTCCCACTTGAGGTCCCGGGAGAGAATAGTGCCCAGGAAGCGGAAGGACTCTACAATTTTGACTGGGGAGTCTAACAGGGTGATGGGGGTGAGTGGTGCTGTATTCTTCCTGAAGTCCACAACCATCTCAACTGTCTTTAGAGCATTTAGCTCTAAGTTGTTCTGGCTACACCAGGTCACCAGGTTGTCAGCTTCCCACCTATAGTCAGACTCATCCCCACCAGAGATCAGCCCAATGAGGGTGGTGTCATCCGCAAACTTCAATAGTTTGACGGACAGATGATTGGAGGTGCAGCTGTTGGTATACAGGGAGAAGAGCAGAGGGGAAAGGATGCAGCCCTGAGGAGTTCCGGTGCTGATGGACCTGGAGTCAGAGACTTGTGTTCCCAGCTTAACGCACTGCTTCCTGTCAGACAGGAAGTCTGTGATCCATTTACAGGTGGTGTATGGCACGTTCAGCTGGAAGAGCTTGTCCTGAAGCAGGGCAGGGATGATGGTGTTGAAGGCAGAGCAGAAGTCCACAAACAGGATCCTGGCGTAGGATGCTGGGGCGTCCAGATGCTGTAGGGTGAAGTGGAGGGCCATGTTAACTGCATCGTCCACAGACCTGTTGGCTCTGTAGGCAAACTGAAGGGGGTCCAGGAGAGGGTCTGTGATGGCTTTGAGGTGTGCCAGGACCAGGCGCTCAAAAGACTTCATTACCACAGATGTAAGGGCGACCGGTCTGTAATCATTTAGTCCTGTTGGCCTTAGCTTTTTGGGCACAGGGATGATGGTGGAGGACTTGAGACAGGCTGGTACATGGCATGTCTCCAGGGAGGTGTTAAAGATGTTGGTGAACACCGGAGACAGCTGGTCAGCGCAGTGCCTGAGGGTGGCTGGAGAGACAGAGTCCGGCCCGGCTGCTTTGCGTGGATTCTGCCTCTTGAAAAGTCTATTAACTTCTCCCTCCTGAAAGGAGATAGTCGTCTCTGTAGTATTGGTGGGGGATGGGGCCTCTTGGGTTGGAAGGGGTGGTTCAGGACAGTCCAATTGTCTTTCAAATCTACAGTAGAACTCGTTCAGGTCGTTGGCTAGGCGGGAGTCGTTAGTGGTGTGGGGGGCTCTGGGTTTGTAGTTGGTGATCTGCCTGAGCCCTCTCCAGACAGAAGCAGCGTCGTTTGTAGAGAACTGGTGTTTTAGTCTCTCTGAGTATAGTCGTTTAGCCTCTCTCACCGCTTTGCTAAACCTGTTCTTCGACTCCTTGAATCTGTCTCTATCTCCACTCCTAAACGCTTCCTCCTTCTCCAACCTCAACCTTCTAAGCTTTGCTGAGAACCAGGGCTTATTGTTGTTAAAGTTCACCCTGGTACGTGTTGGGATACAGCAGTCCTCACAGAAGCTGATGTAGGACGTCACAGCCTCTGTGAGTTCATCCAGACTATTGGTAGCAGTCGTGAACATATCCCAGTCAGTACAGTCTAAGCACGCCCGCAAATCTTCCACAGCCTCACTGGTCCACTGTTTAGATGTCCTCACAGCAGGTTTACAGAGTTTTAGTTTCTGCCTGTATGCAGGAATCAGGTGGACCATGGCATGGTCAGAGTGTCCTAGTGCTGCTCGGGGGACGGCATGGTAGGCTCTACTGACTGTAGTGTAGCAGTGATCCAGAGTGTTCCCTTCTCTGGTTGGGCATTTAATGAATTGTATGTATTTGGGGAGTTCGTGGCTGAGATTACCTTTGTTAAAGTCGCCAAGTACGATAACCAACGAATCTGGATTTGCTCGCTCCACACTCAGAATCTGATCGGCAAGCATGCGTTGGGCCTCTTTAACCTGAGGTCATTCAGATGGTCATTGGCAAACTTCAGACGGGCATGTATATATGCTTTCTTGAGCAGGGGGACCTTGCGGGCGCTGCAGGATTTCAGTCCTTCACGTCGTAGTGTGTTACCAATTGTTTTCTTGGTGACTATGGTCCCAGCTGCCTTGAGACCATTGACAAGATCCTCCCGTGTAGTTCTGAGCTAATTCTTCACCATTCTCATGACAATTGCAACTCCACGAGGTGCGATCTTGCATGGTACCCCAGGCCGAGGGAGATTAACAGTTCTTTTGTGTTTTTTCCATTTGCGAATAATCGCACCAACTGTTGTCACCTTCTCACCAAGCTGCTTGGCAATGGTCTTGTAGCCCATTCCAGCCTTGTGTAGGTCTACAATCTTGTCCCTGACATCCTTGGAGAGCTCTTTGGTCTTGACCATGGTGGAGAGTTTGGAATCTGATTGATTAATTGCTTCTGTGGACAGGTGTCTTTTATACAGGTAACAAGCTGAGATTAGGAGCACTCCCTTTAAGAGTATGCTCCTAATCTCAGCTCATTACCTGTATAAAAGACACCAGGGAGCCAGAAATCTTTCTGATTGAGAGGGGGTCAAATACTTATTTCCCTCATTAAAATGCAAATCAATTTATAACATTTTTGACATGAGTTTTTCTGGATTTTTTTGTTGTTATTCTGTTTCTCACTGTTGAAATAAACCTACCATTAAAATTATAGACTGATCATTTCTTTGTCAGTGGGCAAACGTACAAAATCAGCAGGGGATAAAAAAATGTTTTCCCTCACTGTATGTTGAACGTATTTCGCATCGTACGTAGTCAACCTTGCTATTCAGAGGTGCGGGGGAAGGAAAACAAACTAAACACAAAAAAGCACTTCTATAGAAGTGAGCGATGATGTTGTTAGGTTCCTGGTGTTGATTGTGGTGTTTGGTGGTGATGATGGTGTTTATAACGACTTTGATTGTCGTGCAGTTTTGAAGGTGTTTGTGTGATGGTGTTGATGATTGCGTTGATGGCGGCGTCCGTGGCGATGTTTGTTATTGTGTTGACGGCAGGTCAGCGTTCACGGTGGTGGTGGGGATGTTTGTTATCGTGTTGACGGCGGTTCAGTGTTGACGGCGGTTCAGCGTTGACGGTGGTGGTGGGGATGTTTGTTATTGTGTTGACGGGTTCAGCGTTGACAGTGTTAGTGGTGATGTTTGTTATTGTGTTTAACGGCGTTGGTGGTGATGTTATTGTGTTGATGGCGGTGGTGGTGATGTTTGTTATTGTTTTGATGGCGGTGGTGGTGTTATTATTGTGTTGATGGTGGTGGCGATCATGTTTGTTATTGTGTTTGACGGCGGTTCATCGTTGACAGACGTTGGTGGCGATGGCAATTCATGGTTGTGTTGACATCGTCTTGTTTTGGACCAGGTGTTCGTGGAGACTCTGGACAAGTGCTTTGAGAATGTCTGTGAGCTGGACCTCATCTTCCACGTTGACAAGGTCCGGGCGGTGGGGATGATGGGGCAGTAGCCCTGTGCTTCCTGGGTCATTAATGTCCTGGCAAATCACCAAGATCATCAGCAGGAACCCTTCTAGAATCTCCACATGGACGTATTGGCGCTACACCGGTGCAGCATGACACACTGGTCCTTCATAAAACAGTCTGCAATCAAAAATGTAACTGACATTTGTCTTCCGACCGCTTCACGGGAACTGATTTTAATGCACACCCCGCAAGATTTTTGGACCGGGGGTTGAGAATCGCAGGAAAATAAATAATTTTTGCGCAAAAAATATTTCTTATATTGCGCACCACTGGAGTACCGCCAAAACGTTCATATATATTCTACTTTTCTTCGTGGGTTTTTTATGCTGCAGCATAGCACTTGGCAACAGGTGTGGCACGTTGCAAACATATCCCAGGTGTGCCCGCTGGAGGTATTTTCAGGATTATAGGAAAAGCAAAGAATCCCCAACCACTGTTCGTAAGTTAGGACAGACGAGAAATCTCCATTCCATGGCCGATCCAGCCCCCACCTCTCTCCATTGGCCGTGCGTGCTCCAGCAGTTCAGGAGCAGACGTCAGCCATCAGCCCCTGACCCGGCCCTCTGGACTCCCTCGGTCACATGTTCGTGCAGTTGGAGTCTGTTTTTTGGTTCAGTGTGCCACGAAGATCTAGCGACCCCGAGTGTCTGTTTGTGCATGCCGCGGTGGCGGCTGAGCGGCTAAGGCGGTAGAATGGGATGAGCGATCACGTGATTGTGTGTGAGAGTGTGCTGTTTTGTGTGATTGAGTTTTAAAGTGAGTGTATGTGTCAAGGTAGGTGCTTTATGTATCGCGGTGTTTATTAGTCGCATTTCTCGATATTTTTTAATTGTTTAACGTTTTTGTTTTATCGTTTTTTTCGGCAGTTTTGTTTTGCCACACTTTTTTTTCTTTCCAACAGCGTGCGTGTCCAGTACCTGTATTATTTGTATCTGTGTATTATCTGTATCCGCGTGTCTGTGTGTTTGTGTTTCTGTGTGCGTGTGTTGTTGTCTGCGTATGTTTATAAATAGCGTGGGATGTACTGGAGCATGTGGTGTATTGTAGTATGGGATGTACCGTAGTGCGTGGTGTACTGTGGTGTGTGTACTGTAGCGTGTACTGTAGCATGTACTGTAGCGTGTACTGTAGCGTGTACTGTAGTGTGTACTGTAGTGTGTACTGTAGCATGTATACTATAGTGTGTGTGTGTACTCTAGTCTATGATGCATTGTGGCTTGTATAGCATCGTGTGTAGTGCACTACATTGTGCATAGTGCGGCGCAGGTGGTGTGCATGTAGTAGAGGCTGTGTGTGTGGTCGTGGGTGGCTAAAGCACAGCAAGTTGGCACAGTAGGGGACACAGGTGGTGCATCAGCCAGTCATCTTAGTCGACCTGTGGCACCTGGGTCTGCCCCGTGACCTCCTGCCAGCGGGCGTTCGACACTTCACGTGGCCTCAAGGTGCACATAGCCTGGCACAAGCGTCGTGGTGACGTCACCACCACTTAGTGGCGAATGGCAGTTGTTGTGTGTGTGGTGCAGGCTGAACGTGTAAGTGTTGGAGGCTATATATGTGTGTGTGGGCCGTATTGGTGTGAGTGGGGGATGTGTATGTAGATAGATCGGTGCGTGTGAGGGCCTGGTAACTCCTCCACCTGGCACTTTTTTCACCATCTGAAAAATCCAGGAACAGGAAAACGCTGAGATTGGCCATGTGGAATGTTCGGACTCTCTTTGCAGAGGAGAGGCTGCCACTCCTTTGTCAAGAGATGGACTGGTACCGCTTGGACCATTGTGGAATACAGGAGGTCCAGTGGACCGCTTCTGGTTCCAGTCATCATGAGGGATGGACAGTACTCCACTCAGGGCATGAAATTACCAAACAGGGGGGAGTGGCACTTATTTTGAACAAAAGAATGAAGGGTGTGTGGGAGTGTGGCAGTGAAGTGTGGGAAGCTGTAAATCTCAGGCTAATGCGGGCTTGCCTCCCCATCAAGTGTGGTGGTGGTTGCTTACTCCGCCACCAAAGATGAACATCAGTGGAGGGATGCAGATTAGGTTGATGAGTCAGATGTCTTCTATAACCTGTCCCAGGTGCTAGCTAAAAGGGTCCATCGGGATAGAGTCATCATGTTAATTGACTTTAATGCTTGAGTGGTTCATGACGCAGACACCTGGGTTGGAGTGATTGGAAGGCATGGGCCAGATCAGCTCAACAATAACAGAAGGAGGCTGCAAGACTTCTGTGTAGCCCATGGGCTTGTAATTACGAACACGCTATTCCGGCATCGACACATCCACAAAACATCATGGATGCACGCCGGGGCCAAGCAAGAACATCTGCTAGACTTTATAATTAAGCACCTTCCTGGGTATTTTGTGCCACCAAACACTCCACCCCATCAGCTCCCCATTGGTGATGGAGCGGTTGTGGAGAGAGTGGAGTTTCCCATACCTGGGCAGTGTGCTTATGACCAGCTCCGGTTTGACAGGAGAGGTCTCACTCTGAATCAGTCAGGTGGCATTGTCTTTTCATCGGCTGCGCAATGCTGTGTGGAATCTACCTGGTCTGTCGCTCCCGCATGAAGTTTCGGGTTTTCTCAGCAAAAGGCATGCCGTCCCTCTTTTTGCTTGTGAAATGTGGACCCCGCTAATGGAACATCTGCATGAGTTAGAAACATTCAGGCTGGTATGCCTGTGATCCATCCTGGGTTTAACCAGGCTAGATTGTGTGAGGAGCTCACAAATCCTTGAAAGATATGGACACATTCCCATCAGTGAGCTCCTCCGGCAGGCAAGGCTGCATTAGCTGGGTCATGTAGACCGCATGCCCAGTCACCGCATGCTCAAACAGCTTCTGTTTGGCCGCAAATAGGGGGCGAAATGGACACGACATAGGCTAGAGAAGAGATGGACTGATGCGGAATAAGAGGATGTGGAGTTGAGTGGACTTGGTACCAGTGGTGTCAAGATCAGCCTCTATGGAGGAGGCTCATGAAGGACACTGTTGGGCAGTTGGAGGCAGTCGTCCTCCAGCAACAACGGAGGGCAGAGGAGCGACGCTCACAACGAGCGGAGCGCTGGGTGGCTAAAATGCAGCAAGTTGGCACAGTGGGGGGTAAATCTGGTGCATCTACCGATCATCTCAGTCAGCCAACCCATGGCACCTGGGTCTGTCCCGAGATCTCCTGTCAGCGAGCCTTCGACACTTCACGTGGCCTCAAAGTGCACGTGGCCTCAAAGTGCACCTGGCCTGGCACTTGCGCGGTGGTGACGTCATCATCACTTAGATGCAAATGGCAGGTATTGGTGTTGCGGTTAGGATTCTACACGAGTTGAATTGCTGCACATGACTACCACCACCAGTGACAATTCTCTGAACCGGTTTTGGGCCTTCCATAGGTCGATTCAGCCTCAAACGTATACCTGGTGTGGTGTGTCGTAAATTTTGCCACTAGGAAGACAAAGGCGGCCGGGAATGGTGCTGGCCACCTACCCCCTTGTGTGCTGTGCCGGCCTTCATAGGTGCTTGCTAACAGCACTGGCCCCAACAGTCTGTTAAGGCTATATGGGGGATCTTTCTCTTTGCAACGCGGAGTGGGAAGCCGTTGAGCATCGGTTAGTGTGCTATGCTACAAACCTGGTGACCCGAGTTCGATTCCCGCTCACGGCCATCACCAGTTACGATTATCTGAACTGGTCGTGGGCCTCCGCTAGGTCGACTCAGCCTCAAATGAGTACGTGGTGTGTAGTATACATTGCCACTGGGGAGACAAAGTCGGTCGGGCGTGGATGTGGCAACCCACCCTTTCGTGCCATGCTGGCTTTCATAGTTCCCCCTCACTAACAACACCTGCCCTAACAGCCTGTGCAGGAAATACGGGGGAGTCTTTGTATTTGGCTTATTCGCACCATGTGCGCTTGGGTATGGCCTTGAGATGGATATAAGGGGGATCTTTGTCGTGCTGTGGAGTTAAGTTTTTTCCACTTTTAAAGGCCGAGCAATTTCAGCCAGAATGACCGTTGGGAATTCATGGGGGGCTGTCTTATCGTGTCTAAGTTAGCAATTGTGTTCTGTGTGAATTTTTACAATAGAATGTTTGTTAAGAAAACAAATAAACTATTGCTTTTGGATATATATATATTTTTTGCAGTACTTAAAAACCCAAAAAAATATTTATAGTTGCCTTTCTCAGAAAACCATTATCACAGGGTGTCAGGATAATTTTCCCAAATATTAATATTCTGCACATTGGCGAGTGAATTAACAATGGCGATTGACAATAATCTTTTCCCGTCCAGGTTTATTATTTTAGTTCACTTGTAAGATTTGTTTGCTAACATGTTACTGGATGCATATTTACAATATCCGTTTGAACAATTGGCTGTTACTGGGTGTATCCGATGCAATGTTCTTGAGTCAATATTATGAACAGAGCTAAAATGGAAGAAACGCTACGCTCGTCAACTTCATTTAGAAAGGATGTGGCACATAGGGAGAGATAGAATAACAATTATTTCCTTGCCCATAGACCAACATTGCCCACAGTCTTCCATTGCCCACAGACTAACATTCTACATAGACTAATATTGCCTATAGACTAACAGGTTCCTGAGTAATGTGGACAGAGCTAAATGGAAGCAAGGCAACGATCGCCAACAACTTTGAGAAAGGACACGGCTCAAAGAGCGAGATATTTACCAATAAAAATAATTGAGAGGATCCTTGGGATAAAATATTAGTACACAATAGGGAAGAGCTAAAGTTGGGGGATCTGGCGCTAACAGACATGACCTTTGATGGTGAAAATAGCCACATGTGTATGATCGAATGCTGGTGACATTAAAGTTAATTAAACTGCCATACCTGATATATACACGTTTATACTTTGCCGAACGGATTCCAATTTTCTACCATGTTGCAAAAAATCCAGGACTTAAGGAGAAATGCAATGTCGTAGCTGCTGCTAGACACCGTAAGACCTCCCCTCTATTTATGTTACTTTATTTTATGTTTTATTTACTATACAGTATTTTTTACAGCATTGCATACAAGTGTACAATATTTCTTTCGAGTTTAACAATGCTTCCTTTTGTTGAAATGTCACGCATTTGATAACACTGAACGTATGGATATTTAAATACAGTACATTGTTGTATTCTGACTTACGAACCGTTGCTACTTATGAACGGGGCCTCAGGAACGAATTATGTTCGTAAATCGATGACTGCCCTGGATATCTCTGTGTTAGGTGCACTACATTCTGAATGAGATGGTGATGGGCGGCATGGTGCTGGAGACGAACATGAATGAGATCGTCAATCAGATCGAGGCGCAGAACAAGTTGGAGAAGTCCGAGGTGACGTCCCCCATCCTCTTCCCTCCACATTACCCTGTGTGCAGTTTAAGTATCTCGGCCCTCGTGTAGGAGTGAATTGACGAGCTGACAAGAGCTGACATGATCTGATGGGCACAGGAAGGTGGCCTGGGTTAGATTCCCGCACTCAGGCGCTCCACTCTGTGTGTGGTTTGTTCTCCCTGTGCGATGAGTGAGTTGGTTTTCCCCATGTGAATACAGTTTTTTTTATGTTCTCCCCCTGTTCTGCATTGGTCTCCTCTGTATTCTCCTGTTTCCTCCCATAGCTGAACAGAGACACAGTGTAACTGGTGTTGGCCAAAAACGTCCAACTGCTGAAAAAAATACCTGCAAATTACTCATTTGGGATTACACAAAGCAGCAACATCACCCTCCTAATTGTGAAAACTTAACAGGACCCTCTTGAAAATAAGTTTTGAGACTCAGTCAGGCTTTCTGAGGTTAACGAGCATAGTCACTGACGGTCACTACATCACGCGCTTTCAGATGCACTTCTGCAGCTGTCTGGAATGCTCCTCTGACATTAGTAAGCCAGTTTTAAATCTGGATTTAAAAATTTGGGATTACACAAAATCTGGATTTAAAACTTATTTAAAACTGCTTTCTGTGTTTAGTTTGTTCTTTGCTTGCACCTCCGATTTGCACGGTTGGCTATGTACGGTGCGAAAGAAGTTCAACCTACGTACATACATGCACAGTAATCAAACCCAGGCCTTTGTTGCTGCGAGGCATGAGTGTTAACACTGCACAGCCTCCATTGACCTTAGGTCAATCCACTGCTGGAAGAGGGCTTTCCCATGCCGTGCGGATCGTGGGGCTTTGGCCCTACTTCACCATGCTTAGTGAAGAGGGAGGCAGGGAGTACGGGGGTGTCGAATGCAGGGGCGCAATGACCTATTTCAATGGGTGTAATATCTCCAGGCTATTTCTGATCTACCCAATGTCCTGGTAATTCTGCATCTACCAATGTCTCGGATATCCCGTACGGTTGGCTATGTGGGGTGTGTGAAAGAAGTTCAACATACATACACACATAGTAATCATAACAAAGGGATCCATAGTCCATGGCAGACTACAGGCTTATACCATCTTCCCTCTGGTACAGTGTAAGCTTGATAGTGATGAACTTGCAGCAGTGATGTGATCACATTGCGTGTTTGCTGCTTGTTGCAAGGGTTTGCGGTTCAATCCGTCCCTGGCTGCCAGTAAAGTCTCGGTGTGTCTGTAAAGTTTGGACTGTTTGGACGTCGGCACACAATGGCCTATTTACTACCGGTTTTAGAATAACGTCCAAGCGATTGCTTTAATGTCCACTGCGAGCGAAGCAGACTGTACGTAGTCATAGTATTTCTCGTGTTACCACACACCCCCCTACTGCAGTATTAACCGGGGGGCGGCCTAGCCAATCCGAACAGCGTTAACTCAGCAACAGATGGGCGAGAGAGCGTGCTATTGCCGCAGACTGCATCGACACCACCGCCATAAATGAAGCTTTTGGCGGTACACCGGTGGTGTGCGGTAAAAAGTTAAAAGCTAATTTTTGTGCAATCATTATTGAGTTTCCCACGATGCGTAACCCCAGTCAGAAAATCTTGCGGGGTGGTGCGTCAGAATTAGTTATCATGATGTCGAAGTGGTCAGAACAAGATTGTTATGAGCAGTTGAACACAAAGCTTCACGGTCTGTTGCCATCTAGCAGCACACAGCCGGATGATTGGCTTTCTTGCGTGAAGCAATGCAAGAAAGTTGCAGCTGCTGCTGTTGTTCCAGACGCTCGCCCTCCTGGTCGGGCCAAAAAATTGTATGCCCCGGACCAAAATCAACAATCAATGTTGACCTTTTTTAGAAAGTCTCAAACGGAATAAACCTTCTAAAAACTTGGCGACAGGGTCAATTCGAGACTGATAAAAATAGATTTTCTGATTCAAATTGAGATTTTAGACCGGTGTGTTATAATGCACCAGTGTACCGCAGATATGCACAAATGAAAATCCTGATCCCTCTCCTTGCCCGTGGCCTGCCACCTCCCTCCCTCCATCTCTCCATCCCTCCCTCCATTCATCCCCAGGCCGGCCTCGCGGCGGCACCGGCGCGAGCCGTGTCGGCCGTGAAGAACATGAACCTGCCAGACATGCCGCGCAACATCAACATCGGGGACATCAACATCAAGGTGCCCAACCTTGCCTCCTTCAAGTGACAGGTGACGTGTGCCCCTTGGAGGAGAAGGAAGAGGAGGAAGAGAAGGAGCAGGAGTAGGACTACGGGGCACATGGTGGGGGAGGGGTGGGGGCAGAACATGAGGGAGAGTGGCAGGATTGTGGAGTTTGGTATCATTGTGTCTATGTCAAGGCGGTCACGACCAATGTAAGGTCTGTTAAACCAGTTTAACGTAATTCATCATTGATTTTTCGGATTTGGATCACCACGTGAGTAAAATTTTAAGTCGTATAGTGCTCCTCCAGCCAAAACAGGCAATTCATAAAGTTGTCACAGTGGTGTGTATCAAGCACTACACTAATGCCGGAGTGCAATCCACACATTTAACAATTGGGTAGTCTAACATTTTGCTGTTAGTTACAATTGGCATCATGAGGCAGTTTCCAGAATTTTTTTAATCTCCGTTTTTGAGCAGTAAATAGGTTGGAGATGTTGTGTCATCAATGTGTAAGTAGCAAGAAGTGATGCCGAGGTTAATACATTTGCATAAATCATAACGCTGGTTGTGTTTATCAGTAAAAAAAATGTCCGTCTGTAATTATTGAATGTGGTGTGGATTGCTGTCCTCCATGCTCGGCGTGTGCTGCAGCAGCAGCAATAAATTGGCCACTTTTTGTTCTCATCGTGTGACAACTTCATTCATTGGCAATTTGGGCTAAAAAGTCAATTATGAATCGTAATATTGTATTATTGTTTGTGAAAGTCCACGGTTTTAGGTGAGATGAAATGACGAACACTTCGCCGTCTCGGTCCGCAGACACTGCCTATATAACTGAAGCGTGAAGCCGGCTATGCTTTGGGCGCCGTCGGCCCTGCTCTGTAAGCGGAGAGCCTGTAGAAGCATATTATGAGCCCGGCGTGGCTAGAAAAACCGCCCGTGTTAATGATGTACGAGAGGTACACCTTTTAAACACCGGATGATTTCGAAGGATGCATGCAAATCCCGTGTTCATTAATGTTGGTGGTGCTGGAATTAGCGGATGTTAAAGCAGTGAAGCGACCTTCACCTGGTCAAAAATGTTTTATGCACTGGTGCACACGGAGCTCCTTTTTGTCAGTCCATTGCTGGATGAACGAGGGCCAGTCCCCCCGCGCCATAGTCATTGGACCATACTTTCAACATGCCGGTTAAGAGTCGGTTGGTGATGGTGCAAAATGTAAATGGATTACATGGTCTTATCTAAAATGAATAAATTTGTATCCTGTGATGGGTTTACGTCGACCCCCCCCTCCCCAGACTGGCAATTCAAACTTGCACAACCTTTGGATTGTGAGTGGTGATGTGGGTGCGGGTCACTGACCGGCTGGTTCTACTATTAGAAGGCAGTGCTGATGACCGTGGCGCTGATGGTGGTGGCGATGAGGTGTTGCCTAGTCTGTGCCCAATCACCACTTGCTCCCTCCTGCAGTATCTCCCTTCATTTTTCCGTCCGGTTCATTTTCCCCCCCATCGGACTCTGCTGAAAGGAATTCCAGCGAGAATGATCTTGCGTCTTGTGATGTGTTTTTTTTGTATTGTTTTCCTCAAACGGACATCATCGACTTGGATGTTAATAGGTGAGAGATCGTTAATTTCGTGTGTGGGTGTCTCACAAATGGGGTGGGGGTTGGGGGACATAATGTCTGTTGGAGACACCGAGGAAGGCGGTTCGGGGACCAAATGTAGGTGATGTGAACCCTCCATTACAGATTCTCTTTGCATGAGTCGAGGTGGATTGTTCCACCCTCTGCGCACAGTTGGGCTGCCGGCGACGCGCGGTCTGGCAAGATCAACCCTTGAAGAATGTTGCCGGAATGCGTGGCACAAAGTGAGTTTGCTGTCATATGTTGGGTACAAAGGGGCAGCTATGTAGGAGAATGTAGGAATATCTATCTTCCTCACCGTGGGAAACCTCTATACACTGTTCCCCCCTGGTATATCCATTCTCTTTACAAAACCCCCTGTTATTTCCGTGAAGACCAATTTATGCCATTTACAGCTTAAAATGTAAATTATATTGCTTTTTATTGTCTCCGAATATATATGTAAAAAAGCAAATATGAAATGTATGAAGTGAAAAATAAACCCATCACCGAAAGCAGCAAGCCAGTTTTGGAACGCATCACCACAACGCCACAGTAATTGCACAATGCCGAAACTGGGGCTGGCTGGCGCACAACATTTTCTGCGCAACGTGGCGATGGTGGCTGACGGCAAGTCGGCACATTTGCTTTGTGTGATGTGAAGCTTCTAAATGTTGGTAAAGTGTAACTTTTCTATTTCCCCGATTAATAAAAAAAACACATCTGGACTATCCAGGACATTGGTCTATCCGGAATATACGGTCAACAGCGAAATAATTTTCACTCAACCGAATTTCATCAGCAGGGCGCCTCGTTGCCTAGCTGGTGAAGTTGAAACCGGGGACAAGGTTGCCCTTGTTTAATAAGGAAATGCAGCTGGTGTGAGACACGAATCGAGAAGCAGATTCCCTACCCCCACCCCACACAGGTTGATGCATTACACTTAATTTTATTTCAGTGATATATGTACCCACTTGTGCACAATTTATATTCTAACTCGTCCAGTAATGAATTCACATGCAGTCATACCTGAAAACAATACTTACACTGCACATGACTTTATTTATTTGTTGATGAGATGTAAAGTGCTGTTGAGACACCTCAAGCATAAGAGGCGCTCTGTCAACAAATAATTATTACTCGTTGGCCTGTGGCCGCATCTGTGGCACTAAAGGTATGATGCTACCCACTGCATGTATTTAGATGTTATGTTTTTATTACCTTAAATCAACAAGGAAATCCAACCTCTGTAGGCCTATCCCTTTCCTGTATTAGGCCACACCCCTTATTGATTAGACCGCACCCATTCCTGTTTTTGGCCCCATCACTTCCTGTATTAGGGCCCCATGTCTCGTCTTCTGGCTAAGCGCCTTCTTAGACCATGCCCTTTCTTTATGCCCTGCCTCTTTCCAGATACACGGTGGGGCCCTTGGTTTGGTAGATTAAGTTAGAATGTGAATTGTAACGAAGCCTGTCTAAATCTCGAATACATGTATTTTGTATATATTTTCATCACAACGTTTCTCTTGTTGGTGTGGAGCGGGACATTCCTGTGAAAGGGGGATGTACGCGTGCATGTCTAGGGGCTGTCCGCTGTAAATTTTTAAGTAAAACGATTGTGACGTTGAGAATGCATTAAGTGCACACTGCGGTGAGTTGTGTGTGTGGCCAGTTCCCAGCCTCAACAATAACTTATTAGTGGCTGTGGGCCATTGCTGCTGAAACTAGCTAGGTAACTGGCTAAATCCCAAGTTAATAATTAGCAAGAATTTTTTTCAGGATTGGGATACTTGGCCAATATCAGTTACATTATGGTTGGTTTTAGCGTGAGAACATACAAACTCCACTCACTGTACAGAACAGGGGGACATCATACAAACTCCACTCACACTGCAGAACAGGGGAAGGACATACAAACTCCACTCGCACAGAAGAACAGGGGGAGGATATACAACTCCAATCACTCTACAGAACACGGGGACATCATTCAAATTCCACTCTACAGAACAGGGGAGATCATACAAACTCCACTCACTTTATAGAACTGAACATTTTCAAACTGCACTCACAATCTGCAGAACAGGAGGAGAACAAACTCCCCTCACTCCCACTGCAGAACAGGGGGAGAACATATAAACCCCATTCACTCCTAACTTTATTTTTCAAGAAAAAGTGTACTCCATTGTGTTTAGCCTCAGTATGCTACATATTCCATGAAAAGTGGGAAATTTCTCGATGACATTTTCACGTCATTAAAAGGAAATAGGAATACTATGCCGTTTATGGCCAAAACTGGACGAATTTTCACGACCTATATTTTTCAACAAAAAGTGCACTCCATTGTGTTTTGCCTAGTATCCAATATGTTACATTAAAACTGGGAAATTTCACGCTGACAATTTCACGTCACGAAAAGAAAATCGGCAAGCTATGCCTTTTTAACACGTAGGCTTTCGCGACCAATATTATTCATAATAAAGGTTTTTGGGTTAGATCGCGTTTATTTATAAATGTGTCGTAACCCTCCACCACCCGACACGGCCAATCAGCAAAAAAAGTGTCACGTTGACAAAAGACAAATAATTCACTACTTCAGCCCACCGGTGTGTTGAAGAGTTAATCCACATTTACAGTTTGAGTACGACGTTTCGCTGGTAAATACTTCCAGCATCATCGGGCAATTCACCAGAATGGTAAAGCCCTCGCTTGCTCCCGGTTTTATATAGAGCAGCAGGGTGACGTCATCACTTAACTCATCAGGTGCAGTGATTAGAGGCGGAGGGGGGGGGGGGTAATGTAATTATATAATCGATTAGTAATCAGTCATTGGTTATGATTAGTAATGAGTTGTAGATTAGTAATTCTTTAAATCAAAATGTAATGTGTATTATTTAATAATACGCTTCCAGGCCGCACTAAGCCGGTAGCTGTCAGAGCGATTAAAGTTATTCTTGTTCCTCTCAATTTCAATGGATTCTCTAATGAGTCTTTGCCAGTAATAATTAGTTTTACACACCACTGCAACATTGTCAAAATCAATTGAGTGTCCTTGTTGACAAGCATGTTCTGCCACTGCCGACAGTTGTGTTTGAGATAATTTAATATTTCTCTGATGTTCTTTTAGTCTTACGCTGATGTTACGTCCCGTCTGCCCAATGTAGCAGCTGCCACATGAACAATTAATCCGATATACACCTTCTGTTGATAGTTTAGGTAATGCGTCTTTAGTGCAAGATACTAGTTTTTGAATTTTGTGTACTGTACCAAATCTTACTGTGATGTTTTGCTTTTGCAAAATGCAGGCTAATTTGTCAGTTACTCCTGAGATATATGGAATTTTTATTGTTTTAACAATCTGGTCGCTTTCAGTAGTATTTCTTTGCGATCGTGATTTGGCATTCAGTGCTCTGTTAATTTGAGCATTATTGTAGCCATTCTGTCGTAGTGCGTCTTTAACGTGTTTAATCTCTCTCACTAGACTCTCACCATCTGACACTGTTTTCGCCCGATGTACGAGCATCTTGATAAGAGAGGATTTTTGAGCTGGATGATGATGTGATTCTGCATTCAGATAGGCATCAGTGTGCGTTTGCTTTCTGTAAACGCTGTGTGTTATTTTACCGTTTAGGCCATGTCCAAGCAAAATATCTAGGAATGGGAGTGTGTTATTCACCTCCATTTCCATGGTGAACTGGATGGCCGGGTTTTGTGCATTGAGATGATTTAGAAAATCATTAAGTGTATCTTTACCATGTGGCCAGACAACCAAAGTGTCATCCACATACCTAAACCAAAAGGATGGTTTTAATGTGCTCGAGGCAAGTGCTCTTATTTCAAAGTTTTCCATGTACAAATTTGCTATAGCAGGGGATAAAGGAGAACCCATTGCTGCTCCTTCCTTTTGTTTAAAGAAATCCCCTCTCCATAAGAAGTAAGTGTTATTTAAACAATGGCCAGCAAGTTTCGGAATATCTTTTTGTAAACCGGTATTCTTTACTAGTGTATCAAGTAATTTAAGCGATTCGTCCACTGGAACCTTAGTGAATAGAGAAATCACATCAAAACTTACCAGAATATCATCAGGAGTAAGTTTAATATCTTTAATCACATTCACAAGATGTTCTGAATTTTTTATGAATGAAGATGTCTTACCGATGTAGGGCTGTATTTGTTTGGTTATATATTTTGCTAATTGATATGTGGCAGAGCCAATTGTACTGACTATGGGTCGTAATGGGATGCCGATTTTACGAATCTTTGGTAGCCCATAGAGTCTAGGTGGTTTTGAGGCCCTTGGCTTAATTAGGTATTGCTCATTTTTAGGGATTAATGAATTTGCAATTATTGCAGTGGTCTTACGTTCTAAAGTATTAGTTGGATCTCGTTTAATTTTAATGTAGGTACTTTCCTCTAGTAAATTTCTAATTTTATTATCATAATCGGCTCGTGACATCACTACAGTAGTGCGGCCTTTATCAGCTGCTAGGATTTGGATATCCTTATTTACACGCAGCTCTCTTAAGGCTTTTGCCTCGTTAGAGCTAATATTTACTTTTGGAACTTTGCTATTCTCAATTATTTTAGCAACCTCATGTCTAGTCATCTCTGCCTCATTATGTGGAAGGAGTCTAACTGCTGATTCTACCTCAGCAATTATCTCATCCACTGGAATTGTGCGTGGGGTAACGGCAAAGTTAAGGCCTTTAGAAAGGATAGAGACCATGTCACCGGTTAATACAGTGTTGGTCAAGTTCAGTACAGTTTTGTTTTTACATTTTTGGTTTTCAGTAGGGATTTGTTTATTATGTAGTCTAGAAAATTTATTAATTTGGTTAGTTTTTGTTAGTTTAAACACATTATCAGCCGATTATTGTGTTATGTTATCGATTATATTCCAATAATGCATAGATACACTATTGCTTATATCTAAGTGTAACTGCTTTAGCGATTCCGAAATGTAAGATAATTCACTCCTATTGTGCTGTATTCTCTCTATTAATAATAATTCGCTAGCTTTGTGTAGTATTTGGTTAGCTTTAGAAGACTTTATGTGATGTGTTATTTTAACTGCGTTTGGTATTCTGAATGCAGAATCACATCATCATCCAGCTCAAAAATCCTCTCTTATCAAGACGCTCGTACATCGGGCGAAAACAGTGTCAGATGGTGAGAGTCTAGTGAGAGAGATTAAACACGTTAAAGACGCACTACGACAGAATGGCTACAATAATGCTCAAATTAACAGAGCACTGAATGCCAAATCACGATCGCAAAGCAATACTACTGAAAGCGACCAGATTGTTAAAACAATAAAAATTCCATATATCTCAGGAGTAACTGACAAATTAGCCCGCGTTTTGCAAAAGCAAAACATTACAGTAAGATTTGGTACAGTACACAAAATTCAAAAACTAGTATCTTGCACTAAAGACGCATTACCTAAACTATCAACAGAAGGTGTATATCGGATTAATTGTTCATGTGGCAGCTGCTACATTGGGCAGACGGGACGTAACATCAGCGTAAGACTAAAAGAACATCAGAGAAATATTAAATTATCTCAAACACAACTGTCGGCAGTGGCAGAACATGCTTGTCAACAAGGACACTCAATTGATTTTGACAATGTTGCAGTGGTGTGTAAAACTAATTATTACTGGCAAAGACTCATTAGAGAATCCATTGAAATTGAGAGGAACAAGAATAACTTTAATCGCTCTGACAGCTACCGGCTTAGTGCGGCCTGGAAGCGTATTATTAAATAATACACATTACATTTTGATTTAAAGAATTACTAATCTACAACTCATTACTAATCATAACCAATGACTGATTACTAATCGATTATATAATTACATTACCCCCCCCCCTCCGCCTCTAATCACTGCACCTGATGAGTTAAGTGATGACGTCACCCTGCTGCTCTATATAAAACCGGGAGCAAGCGAGGGCTTTACCATTCTGGCGAATTGCCCGATGATGCTGGAAGTATTTACCAGCGAAACGTCGTACTCAAACTGTAAATGTGGATTAACTCTTCAACACACCGGTGGGCTGAAGTAGTGAATTATTTGTCTTTTGTCAACGTGACACTTTTTTTGCTGATTGGCCGTGTCGGGTGGTGGAGGGTTACGACACATTTATAAATAAACGCGATCTAACCCAAAAACCTTTATTATGAAGCTATGCCTTTTTTGGCCCAAATTGGCCAATTTTCACAACTTTATTTTTCAACAAAAAGTGCACCATTGTATTTAGGCTTAGTATGCCATATATTACATTAAAATTGTGTAATTTCAAGATGAGGTTTTCACGTCACAAAAAGAAAATCGGCAAACTGCTGTTTTTAGCCAAAATTGGCCAACTTTTCAAAACTAATCCATTGTGTTTAGCCTTAGTGTAATAAATCACTTAGACGACGATCTGTAGTTCGTGTCTTTTATTATTTATTCCCCGTCGGCTGGACAGCTCTGCATTCTCTTCACACCGACACTGCTCCACTCTCATTCCGCGCA